CATTTTTCAAAATTTCATGTATTGCTCATTGGACTTCCTCTCATCGAAGATCTCCCGAATAGCTTTTAAAATTCAAAACGGATAATCCTTGATGATTTCCGTCCAAATCTGAATACATATTCTACCAAAGACAAAGTTCCAAGAGGCTTTTTTGATTTTAAAATTGTTTTTTCCGGAAATAAGCTAAAAGGGATTGGTGCAGAAGTGTGAATTTTTCTATATTAAAAGCAAATTTTCCAACTATAGTCTTTTGGGATTTCTCTGGGAATCCTTTCTTGGAAATAACTCCAAAAATACAGATTTTCTTTTTTAGATAAGCTTTGCTAGCTTTAGCTTTTTTTTCTTTAATTTTGTGATTGGTGATTTGTAGAAGAAAGTGAGCTGTGATCATAGAAGTTAATCATTCTTTCCGATCATTCCACCAAAAGATCAATCCTAAAGTAAATGCTTCAAAGGTTGGATTGAAGGTTACAGCAAAAACGCGCTCGCCCAATCGTCTCCGAAAACCCTCCGAGTACAAATTCACAGATGAATATCCTTTTGTCCGATCAACAATTCACAAGAGAAATGAATTGTTGATCTGGTGAAGTGGCGAAGTGTTCTTTGTGCGTAAATGACTGGTGAAGTGTTCTCCGTGCGGTCGCGTAATCGCTGTCCATCTGGCATAGGGCTCTGGTAAAAGGGTCCTTTTTTGAATCGGTAAAGTTCCGGTAAAGGTTGAGAGGCCGAGCCGGCTTGGCCGTTTTCGGCGTTACTTTGCCAAAATCCCTGGGATACTATTGCCTTAAATTTAGCCATTTTTAGTATAGATTCTGCATCTTGTCAAACCATTGTATGTTTTAAAAATTGGTTAAATTTGGAGAAAAAAGCGATCCGACGCGACCCCCTGTCCCTCGATTTTTCCCAGGATTATGTGCTACAATAAAATAGTTAACTCCCTCTGGAGTAAAGGAGATAAAGTACGTTGTAGTGTAATGGTTAGCACAGTTGCCTGGTAAGTGGGAAGGTCGCGGGTTCGAGTCCCGGCAGCTCAGAAGTTTTTGATCTGCCTTAGTTCCAACTAAATTCTATAATATTTCATATGATTTGAAAGCCTGATGTGTCCTCTTTCTAGAGTACTCAGTTCCAGGTACAGTATCCGCCCACAAAATACCTATAGTCAAGTTATAAAACGGACAGGTATAACAAAGGAGGGAATCGACTCTGAATCGACCAAGCCAAAAAAAATTTGTTTTAACTGCACTGACTTAGGTAAAAATGTTTGAAATCCCTTTGAATTCACTGATGATTTTGATCTCAGATGCTTTATTTGATGTCAAACACGAAACCTTTTTGTGTGCAAGCAAAAGAAAGGAAAACACCTGTTTCTGGGTAATTTTCGATTTACTAGTGACGAGAAGAGGTGGAAACAAATTGGAAAAACGAGGAAATTTCTGGGAATAGATATTTTCAGATTGTCTGGTAAACTTTTATGAAAATTCTTGATCTTTTTGATCTATTAGGGGATTTATAAAAAATGAAACTGAAAAAAAAGGTGGGTACAAGTTCTACAGGTTCCTCGAAAGTTCTTGAAAAGATCGATAAATAAGCTAAACATTAAGAGATTTCCCGAAGGCAAGTTTTCAAGTATATTTAGGGAAGCCTCAAGTAGGTCACTTGCTCTTCTACGGAAGTACAGTAGTTGCATGTGTACAGAAGTACTTGTACGGAAGTACAGTGGTTGCATGTGTACAGAAGTACAGTAGTTGCATGTGTTCTAAGTGCCTTCGTTCGTTGGTAGAACGCCGAACTTTTGCAAAGATCACTATAGCCACAACCACAATTCTCGCCTTCAACGTAGCTCGGATTTTGTAGGTGATATAGATAGCGGTTTACTGTAGAGTTACTGCAGCTCAAATTGTAGGGATTACTGTAGGCTAACCTACAGTCGGCATTAATGTAGCTGGATTACTGTAGCTTTAACCTACGGTAACCCCACAGTCTGTAACTTCAAAAACCTATGAAAACTCTGTTAGACAGTCTAAATCTGACTCAACACTTTCGTTCATTCCTTTTTTTGCTAATTTTTTTCTAATTCGATCACCGATCTCACCCAAATAAGGCCATAAATCAAGTGCCATTTGCAAAAAGGATTTTAAAACAAATCTTCAAAAGATTCACGAGTTTCCATGTGATTTGCCATTTGCATTTGCCCCCCACGCATCAAACAGGTGCAATACTCATCAGACACGTATAGTTTCCCAAAAAAAAAATAAAAACTGTTCCGATTCTCTCTGGCATACTTAGTGACCTTTACAGGCCAAGGAAAAAGTTTGATATCGAAAAAATTTCTGTACTTGGTCACTGTACTGATCGTTGAACCCGAGACTGAGCCCTACGCTACATTGGATTGGATTGGATCATTTGGAGAACTGAGTCACTGGGGGGCGTTCACCTCTCGAACGTGACCCATCTTGCGCACAAGTGAGAGAACTCTTGTCTCACTCTTTTTCTAACTTCTCCCCGTTAAAACGTATTCTTTTCTACCGTAATCGTGCAAAAAAGCTAAGATATTGAAAAAAAGACTTTAAAATGTTCAATGTAAACTGTGCAATAGTAGAGGGATATTTATTGGTTCACTGTGAGGATCACGCATTCCATCTGGCACAACGCTGCGAATCCGGAAACTGAACTTGAGTCTTGAGCTCAGTGTTTCAAAAATAGATATAAGACGGTTGAGTTACTGTCAAAACTATTTCTTTGGGTTACTGTAATGTAAAAGCTGTAAAAAAAAAGTCCAATTAGAAGATTTTTCTTTGCTTTAATAAGAAGTTTCTATTTTAGCCATGAACAACTGAAAACATGATCAAAATTTAACAGAATAACATTTGAAACTAAAAAGGAATCAAAATTCATTTCTAAATTTTACACTAAACAAAACCTTTTTAGTTCTGTAAAGATTTCAAAAAAAAAATTTCCGAAATAGAAAAGAAATTTCTGATTGAGAACTGGTTAAAATCTTTTTTTGGCGATCAAAAAATGGCGATGGCGAACTTTCCCCCTTTTTCCTGTTCATTTCTACGATTTCTATCGGTTTGAAGACGGTGGATAAGTTGGTGGAAAAGAAAAATATACATGCAACACGAAAAATGCACTGTAAACACGGTACTGTACTTGTGAAATAGCCTTTCAAAAGGCTATTTCAGCCTTTCAAAAGCCTACTTTTAATCAAGTTTTAAAAGCGAACAAATAGGTTAGGGTAGCTGTTCCGTTTGCCTGAATGAAACATAAATTAGTGGAACAAATTTCCCAAAAATGTGTATAGTTATAGCAACCGGGAATTAGTGCCTTTAGAAGGCGCTTCGGCCGCAAAAACAACACATATTTTCTCCCAAAAACGACTTCCAGACTACGATAGCTTTTCCCAGTGCAACATTAGCTGCAACAAGTTCAACTCCCAAACCGCCAAAACATATTTTCCACATGTACTTATTTTGTATCGTATCAAGAATCTTTTCCAAAAAAAATCCGATTACTCTCCAAGTCTAATTCCTATAATTTGAGGCACTTCCTGGCACCAAATGAATTTGATCAAAGATTACAGATTTGATCACAAGGAAAAACTTACAAGTTCGGTAATTCCCTGACCAACAGGTGTTGAACGTGCAAAAAAAAACCCAAATTTGCCCAGAAAAAAGTTCTATTCAGCTGACTATTCGGTAAAAATTATCGAAAAAATCTAAAAACAAATGCCAGACGTTTATTAAAACAACGATATACACGAAAAAAAGAAAAGAGAATCCTCTTTTTTTTCTTGATTTCGCCGAGTTACCCAAGAAAAATCGCTCGGTTAATGCAAACTACACGCCAATCGGGATCTAAAAAGATAACTTTAAGCTTTTCTTTTTTGAGAATTTTCTTTAATATCTAAATTTACACTAGAGGTAGCTTCAAAAAAACTAAATTCTGCCAATTCCCTTAGTTTAGACTTGGTTTTGGGGAAACTTTCAAAAGATTCAAAAAAACTATGCCAATCAATTAAAACTTGAGCTTTCTTGTCAATAAAATTGTGTAGCAAATAAAAATTGGCTACGTTAAATCGAAAGCCAAACAAAACTCACGACTTTTAGGCTCTTTTAAAAGAGAAGAGAACGAAGCAAGTAGAACAGAACCTGGAAAGAAACAAATTAGATTACATTTAGCATCTAATATTTGCTATCTACAATATATTTTAATCAATTAAGTCAATAGTACCTGATGTAATTGATTTAAAAACGCTATCCGATAACTTCTATAATAAAAAACGCCAAAAAAAACTTACACTTTAAACTTTATATGACGCGTCGTCTCCAACACAAACCCGAGCACCGCACTTTCTACTTTACTTTTAGCAGGATTTTATTTTTGAAGAACTTCAACACGAGCGAAAGCCATGAAATGCAGCAGAGACTAAAAAGAAGATGTTGATAAAAATTAAGAATATTTAGGCTATTTTTTAATTTTTTTAAATAAAAAAAAAAAAAAATAAAAAAAATAAAAAAATAAATAATATTTTAGGGAAAAAAAAAAAAAAGGGTGTAATAAAAAAAAAAAAAAAAAAAAAAAAATAAAAAAAAAATAAAAAAAAAAAAAAAAAAAAAAAAAAAAAAAAAATTTTTTTATAAATTTATAAATAATTAAAATAAAAATAAAAAAAAAAAAAAAAAAAAAAAAAAAAAAAAAAAAAAAAAATATTTATTAAAAAAAAAAAAGGAAAAAAATTTAAATATTTGGGGTTTTTTTTTTAAAAAAAAAAAAAAAAGGGAAAGGATGAAAAAAATAAAAATAAATAAAAAAAAAAAAAAAAAAAAATAAAAAATTAATTTTTTTTTTTTATTTTTATTTTTTTTGCAAGTCAGGTCTAAGCCTCTAAGCCTGTAGCAAAACCGTGTCAGGCAAGGTCGAAACCAGGATGCTAGGATGTTATAATCAGAGAGTATCCAAAGTAGCAAAAGTTGCCAAAACAAAAAACAAATACCTTACATGTCCGCAAGTTTCGCAATGGTCGAGTAGAGTTGCCCTCCATATTGTTTCTTTATCGTTTTCGCCGTTTGCTCGTCGTTTACCACTGCTCCTCGACCGTCTGCTGGGGTCATTCCCGCCAGAAGTGTCGTTGGACTCGGTGCGCTCGCAATGGTAGAGTTGCCCTCAACATAAGTTGTGTATCCTAAAATGACAAAGTTTTAAACTATCCAACGTTTAAACGAGCCGTGTACATTTAAATTTACAAATGAAAGCTTGCATTTTAGTTATAAAATGTGCTTTTGCCTTCAGGGAACAAGTCGAAACGAAACACCAAAAAAACCAATCAATAGTGCATTTTTTGCGTTCAAGAAACGCAAAAAAAACAAAAACATCAGAAGTTCGATTGATTTTCGATCAAATTTCAAGACTGAATAGCCAGGAAAGCCTTTTATTTATTGAATCTCTAGATGAAAATACATTTTAAACAATCCTATCTCAACCTATTTCAAAAGTTTTTCTCAATTTTGCCAATTTTGCCAAATTTAATATCAAATACAGTTTTAAAATGCTAAAAAGCCGCAAAAATTTCTCTAATCTTGTCAAAATTTTCGTTTTAGCGCCCAGAAATCGTTCAATCCATGAAATTTAACGAATTTAAACTAGTTACAACAAAAATTTCGCAATTTTAAGGAAAATTTTTTAAAAAACTCACTTGCAGAGTAGTCGAGAAGAGAAATAAATGGAAAAAATTTTCTCTTCTCTTCTTTTAAAGGAAAGTGTTAAATGCAAATTAACAAGATTCAACAATTAAATTCGTTTATAAATTGCATTCTTGTTGGTTGCTTGGTTTAATTGTATTTCTTTTCTTGCAAATTTTCATTGTACAATTTATCTGGATAAAATAACCCTGTACTGCACTGTCAAAGCTTAAAAAAGTGATTTGTCCAACTGCTCGAGTTCTTCCCGTGATCGATAGCTGGCCTGGAAAAGGGGTTTGTTTGTAAAGAATCAATGATTTCTAACAATCAACTAGCTAGCTCTATCTACCTACCTAACTAGCTCTATCTAGCTATCTAGCTTATCTAGCTCTAGCTCTATCTACCTATCTAGTCTAGCTCTATCTATCTATCTAGCTAGCTCTATCTACCTATCTAGCTAGCTTCTAGCTAGTCCGTTCAGATATTTTCACCTGTGTCCCCTTTCTCGTCACACAATGCGCGGCGATGATCGATGCTCTGAAAAAGTTGAAATTGATAGAATATTTGTTTTTACGGTTTTAAACAGATTTGACAGTTACTTAAGAGTAAAAATTGACCTTTTCACAGCCTCCTCAACGGGTAGATCTTTCATTTTTGTCAAGAAATACGCCAAAGAGCCACAGAAACAATCACCGGCTCCCTAAACATGCAACACAGATTGTTTTGAGGTTAAAACATTGCTTCAAAACCATACCCCAGCTGCCCTCACTCTAAGTACCATTGGTTACCATTTCTACACTTTATTTCAGCTAATCCCTTGTAGCTACCGTACTCCTCTAGTTCGTCTAGTTACTATCCTACCCATAGCTACAATAACGCTCATAGCTACCGTACTCGATGTAGCCTCGCTTCAGCCTCAGTTTCAGCCCGTAGTCTTACTGTACTTGTCCCAGTTACCGTACCCACACTTTAGCTAACTTCATCATAAGTAACCGTATCCCATTCCGAACACCAACCGTCGTATCCACAGCGGTCACTTTCAGCACCGGAATGTGCACTGTTTTCTCATTTTTTCTCGCCAAAATCACTCCCTAAATGGGAAAAACTGAAAAATAGCATGGATAAAGAGAATGCTTAAAATAGTATTGTATCTTAAAATCTCATAGTCCTGTATTTTTAAAATTCTCCTTAAAAACCTTTGGTCCAAGTGTGACAATGGCTGTGTGCGGACCCATTTCGAGCATTTTCTCGGCCGCCTTGAAGGCACCTGTTATCAGAATGAGTTCGATAGTTATTTATCTAAAAATAATATGCAAATTCCTTAACCACCCACTTTCCACGGTCTCCGCCTTGATGTCCGTCAGGAATTCGGCCTGAAAAAAGTGCTCTACTGTACCCCCTTACTACAATATTCCACTATTGTACTCTCTCTGCTACTGTACTCTCCTGTAACTGCCGTAATCCAACTTCAGCTATAGTAACCCAATTACCTCAACAAACCTCATTCTCATTCGTGCAAACAATATCCACTAGTGCTAGGATCGATTTCTCTAGCGACGAGTTCCCAGGAGCCGGATTGTAAAAAGTGGTTACTGAAAAGAGTTTTCTAATCATTACTGTAGAAAGGAAAAGGGACGCGGTTTAGAAAACGAAAGGAAAAGGGACACGGTTTAGAAAACGCATTAGAAAATCAATGCACCATTTTGCTCTCTGGCCATTTGCAAGGCGGTTCGATTCCCGCATTGGGGTACCTCGTTCTGAAAAGTTTATAGTTTTTTTACAATTTTTATTTTATGATCCAACCTGACACATCAAAAGTGTTGCTTTTCCGATTTGTTCTCGACAACTCTTCGCCACCTCGGCGCTCATTTTTTCATTTGCGCCAAGCACGACAACTATCGAATTCTCACCTAAATCAGCATTTGAGGTTAGATCTTATTCCATTTACCGTACTCCAATGAGCACATCATAGCAAATTACCTTCTTCAGATACCGTAATCGTTGCGGTGGCTGTGCTACATTGTTCAACTTTTTGCACACTTTTCGTTCCCACATTCGCCTCATTAAGTGATTTGATGTTTGCTTCGCCGAAAATATCCGAACCGACCTGAAAAGTACATAAAGATCTATATGTATCGTACTCTAGCGTGCCCCTTATAGCTACCATTCTATCCTCCATTCTAACCCAGCTTCAGCCCCAGTTACAGTCGTTTCAGTTACCTTGATTGTCTGAATTTCTGTAATTGGCTCAGTTATAGCTACCGTAGCTCCACTAGCGTACAAAACTATATGTATCCATAGCCAAACTGTAATAAATTGTAATGTTGAACAAACCCTCGCAATGATCTCAACATTGGCACCAAGTTTGGCAGCAGCTACTGCCTGATTTGCTCCTTTTCCACCGGGTCCCGCCAGAAACGATGTGCCACATACCGACTCACCTGGACGAGGGAAACGGGGAGTGTAACTAAAATTGAGTCCTGTATTTTGTATTCATCTCCATTTCCTAAACCCTGTCCCCTTGCTCTTTCCACCGTAATCTTATCTCTATTTTTATCCAATCTATCCACTTTTTTAATCTGATTCTGTAAGGGTTCACAAAGGATATCGAAAGATACAAAAAGTGGATAGATTCGATAAAAAATGGAGACAAGATTCCGGTAGAAAGGAGCACGTTTTAGAAAATGGATCATCTGCGAAAAGCATGCAGTTCGGCTCCCAGTCCTGACCAAAAATCTCGAACAAACCTGATTAAATCCTGCACAACGCTTCCAAAGACGACAATTGTCATTCCCGAAAAATATCAAGTTTATGTTTGCAAACAACTTCACAACAACAACGAAAACTCTGACAAATTGTCTCAAAAAATCGATTTCCCGCCAAAGATAAGCAAACCGAGAAAAAGAAGAAAAAACAATTTGACCTTTCCGTTTTTTTTAGAGAGCAGAAATTTTAAACTTTTATTCTCCAAAAGAAATCGCATCTAGAAGTAAAGATATTAAGTATAAGAATTCAAAGTGAACAACGAAAAGAACCCGTTAAAGCCAGTGACATCAAAGAAATACCTATTGAAACTTTTAAAAGGCGTTTATTTATTAAAAAGTTGAATTTACGATTTTTTAAAGTACTTTTTTCTAATCCATAAACTAATCAAAAGCAAGATTTATATGAAAGAAAGATGAAAACACCGAGAGATCGATCAAATGCAAAAGAGATCAAAACCTTTTCGTATCATTGCGAATCTGTTGCTCGCATTTGGAGGAATGATCGGGGAAAGCCTTGTTTGACGCTTGGATCCATTTCGTTTTCAGATCCTCATCCCTGAAATGAGAAAGAATTTATTCAAGCATTGATAAGATATTGGAGTTTGAATTACCGTGAAAACTCATTAGTGAAAACTCTGTGAATAAACAACATAATAAAGTGGAACTTTTGAAGTTCGACTAGAAATGTGACTCTGATTCTTACATTTAAGAAAAGGAAACCTGCCAATTCAAAGAATACATAAACTTTTGAACTCGTTTAACAGTCCAGAATCCTTTCAGTAACGTACTAAAGATGTTTCATTGTCTAGATCATGGATTTTCGAAGTTAAAACACTTTAGATCTACAAAAACCCACAAAACTACTCATTTGAGTTTAAGAAAAGGAAATCTGCCAACCGGTCTAGCCTTAAATTGCCTAATTGAATACTCACATATTATACTTGTAGTTGATATTAATGGTTGGCTCTTCGGCGTGTCTCCCGTTGATGTGGTTTCTCATCGAGTGCACATTGTTCGTCTCAAATGGACACAATTTGCAACTAAAATTTTACAAAATTACCAAAAACATTTCGAGTAATCTTTAACAATAGTCATAAAGCTTTACCTGTAAAGCTTTCGACCACAATGGATAAGTGCATGCCAGCGAAGACCGTTGACGTTCGTTGGAGTTAGGCAAAACTAAAGATAAAAGTTAATTTTATCAAGTTATTGAAGAACTTACTGCGCAATTCACTCGACGCTCGATTTCTTCTCGTTGAGGCTAAATTAGTAAGTATTAATATTCAAACACTATTAGTAAAAGTTCTTCTAGATAACTTTCTTCTAAAAAAGTTGGTCGAAATCCGAAATCACCAAGTCAAAAAGCTAGTCAAACCCACCGTCGACTTTCGACTTTTCACATTCTCCTTGTCATCCTCTGGGCTTTTGGAGCGGGAAGTGTTCCCCTGAAATGATATCAATAAAATTCTATGTAATCGAAATCAAGTACTAACTAACTGACAAGTTCAAAGCATGTACTAAAAGCTTTGAAAATATTCTATAATGTGCTTACATGAGTAACAAACTTGTAAGCTCCTAGCAGTGATAAAACTTAAAAATTTACCGAATCCCTCGCTTGCATCTTCAACATGACATACTCAAACGAATCAGGATGAGGCTTTGGCGTCTTGACGGATTGAAGTTGAAGCGATGGACTGAAATTGGAGGGTGAGCTTGGCCGTGAAACTGGCGGAGTAGCAGCTTGCGGGCGCTTTTTTGGCGAGAGAAATTTCTTTGGAGTCGACGGGCCGAAGATGAGCGCGAGCTTTTGATCGAAATCTTTCTAAAATGATAACGATAATGATGTCTTGGTGCAGCACACAAACCTCAGCTTGCTTTTGATCCTGGATTTTCCGGAGCGAATCTTGTTTAGTGGGCTAAAAAGAGAAAAATGCGTTTCTGACTTGAAAATGAGTTTCAACTTTTAAAAAAATCAGTCAGCGGCATTGCTCAAATCTACTTTTAAAAAACAACAAACCTTATCGTCTTTCTCTTTTGAAGCTGGTGTCCACGCAACTGAGTTGCTTTTTTGAGCTTTGCTTTTCTTTGCGCTACTCGTTTCGTTTTCCTTGTGCACCTAAACAAATAAATTAGCTTCATATTAAAGCCAATTGTGCGTTTTATTAGTTTTAAGCTCAACCATAAAAGTTAAGCTTTTATTTCTATTGTTGTCGTAAGTTTTTATAGACTTTTTATAATTTTACAGGCACTTTAGCCGTAAAATTTCAAATTTATAGCAAAATTCCGATGTTTTTATCAAAAGAAACTGAAATTACAGCTAAAATTTGAAAATTTAAAATCATTTTTACCTTCTCGACTTTTTCCTCTACGTCGATCGTTGGTGAAACTATCGAATCGGGCTCGTTTCTCCGCTTCCGATCACTCCGCCATTCCGTCGTCACTGTGTTGACACCATCAATGCAGACCTAAAAAAGATAAATAGGAATATTTAATGAATTCTAACGGCTTATTGTCTTCCGTATTTTGTTCTACTAATCGACTCAGCTTATTAAATTAATCCAATAAATGTTCTCAAAGCTTAAAGAACAAAAAATAGGCTGCGAAAAGTTTTTCAACTACAATAACACCGTTAAAACGACGCGAAATTTTCACTAGCCTATTTACGTCATTTATGGAATTTTTAAGTTTTACCATCTTTATCCTAAAGTTAAATTCAAAAACAACTCACAATTTGCGCCAGAATCTCCTCAACTTTCGCCTCAGCGGTGTCCTCGTGCAGAGTGACCAAAACGGCGTACCCCATTTTGTCTAAAGAAATAATATTAATCAAAGGTTTGATAGAAGGGTACTTGTGAGGTTGGGCGAACCAAAATTTTTCCAAAACCACTTTTTCCGGGATAATTTTTTTTGCGTAGAATCCGAGGTACTACGCCGGTTGGGGGGGGGGGGCACTTTGGAGCCTCGAAATTTGGCTTAAAACGCATTTTTCCAAGCTCTCGTTGTATTTTTCGGACTCTACGTACAAAACGATCCCAGAAAAAGTGTTTCTGAAGAAAAAAAATGCCTCCCCCAACCGACGTAGTACCGAATCCGAAAAACACGACAAGTTGGGGTTTTAAGTTTTAACCTCCCAAAATAATTTTTGGTGCTTTGGTAGTTGGAAGGGGCCACTTTTGGCTTGGCTTCGTCGAATCTACTGTTTTGAGCAGTTCATATCGATACTTTTCTTCTATTCCCGGGTAATTATATAGGCTGAAGCGATTGGTGCTAATTTAGAATATTTCCAACATCTTTCAACCAAAGTTTCTACCGTAAATACTGTAATAGTACCCCATCCCCCTCGTACAGTCGCGTAGTTGCAAAAGTTTTTTAGTATTTCATTTTTTTCAAAGCGCCCGTACTTTCAAAAAATCCGGCCCTAAAGAGGGCCGTTGGCTTCGGTTTTTTTTTGTTGCTGAAGGATTTCAAAGCTCGCAGACGTACATCTCTGACACTTGACGCCAAAGATGGAAGAATGTATGCGAGCCAGTGACGAAATTTATTTGGTGATTCACCGCCAAGTGGAATTTGAAGGCTTGCTTTGGGGTAAGGTGGCAACCTTCAAAGAAGGTGCCAACGAAGTACCCAATTCGGTGCTTGCGGCCGGATGGACGACATCGACACTTGTTGCACTCCCATTTGGGCTTCTGTCCTTGCCGATCGTAAGCGACCATTTCGGTTTTGCGGCAGACGGTGCGATTCTTATGAAGAAGCCTAACATCAGCAAGCCACTCATTGAAACCACTACGACGTAGGATGTACTTCTCGTATAGATCTTCGAGTGTAAAGTTTTTCAAGTTGTTGATTGTTGCCATTTTTGTTTCTTAAAAAATCAAGATGTTTTTGACTTACCTTTGCCCGCGTCTATAAGCTCTGGGCTTTAGGGGCGGGACTTAACAGGTTTAATCTTATTAAACTTTGTGCATCTCTGATGACTTTGTTCAAGAGAACCTTGAAGGTTAATAAGAGAAGCAAAGATTTGTATTTAAAACGGTCAAAGACCCTTAAAAAAAATTATTTTGAAGAGTTAAAACTTGAACCCCCAACTTCTTCGATGCGTTTTTCGGATTATAAGCAAAAACCCAGAAAAAGTGGTTTTGGAAAAATTTTGGTTGCCCTCAACCCCACAAGTACCGATAAAAGAATTCAAATTTAAAAATAACATGATATGCCGTTTTGAAATTTTAGATTTTAAAAAAAACAGGCGTGTGAGAATCAGTTTTTGAAACAACCGCCTTGTCGGCGCGTTCACTACACAAAAATACAAATGACAATGAATTATTGACTTTGCGTGTCCAAAAATTAGTTTTCTGTCGGGAAAATGAGAATATTTATATGTTGGATTTGACAAAAAACTTCTTCAGTCTGTCAAAAATCAACGATGGCTAAAGTTTAGACTCAAAACTCGATTGATTCTACCCTTAAAGCTGCGAATTTTCATAAAAATTGTATAATCAAAGATAAACTCGACACTTTGATGCCAAATTTATACCATTAGAACCATTGGAAAGTCGATTCAGCGCAAAATTCTGCTAAATTTGGAGTCAAAAACTGAACTAGATGGTTGAAAATGGGATTGTCTTGTGGATTTCTAGGATTTTGCCCTTTTTACTTTGTAACTTGCTCTTTGTCTTGCTTACTTATCTAATTTTCCTTTTTTCAGGTAAAATGACGAGCTTGGCTCGTCAATTGGAGGCTCTTCGCGGGCCGTCCGCTCAGCATTTGACCGCCGAGAAGAGACACGTATCGCTTCTTTTCGAGAGGGAAGAAGCTGAAAAACTTGATCGAGAAACAGTTCACAAAATTGGTGGGGTTTTAGATGGTTTGTGATTAAAGTGGAGTTTAGATTAGCTAAACCTGTAGGGTCGGCTTTTGCAAAATATCTCAAATCCAATCCATAACTTATTATTTGTTTTCAGTTAGGAGAAAAACCCTTTGGAAAGGCTTAAATTTCTAAACAACACAGTCCTGTAAGCAAAAAGCTTAAAATAAGTGCCTGAAATGTTTCATCTCTATTACAACAATAAGCTTATATCTTTTTAGGCATCAAGGGTCTCGCCGAGCTGAAGAAACTCGACAAGTGTCTCAGTGAATTGGATCCGCTTTTCGACGAAGGGAATATCAACTTTCAGCGTGTTCTCATTAGTAAGAAAGGAATTTTATTCGAAATGGAATCTTTTCTTTAGCAAAAGCCGAAAATGAGGAATTGTCCGAGAAACTGCAAAAAGCTCTGGTTTTGCTATCGCCATACATGCAGATCTTTTCATGCCAACAAGCTCTCGAGCTACTTGTTTATAGATATCAGGTGAGATTTTGGCAGTAATTTGAATAATTTGTCAAAGTTTTTTAGATTTACGCATTCGATGCAGAGTTCTTCTTGACGTCATTTTTGCCATTTCACGAGACAAATTTCTTTGGACGAATCCTCTCAACTCTCGAGCTAAATTATGCCACAAACAAGGAGTTCGCCTTTTTGGAACAGTTCGCAAAGAAACGATACCCTGTGCCATTTAAAATGGTTTGTTATTGAAATTCGAAAAATAGACAAAAACTTTAGATTGCGAAGAACAGTGCCAGTGGAAGCAACGCTTTATTGACAAGAATCACGACATACATCGACACAGCAACAAAGGTTTTTTCTAATTTTAAAGAAAATTCATTTTTCTTTTAGTTAGTTGGCAGTGATTGGCTCGAGAATCACGGAACGGCTTTGTTTTCTCTACAAGCAAAGGTAAAAATTAATGTTTACAAGTGATTTACTCAGTATTTAGGTACTTCTATCGCTTCTTGACTACACTCCAGCAATCAACGACAACTTGTTATCGAAAGTGATTCCAATAGTGGCGAATGGATTGAAGTATGCAAAAGCGATAGACAAACTCCGAAAAGCTGCATTAATTTTAAAATTAAACTTTCTTGATTTTTTTCTGACTTTTGCTCAAGCACGAAGCAATTTTGCATCACTAATTGGCTCGTTTAGAAGCCACATTTCGAGTCTCCGCTGCGCAGCGATGATGACCATTTGTCGTCTCGTCGTCTCCATTAAACTCACAGAGGCTACCGTCACGACACTGCTAAAAATCATGCTCTTGGTGAGTTTACGAATTTAGAAGCCTTTGTGAACTGAAATATTTAGAAGATGAAAGACAAAGAAGTGGCGTCATTGTTATCGACAATTATCGTCGTCTGTCAGCAACAAGTGGTTGAATCGCTCAGCAGCAAGTGAGTAGCAATTTAGCTTAAATTTTATCACAAAGCCTTAAGGGGCGTCTCGAAAATTCTTCGACGTGACGATGACCTTCAATTCTTTTCAATTCTCGCTCAGCTTGGACAAAAGACTGACTTGCAGCGTTTTTTGACACCACTTTGGAAAACTCTGTTGGGATTATTAGAAAGTGGTAGGTTTGCTGCAAAAATTCACAAAAGACGGCTACTTGTTGTGTTTTAGATGATGAAGAGGTGAAAACGCTCGCCGGCGCTGGTTTGCTCAAATCGATCGATGTTGTTTCTAGTGGGGAACAGGTATGAGTTGAGATAGCTTGATAGCAATCGCTTATACCTTAGATGGCCACGTTATTGGGACTGATCGCCGACATGTACACTCGAGGTCTGACATTGCCGAAGACTCTCGCTGCTTCGCTCTATTCGCTTTGTGCTCGGTCAGTTAACGATTTGAATGATAACTGGATAATCACTTTTTCAGATACCCAATTGAACTTGATTTTGTGCGCAAAGAGTGGGAAACGCGCAATGCTCCCGCTTTCGAGAAACTCACGGAGTTGTGCAACCTTCAGCCATTGTTCCTGCAAACGGCGAAAGTGGAGAAGATTAAGTAGAGTTTAAGTTTTGAATGAAGTTGTATTAATTTAATCTCATCAATGAAAAGTAACTTTTAGAAGACGAAGACGTTCAAGTCGCAACAGTGTCTCCGAGTTGACCGCCGATGTTTTGATAGCCGATGTGAAGCCCGATCCAAAAGACGTCCTCAAGCAAATGCAACACGAGAGTGAATTCGCGAAACGAATCAATTTCACCGGAGATCCTCTACGGAAAGCCATGCAGTGGATAGAAGAGAACGATTGGGAAAAGGTGGGTTTAATTTTTAGCGTTTAGTAACAAAAAATTCTGTAACAACTTTATTTTCCGAGTTACAGGTCGAAACAGCCTTCGATGAAATTGACCGACGAAAAAATTATCTATCAAAGCAGCCTGAAGATGATGTAGAAGAACTGATGATTGCAGTTAGTTAAACCTTTTGGGATTTTTAAAGTTTGCTTTAGTACACAAAGAAGCTGGTCACTGGAAACGGGCATTTGTTGAAAGCAAAGGCGATTTCGGCATTGTCAGAGGTAAATTTTGGAAATGCGCATCGAACTACTGATCCCGTTACATTATTGTAGAATTTGTTAAACAATTGACAAGCTCAGAAAAGTAATGGGAAAAAGGAAATCACGCCATAAGGTTCAAAACATTTAATTGTTTATGAATCAGATACTCGTGAAACATTTCGCAAAAGTCTATAATTGAGTTGATCACAAAGCTCGTCCTTGTTCAATTCTACTAGAAGATCATTTTTAGGCCTCGATGTCGATTAAATTCGTTCTTTCGATGCTTTCACGAGAAGAGGATAAAGGAAGTGCGGAGAAACGCTCGAAATTGGTCACGAAAACCCAGAAGAACGTTTTTCAAGTAGGGGTTTGGCCAATGTTTTAAAAAATTCAATTTTAGAGTGAATCTGACGATGAATGGACTCGTCGACTCGTCTTTTCCTTGGAGCTACTGTCAGTGTTGAAGAAAACCCCAACTTCGCCGGAAATTTTCGCGCTTCTATTTGAATTATTGAAGATGTAAGAAACTGTAAATGTTTATTGCCAACTTTTCAATTTAGTGACGATTGTGACTACAAGCCCGAACAGCAACAATACGTGCATCAACTAACAATCTCGTTGCTTGTGAAAATGTTGCAATCACCGGGTAATTTTTTCAAGAGTTGCCTCTAATTCAAATAATACTTTAGCTTTGTGCAAATTGTCACCGAAAGATCTCCGCGTTGAGTTGGTTGTCGAGATTCTGCGATCCACGCAATCACATCAAATTCTGAGGGACTCATTGCGACTTCTGACTGTCGCTACAAAAGTTTCACCGGTGAGTGAAAAACTCGATTAAGACAGTATATAGTTGTAGCTACAAGAAGAGAACGATTATCAACAAAGTACATTTAGACGAGTGTCCTGTCGCACATCATGTCCGTCTTTACCTTCATGGGGGCAGGTCTTCTCCGAAAGGACAACGAGTTGACGCTTGGGATCATTGAAGATGCACTACAGGCATTTTTTGGAGCCGTAGTCGCGAGCTCTTCAAAAGCGAAACAGGTATGAAAATTTTGAATGCAACAAGCCAGTTTTAAAATAAAGTTCAGGATGCCTCCTTCAATTTCGTCGAAGTTTGTCGAGTTTTCGCTCTTTCCATTACCGACATTCCTGCTCATCGGCGAATGCGGTTAGCGGGTAAGCTTTGTGTTTGAATTAATGCTATTTTGATAGACATAAGTTAAGAGTTATCTGTTATTATATCAGTATAAATTTAATTTTAGGTGCCATTCACAAGTCGATTCCCATTGAGTATGCCTGGATTTTTCCGACAGTCATCTACGAGAAGTAAAAATGCAGCCGCTTACAATTTTTATCAGTGATTTTATTTTAGATATTGTTCCTCTTGGCAGCGCACGGCCACTCCACAAAACGAGAAGACGCGCAGCCCCGATCAGGAGTCGTTCGACGATTTCTCGATCGAGATGTGCTCTAACTATAATGGAATTGAGCAGGTGAGCCTAGAATCATCTCAGAAGGATAAAGATTTTTTAGATCCGCTTTCTGCTTGACATACTTGCGTTCGTGATGCGAGTCGGCACCGATTTGCACAAAGAGGCCCCAAATGCCGCTCGGACGACTGCAAAAAGCTTGGACACACTCATTTTTGATAGGTTTGTTAAAGCGGAAGTTTCTTAATGGATTTATTTTCAGGAAGAAGCACACATTGCCAAAGATCCGGCATTATCGATTCGTCCTTGTCACCCTGGTCGCGAAAATTTTGTCTAATCCGACAATCTATGAAAAGGTTGGTGTCGATTTGTTGTACGCATGCAAATTTTGTTTAGTTAGCAGTTGAAAGTGACGAGTCGCTGGCCGCTTCTTTGTTGCCGATTGGAAGACAATTGCTGATGACAAGTGTTGATGTGGATGAATTCGTGCAAAAGGGATTAGATGAGGCCGAGAAAGAATTTGAGGCTGAATCGGCGAAAAGGGTTGATTTAATGACTTACGATTAAATCATCTTTGATCATTCAGAACGCTCAACGTGAATTGGAAGTCGTTTCTGCACAACGCTATTGGATTGCCATGGGAACTAGGACCGATATTGTTTCTGATAAGGTAAATATTATTTATGATACAAATTCAATCCATTTTTAGCTTCGCCATTTGTTCCCGGCTAGTGTATCGGCTCGTCTCATCTCAGAAACGCTGAACGATAAGAAATCGACATTCTCGATGAAAGAAAAGGTGCGAATAAATCATAGATTTAACTTTTTAACTATAGTGAAACTTAAAATTTTAATAATTCTTAACTTAATTATTTCAGAACATTTTGAATATAGTTATGTCAACAAATTTCGATTTAGGCGCTCGCCCTGTGTAATGCCAAATTGCAACACGACGAGAATGGAATCAATGAGGAGCAACTGAGCTCATTAATTGAGATTCTCAACGGTTGGATTGGACCAAAGAAAGTCAAAGAAGCGGTAGAATTTGTCATTTTACTTAAAAAGTCCGTTTTTAGATTGTGCTTTGTCAGAATGCTGCCTACACACTGCGCCTTATTGCCAAGAGGTTGTCCACCGATAAACAACACCCATCTTTGTCGACAACAATGCAGCACTGTGTGACAGCTGTGCGTTTTAAGAATATTACCTATGAAAATTAAAATTTAGATCAAATCCTGGGAGTCGTTGGACGAGGCGATGATCGGCAGCTTGCTGCTTTTGGCTGGTGAACTCATTCGATCGCATAATATGGGCACGACGATGCTGAACGCGGAACCGCTTCTCCAAGGATGTCTCAACGTTTTGAGCACTAATGCGACGAGTCGGGTTGGTTTTTGGAGCTTGCTGACTAATCAAACTCAATGCTGTTAACTATAATGATAAATTTCAGCGAGACAGCGAAGAGAAACCACCTGAGGCAACACCACGACGGCGTCGCGTTCGACTGATGTCGCTGAGTGGACGGCCGAAGGGAAGCGATGCTTTATTGGTGATTGGATGATTCATTTGGATTGTTTAAGGTGGAAATTTTAGGTCTGTACTCTCACTTGTGTGCAACGGATTGTCGACAAATTTGCATCTTTTGTTGCGCCACACTTCACGGCGATTCTCCTGCATTTCTCACGGCTTTCAGCTCGCTTTGTGGATCAAATAACGGAAAAGGTTTGTTGTTAAGCTTAAAACAATTTATTGGAATTACTTTTAGGACGCAAACGCTTCTCTACTTGCCGCATCTCAAGCTCTACCATCACAACAATCGATGGCTTTAAAGAATACTGTCCAATATAGGTTTAACAAGCTAATTGGATGCTAATGTTGTATTTTTATTCAGACTTGGTGCCATCAGGCATGCACTGTTGAAGGTGGAGTTCCGTGTGATTCTCGATCCGATCGCGCAAGCCGTTCAACAGCTCAAAAGCAGCGAGGTGGAAAAGTTTTATTGTTCGCGCTATAGTAAAACTGCTAATAAAATTTAATTTTGAGTCTGTTACTAATGTTAACAATTTTAGAAGCCCCTCTGCGCTCTTTTCTCATTCTTGGCCGGTTTCTTCGAGACACGCAATTTCCAATGGGTTTTCGCAAGCAGTCAGCAATTGATCAAGGAGATCTTCCTGCCGGCATTCGAATATCGATCAACGATGCGAAAGCCAGAGGTTTTTTAAAAAGATATTCTATAAAATGCAAAATGCGTCAGGAATTCGAGATGATCTCGCGGGTGGAAAGATCCATTTTTGATGCCTTTTTGGCGCTAGCCGAGATGTTGAATGAGAATCAATTGAAGCCGATTTTCAGCAAAATTGTGAGTTGTTTTTGATTAAATCTCTAATCTCAAAATTTTAGGTTTCTTGGGGAGAGGAGGGTTTCCGGATGAATGCCGATTTGACGCTGAGAATCCGCATGGTCACCCTGTTTCATCTAGCTAATCAGTGAGTTTAGTTTGTATTTTAAACAGTTATATTCATTTTTTAGCTTCTACTCCTCGTTCAACACTCTCGCAATGCCATATTTCCATCGATTGATCGAGTTGGCGGCAAAGGTGCTTCGGAGTTGCAACACGATACTTACAGGTGAGTACAATAGACCGGGAAATTAACGATTAATGGCAAAATGGAAAGTTTTTATCAAAAACTCATTCAGATTCTGCATCACTTTTCCTATCGGGTAAAAAGGACTCGCTAGAGAGTTTGGAGACGGATTCGCTGTTGATTCATGCCATCGACTTTGTTCAAAATTGCGCCAAACATAAGGAGTTCTTCACAGAGTGGGTTTTGGACATAAGAATATAATGATTTTTATTTTCACTTTACATCATCCTTTTAGGGACCGGGCTGAACTCGTTTCGGAGCATTTAGTGGCTGAATTGGAGAATACAAAGTGCGCGGGTCACGAAGCGCGTTGTGTGCCGCATTTGGCCGATGCGATTTATCAGGTAGCTGATTGATTGAATAGATAAATGAAGCTAGCCTTATTATGCTTTGTTAATATACTGATTTGTTTATTTCCAGGTCGCCGAGGCGCATCCAGTCAAATTCGCCAACTTGTTGCACGATATCTTGCTGAAGACGAGAAGCAACAAACCTAAGGTATCAGTTTTGAATTTTAATATACATTTGTAAACTTACCAATTCCAGATCCGCTACCGTATTCTGTTGTTCGTGGAGCGACTCTTCGACCGTGTCGGTGATTCGATCGCGCCACACTTGCCGATGGTGATGCCATTTTTGTCCGAGCTATTGGAGGGTGAGTGCTTGTTTGTTGGTTGAGTAAAATTACATAGAAGAGCCGGGTTTTTGAACCCAAACTATTCATTAAAGTTAAATTATCATTGCTTTAGATGAGAACAAAAACGTCGAAGAGCAATGCGATCGGGTGGTGCGCTTGCTGCAACGGAAATTCGGCGCCGAGCTCTCGCAAGGATTTGTTTGAGTGGAAAAATTTAGAATTTATTAGATTTTTAGTGATTTTTGTGTCTTTTCTTTTTTGTTAGTTGAGAAATTTTCACATTTTTGTTGTCTTTGTTATACCGTTTTTGTTACTTTTGTTATTGTTATCTCTCTGAGAATAAATTTTATCATTTTTCTCAATAGAAAATCTCATTTGCTCAAATTTTCGAACTGTAAACAAGCAGCTTATCAGTGGGAATTTTGGGTAAACAAACAATTTTGAGTTTCCGTTTCATTCAAAAATTGTTTGGAGAATGTTTTCAGCTCGAGTCTTAATATTTAGATTAAGGTATTCAGCTAGTCAAAACCTTAAAAATTAGCTAAACTTTGCCCAATAGTGGGATTTTCCTATCGTAATCAGTCCCAAATGTCATTTGGAGTGAAAAGTTCTTAATGTAGCCGAATTTAAACGATAAAATTGCTGATGATTGACCTCGTTTGAGTGAAATATAAACAATTTTGTCTCAAGAATGATTAACTTTTGCTTTTTTAAAATTAATCTCTTTCTGATGTATTAGGTTGATGCAAAAGTCTTTTTCATTTTTTTCGTACTTCTTTTGAAAAATAACAAAGTCATCAATTAACCTATGGTTTGCTCTAAATGAAAAGTGTTTATTGTTGAATTTCCCATCTTTTTAAGTCAATTTGGGTTCACTTTCAAGCAAATTCGAGAGTGAAAACGGGTTTTTCATAAAAATCTATAAAAACCTCTATAAAGAAATTGGTTGAATCAATTTCTCTGAAAATCTGAAAAAATATCTAACTTTTTGTGCTCTATCTTTTATTTATTAACATCAAGATTGGTTTCCTTAGCTAAAGCGTCTAAAATGCATCATCGAGCCGTCGCCTTTTTTGACTACCCGACTTCAGGCTCTCAAAAAAATCTAGACATAAGACATTTTAAACTCGTTTTAATGTCGTTTTGCAGAAAAATAATTGGCCTTTCGAATGCAATAAACCGTTGTTCAATTGGTGCATTTGTTACTTTTTAACGGAAGTACGAAAAAAATGAAAAAGACTTTTGCATCAACCTAATACTTTGTACGCGAAAATCCGTAAACACACCAAATCTGGTGCACTCAAATCCGCACTATTTGAAGCGCTCTTCCTTTTGATAAAAAGAAGATTTTCATTAACCACTAACCCTAGAAATGTATGTAAATCGATAAATTAGACAAAATTTGGATACATATCAAGCTAGCTATGCATAGAAATTGATTGGAAAACAGTACTATACCCGAATTGGATCCCAGTGAAGCTTATATCGAGCTTTCTTGATCTTTCATTATCGTCACTTACCTCAAAGCCTTGTACTTTGTACTCAAATTCGTAAACCCACCCCATCTAGTGCACTGAATTCTTTATTTTTTTCGTGATTCTAAATCATTGCTGCGAGAGAAATGAAGAATTCAGTGCGAGTGAAGGGGTGCGTTTACAGATTTGAATACAAAGTACATAATTTAGTTGATGGTGGCTGATCAAATGGACTTACCGCGATGGATCCCCCGGTACGATCAACGAAAAGAGTCCACGATTCCGTCCATGATTACGGTAATGAAAAACAAGATAGATACTGAAAATATCTTCGAAAATTTTAGGTATTAATCCACCCACTGGCTAGTACGTCATCTGTACAAGAAACGAAACAGGAAGGAGTGAAGACCGATGTGAATTTTGAAGGAAAACCGAAAAACAAAGCGATCAACGAGTTTTTCGATCCATTAGGTAAGCGAAAAAGTCAATAAAGTATTTCAATGGAGATCATGAGACTAAAAAGTACCGTATTTTAGAGAAACCATCATAATCCACCCGCCATCTTTTATTCGATCAGCCAAATTTTGGTCTCATTGACTGAACCATTGTGATTCTCTCCTCATTGAATTTGACCAAATTGAGCTGATCAAATGGAAACTGGCGGGTGGATTAGTGGATTACGGTAGCTTTTTTCTAAAATAGATGCTTTTTAGAAAATGAGAAGAATGCTTTAACTGTAAAAATCTATAAGAAAATGCAAAAATATCAGATTAATTTAAGGAGTCACGGCCAATGATGAAGTCGATGATCCGTTGAGTGAACTACTCGCCGAGAGCTCTTTCATTGAGACAAATGATTCGTCGGCAAGGAAAAGAGATGTAAAGACAAGACATGTGTTCAGTCCAGTTCGGTCATCCCCACCGATCACTGAATTGAACTGATTGTGGAGCTTGACTGAATTGGGCTGGACTACATGGTGGAGGTGTTCCGACAAAAAGCCAATCAACCCTTTAGGTGACCCTCGTGAACACTCTGGAAATGCGGCGTAGCGATCATCTTTGTGTCGACGTCGACTTGCCGAATATGGAACCTTGGCGGGTGGGGTTTTTAAAAAAAAAAGCTATCAAGCTACCGTAATTCTGTCTAAAGTGACAAAAAGCTACCGTATCTCGGCTATGTATTAACCTAATACTATGGAGTTTGATGGCTATAATGAAATATGGTTACAGTAACCTAGCTTAAGATATCCTCTTGACTATTTTCTAAACGATGCTACTGTAATCTCACGATTTTTGGTCGCCAAAAGATTTCCGTTAATTACAGAGCATCTTTTAGAAAGTGATTTAAACAAGAGGATTACGGTAGCATTCTCTTAAAAGCACCTTTTAGGAAACGGCTTCATTAAGGAAACTTTCAGAAAAAGCGCTCTCTGATCCTCGAAACGTTCACAACAAGTGACAAATCGTCGATCACCAGCTCGTCCTCATTCTCTCATTCCTCGAATGGAAACATTGTCGATTCAGCAGCAACTTCAAGGGCACAAGTTCGAGTGATTGACAAAACGGCACACCGGTAAGTGGAATCTAACGAAAACTTACAGATCTGTATGGAAATCTTGTAAGTTTCTCAATCTACAATACAACGAAACTAGATATTAGACTGTCCAGAAAGTCTTTTCTTTTCTTTTCTTTTCTTTTCTTTTCTTTTCTTTTCTTTTCTTTTCTTTTCTTTTCTTTTCTTCCGTACTTCCGTTTAAAATCAATTACGATTTTTTTTTCATTAGAAAGATCAATGGAAACATTTTCTGCAATATATCATTAAAACGGATTTATAAATGTGTTATATCTGAGCGTGAAGTCGGATAGTCAAAAAAGGGTGACAGCTCTCGATGATTATTTCGTTTCGACACTTTTAGCAAAGGAAACCTATTTTCGTGTGTATAGAGATAAAAGATAGAGCAAAACAAAAAAAAAGTTTCATATATAGTCAAATTTTCAAAAAAAAAAAAAATTCATATATTCAATTTCTTCGTAGAGGTTTTTATAGTTTTGTTTTTTTTTGTTCACACTTTCGAATTTGCTTACCGTAAATCTCCGCACCGTCATTATGGGGCTGGGGTACTATTACAGTATTTACGGTATGTGTGAATGGAAATTGACTTTAAAAAGATTGAAAATTCAACAATAAACAACTTTTTATTTCGAGCAAATCATTGGCTCATTTTGGTGAATTTATTATTTTTGAAACGGAATTACGAAAAGAAAGAAAAGACTTTTAAGATGAGCTGATCTAAGAACGAGTCCATTATTGCTTTGATTCGCATTGAGTCCATTATTGCTTTGATTCGAATATATTCTTTACTGAATTTATTTTTGAAACAGAAGTACGAAAAGAAAGAAAAGACTTTTTCGACAATCAAATAGAGTTATCAAATAGAATCAAATTTCCTTTTCAGATTAGAGATCCTCGAGGACATGTCCGGGTTGAAGAAACTCGCGGATTTGTCGGCGCACGAGTACGTGCAAAACGTGAACGAGTTGCGCGAGACGCTGATCCTCGCGTGGAACAACAACAAAAGGGTTGAGGCGCTGAGAGTAAGATCTTTTCAAGCTTTTCCACATAATCTCTAAAAACTAGAGGTCTATAGGAAAATTGTTTTCTTCTAGGTTGTGACGGAGCTCTCGCGTGCCCTTTCGTCCGTTTCCCCTCCATCACTTTATCCATCACAATGGGTGCTCGTCACCGATGTTTTGGATCTTTTCGGGAGTCTCGTTTACGAGAGAATTCTCAATAAAGCAAATGAGGTTTGTGTCAAAAAAAAAACTATTTAAATAACCTTAACTTTCAGGAAAGAAAAGCCACTGGAAAGCCAATATTAAGCCCGAATTTCACCGCATCCGACGTGGGCGAGAAAACGCAAGACACTGCGAAGAATTGGTTTGTCAAAGTCGGCGATATCAAAGAGTTGGTGCCAAGATTTTACGGTGAGTGATAAGAAAAAAAATGACTGACTCTAGCAACAATACTGTCGTTACAATTTTCATCGAAAATTTAACTTCATTTTTTTCAGTGGAGAGCTGCTTGATCGGTTGCATTCGTTTCTTCGACTCTCCATCACTTCGCGTGAATCTACAAAGATTGGCGGCAATGACATCAAGAATTGGACAACCACTTCCGGCTGCATATGCAAGGGCATACATTGCGAAGATCTCTATGTACTTGGGTGAGTTCAAGGGGAAATGGGTGCACAATTTTTGAGCCTTGAATAGAAGATAGGCGGACAAGTCTGGCTCTGGTACTTTTTGTGTTGCTTATGGGTCATGCTTATGGGCCTCAGCGTTGGTCTAAACATTGCTGGTATTATAGTGTTCTGAAAACAAGTTATCAGGCCAAGTTGGTCTGCTCTAACTACACTGACAAACCAAGAAAGCCTGACCAGCCAACCTGGCTTGACTAAACCTAGGTTTGGCTTGGTTTTGGTTAAATCTGGTTGACTGGGTCTGGATCTGGCTTTGGCTTGGCTTAGCTGGATCTGGTTCTGTCTTTAAGCTAAACTTGGCTGAATCTGGATGAGCGTGGACTCAGCTCTAGCTGATTTGGCTCTGTATTCGACTCTAACCTGGCTTACAAGCTCTATGGTTTTGATCTCCCTGTAGAGTCCTGATCGTAACTCGTGACTAAATATAGCGTGCTTTAGATAGTTTTCTTTCAAACAAGCACAGTAAAAAGAAGATAGCATTGAGCTGGATTACAGTGATTAAGTTGTGATCAATGCCATTTCAGACCCAGCCGATCGGGCACCGCATTGGCGTGTGTTGAACGATTGGATGCAGACATTCGGGCAACAGCCGGTCAGTTATTTGAAGAAATCGCTTCAATACAGTATCTTAGATTAAGTCAAAACTAAGCTAAGATTACGGTAGTAGTTGCAAAGAGGCTGGAGTACAATAGCCAGCTATTAGACGCTTGCTTTCAGTCAGAGTTGCTGTGGCCGGCAGCGGAATGGATCGTTCAATGTGTCGCCTATGGGGCGCACTCCTACGAGGATTTAGGGCCTCTTTGGGAGTACTGTAGGTGAGTGAACGGTAGGAATTTGAGGCGTACTTTGTGCTCTTGTGAATACACTCTTTCTGGAGCACTGAGATTTTCATTTTCTTCCAGGCAATCCGACAAGCGCGGTTTCATTCTGAAATGCTTCTTGCGAGCGATTCCACCGAAATACCTCGGTAATCACGCGATCGAGGCGCTGAAAATTGTAAGTGAATCATTAGACTTTTAAGAATATTAAGGTCTTGAATTGATCTGTGTACTAATTATTGATATCTAGGTATTAGCCGATGGAGTGACTTCGCAAGAGATCATCGCGCTTGGTGAGCGACTCTTGGAGACCGAAGTGCCCGAAGATGTTCGATCGGCTTTGCTCAAAAATGTTTGGAAAGCGATTTTGAGGTTGGGTTGAAATGGATAGCAACGATATAAATCTATATATCGTAAGCGTTTAAGTAAATGTACTGTAGAATACGGTATTTTTAAGTCCACCTAAGCTCATCAAAGCATTATCAGATCCAAGCAGCACTAGAGCTTAAAACTTTTGCTCACTTTCAGTACTAGATGCTAGATTCAAGAATGCTAGTTTGATCACATTAGAGCTGTCTTGATCTAAAAGAGTGCCCAAGTCAGCTAGAAAGCAGAGTAAACTAGGTCAGCGCCTGGATTGACCTGATTTACTGTCCTTTTGAAACTTCTGGCCTTCTGGCCCTTCTGGCCACTCAGAAATCAGGCAGGCCAAGCCAAGACAGGGCCAGAAGCCTAGCTTGTCTTACTAACATTTTGAGGCAGAGTACGGTAGTCGAACTATCGTGCCTATATACCGTACTCCGTAGAGTTATCGTTTCTATAAAATGGCAAAAATGATCATTTGCAGACTTCAATCGACGGGCGATCTCGTGCGTTGCTCAGTGGTGTGGGCCGAGTTCGCGGCACGGTATTTCTCGATCGACGAGCTCAACGTCATTTGCGATTGTCTGCTGAGGAGGCTGAAAACGGAGAAGGTTTGGGGGGAATGAGAAAATATCCAAATCTAAAGTATAATATGTGAATTCAGTATGTAAATTGACATCCTAATAGACTATATTCAAACCAAAGTTTCAGGGTGGCTTTCTAGCAAGGGTAAACCATTTTTTTTGTTTATTTTTTTGATTTTCTTGGAGAATTTGCAGAGCTTATATGAAAATTTGTATGCAAATTGTTATATACAATTTTCCAGTGCCCAGACAAGTACGCGGACTCTCTGCTGGCGATTCTGCGCTCAATGGTTGGCCATAAGAAAACCGACACGGCCACTCTTCTCTCGCTCGACGCATTCACCGGGGTTCTCGATATTTTGAGGTATTGCATATGTACACTGGTTTATTGTAACCAATATTTAGTGACACGGTAGCCCAGTACCAGTTAATTGATACCAATTACAGTAACCCAGTAACCTAGAGCCTAGCTTTACAAGACCCTTTCTCAAACCCTAGAAATCCCAGGGCACAGTATCCTAAGTTAGTACTCTAAAAGTTAGCCAAATTCCAAATATACCGAATAAACTTTGCAGAGATGAGCCTCACTCCTCTGAAGCTGCTCGTTCAATTCTTTCCGCTTTCATCGGATCCCATTCGATCGGATCCTCTGAAGATCTTCGATTAGCCAATCAAGTAAAACACATCAAACTATTAGGCGATTCAGATACACACTCATAATATAAAAGTCTTCAAGGAAACAGTCGTTTAATTATTGCTTTAAATCTACCGATTCCAAGTCTACCCTAGATCTGTGAGATCGCCGCCCGGTTGGCCACCTTTTTGTATGATAATCGAGAGGAGGAGACGAAAAGGACGAGGATTGTTTGCTCGGCTTTGGACAGGTTCAATCATACTTCATTCATTTATTTAACTATAGCTATAGTAACCCTATTCTTTAGGTTTTCTCTCTCAAGCGATCCAGAACGATGTTTACAATGGTTGGTGGAGTGTCGGGCCTCGTTGGCCGAAATGGATGGGGTTGTGAGGGTATGATGGTTTATTTGAAAAGAACAACTTTTAGAAAAAAGTATGAATGTTCAAATTTGCAAACACACCTTTCTAGCGTACTCAATTCTTCATTTTCTCGCATTGTTTTGAGAGAAAATGAAGAATTCAGTGCACCAGAAGGGGTGAGTTTCTAGGTCTAAGCCGGAGGAAGTTGGGTAGTAGCTAAAATTACGATAATTTTCAGCACATCGTGCGTCTCTTTCTCACGCTCGGTCTCCAAGTTCAAGGCACGCATAAAGCGACGGCAGCTAAAGCGAACTTGATGAGGTAAGTGAGGGAATTTTCCGATCGTGGCTCTATATAATATACAGTACTGGACAATGAAATATGATATTTGAAAAACGATCGTCACTTTCGCGCGTCTGTAACTCCCTTGTCTTTGAGTTTAAACTATTAGTGCTCCTTATTTCTCTAAATTTGGTTCCTCATCTCTCTAAATTTGGTTCCTTATCTCTCTAAATTTAGTACCTTATGCGTCGAATGTTATAGATAGCATGGTATGATTTAAGCCAGTTGACCACTGCCAGTTGACCACTGCCAGTTGACCACTGCCAGTTGACCACTGCCAGTTGACCACTGCCAGTTGACCACTGCCAGTTGACCACTGCCAGTTGACCACTGCCAGTTGACCACTGCCAGTTGACCACTGCCAGTTGACCACTGCCAGTTGACCACTCATCTCTCTAAACTTGCTTCCTTATCTCTCTAAATTTGGTTCCTTATCTGCTTAAACTATTAGCTTAAACTATACATTTTCTGAAAGCTCTTTTCAAGGGCTACACAATGGTAATATTAGTATTTAGAAATACGGTAAAGACAAGGGAGTTACGGACGCGCGAAAGTGACGATCTTTTTTCAAATATCATATTTCATTGTCCAGTAGTGTATGTTGAATATAATATAAATCTAGAGCCTGTATCGCCAATCTGCACATCACAATCCCATCACTTCCCTCACCAGATGATCGCTTCAATTTTGCTCTGCAGGCGGCTCATCTGGCTTTGTATGCAAATTCGTTGCCTCAGGTGGGTTTATAGGATTACGGTAGCTTTTACTAGCTATCCTACTAGCTACCGTAAGCCTGATTTGAGATTCCGAGCACGTACTGTAAACTTATTATATAGATAGCTTCCTTTTGTAGATTTCGGTGGCTTTTGGATTACGAGCTCGTACTTTAAATCCACTGAATAGCGGGATTACGATAGTTTTCTGCACCATTTTTTTGAAAACGTCCATTAACCAGCAAACTACCGTACTTTCAGACGGACGCCCTCGTGCGCATTTGCATCGAGTCGTTGATGGATGCCGACATCGATGGAGCTCAATTCGTAGCCAGGTTTCAAGTTAAAGTTAAAAATTTCTAACAATACTCATTTTAGACTTAACCATCTGCTTGCATTCCTCGTTTACGTGCCCGACTCGCCGGAGAAATCTCCCCTTTATTTATTCGGCGCCGTTTTGGCGGTTGTTGAACGGTGAGAACGATTCTTTCTGAAATATTCCTGCAAATCGGTTCTGATACTTGCAGAGAGTATGAGTATTCGAAAAGCTTTTGCATATAAATCCAGTTCTAGAGGTTGGCTTTGGGGGGACTTTGCTGTAGACAGCCTGAGCCCCCTCACTCGTCAGAAGCTCTCGAGTTCTGGCCAGGGACTCACAAGGGAAGATCAAACTGGCTGGCGATCAGCTGGTTAAATGCTAAGAGTGTGACAACAAGAAATAGATTTCAAAGAACACTAGTTAGCAATTCTTGAAAAAAAGCAAAAGAGGAAGCGAAGTGGGGATCGGCCTTGTGAGCTCTGAAGACGAGCGCTCTACCACTCGGCCACGGTTGCATCAAATTCGGTCCATAAGGAGACCGCTAAGCACCCAAATGAGCACATTTTCAGATTAGAGGGCTAACAAAACTCAAGACGCTTATAACTCCGCGTAGATTGTCATTTAGCGAAAAACGGAATACATATTCGAAATGAGCATAAAATCCTGCGTCGAATGTTATAGATAGCATAGTATGATTTGAGCCAGTTGACCACTGCCACTGCCAACAGCCTTCCCTTGTCAGTCAGTCTTTTCTACTTTTATAGTCAAGCAAATTTTGTTCTTGATTTATTCCAAAAAAAAAAACTGGTCACATAGAAAAACATTAAAATAGAAGTGTCATTAAAATAGAATGCAACTAGTTTTCAAATTACTTCAGTCGAACCTGGGATGGATGGACGAGTGAGCGTGGCGCCTGTCTCGTGCATTGTCTCGATTTTCTCTGGGCTGCTGGCCAACCAGAGTACCCGATCAGGTAAAAGAAAGCAATCATAAAGTCCCATAGCTCCTCTATTTACAGTATAAATTTGCATACTCTAACTACAGTCTACTGTATTCACAAGTTGACTTTAGTTTCCCAAATGTGCACTCAAACGACGAGCTCTACGGGGGAAGCGCTGAGTTCAAGTGGGTTTTTTATCTTTATAATTCGAATTATAACATCAAAGCTCTACCGTACTCTTACCCAAGCTTAACAGAACTCTTTTAAACGTTATAGTATAGTACAGTACTTGATAGTGCTCGATAGGACTCTTATCCAAGTACATCAAGGCTATAGTATTCATTTAAACGTCAAATTGATGTTAATCATTGTTATTGGTACTATAAGCTTGGTACTTTAAGTACTATGAGTTTAGTACTTTAAGTGCTATAAGTTTAGTACTATAAGTACTATAAGATTGGTACTTTAAGTACTATAAGTTTGATACTTTAAGTACTATAACTTTGGTACTATAAGTTCTACTCAATTTCCAGAGATCACTTGAATTTGTTAGCCGGTGAGATCCTGAATCGTCTATTCCCGTTGCTGATGAGCGAGGAGAGGCCGACAATCGCGGCAATGCTGCTCGAGCATTGGATTGCGCGAACGGATTATTCAGCTGATCAACAGGTGAATTTTGATGTACTTTGTGCAAAACACACCCTTTCTAGTCCACTAAATTCCTTTCATAACTACCGTTTACAGTAACCCGAGTTACTGTAAACGACTACTGTAGATGTTTTGGTCAAAACAACTACAGTACGATCTCGAAGACCTTACTCTAATTGAATGCAATTTGAAAAGTTGAGCAACTCTAATCGTCTACTATTTGATTTGTAGGATATAATCAGTCTGTCTTCTCCAAATGCATGATCCAATCCTTTTCCAGTCACTTCTTCTCTGTCGTCGCCTCATGCAACGGTGTCGCAAGTCGGCGGATTTTCGAAAACGGTTATCTTACATGATTGAGGTAAGAGAAAACAAGGTTTTATCTTATCCATAAAAACAGCAAATTAACATATTAATTGCACTATTCAGATAAAACATCTGTTATCTAGATAAAGAACAAAAAAGATTGTAGTTTAGAGGAAACAATGTCTAGATTTTTTTTTATACATTATCTACATAATTCTATGATTTGTTATCTAAATTATGCAAAAGACTTTCAAGACTCTCGATATGTAAGATTGAGAAAAAGATTGTAGTTTAGAGAAAACAATATCTCTAATTTGTGTATATGTTACTTCAGGATCTGATCGAGACGTCCGTATCCGGTCATTGATGATCTTGTGGTCGGATTTGGACGTCCGAATCCGGCCATTGATGATCCAAATCCGGTCATTGATGATCTTGTGGTCGGTTTCGGACATCCGAAACCGACCACAAGATCATCAATGGTCGGATTCGGACGTCCGAATCCGGTCATTGATGATCCGAATCCGACCATTGATGATCTTGTGGTCGGATTCGGACGTCCGTATCCGGTCATTGATGATCTTGTGGTCGGTTTCGGACGTAACATATACATTATCTACAGAATTCTATAATCTTTTTTTTCTAAATTATGCAAAAGACTTGTCTCGATATGTAGACATTTTCTATTTCCCTCTTAGTAACAGATCTTTTTTATCTAGCTATCTCGATATTTAGTTTATAGATATGTAGATGTCTAGATGTAGATTGTTGTCAAGATATTAGCATAAGAAACTTGTAAATAAATGCAATGTACATAATCGAATTGCAGGACCTCAAAAACGAGAGATACCCGGGAGCCGCACAGCTGTTAGAGACCCTAAAATGATATTTTAAAAAAGGATTTTTTGAGAATTTTCCAAAGCCGTTTCTGTGATCATTTTACAGGTATTCCTTTGCATCATTCGACTGCTAATAAATGCTAATTATATCGATTTTTTTTTTTGAACAAAACCGTTTTCGGGAAATTTTTATCAATTTGCCATTGGCAATTTTTAAAAATTGTACATTTACTCATGGATTTTTGAAATTAAATCATTTCCTTTTATTCACTGTACTTTGTGCTCAAATTTCGTAAACGAATCCCATCTTGCGCACTCGATTCTACATAGCTATAATGAAACTACCGTAGTCCGAGTGGTATCCAAAGCTAGAACCTGTCCAATACCGTTTCCCGTTGGGTTCATCTGTTTATGGAATACGGTAGTGATTTAGCAGCTTTTAGATTTGTAAAGAGGTTGGGGACGGTGGCTTTTGTAGTACTAGTTTCTTTTAGCGAACAATGAAGAATTGAGTGCACGAGGGGGAGTGCGTTTATTGCTTGAAAGTACAAAGTACACAAATGTTATCTTACTTCAGCTTCAGAATGAACGATTCTTTTGATGATTCTTTCAACAACCCGTTCTCATCATTTCCCAAAGATGAAGTCATTGAAGAAATGGAAATTCAAGAACTCCCAAAGAGATCATCACCAAAAAGGAGCTTTTATGAGGTACTCAAAATTGAAGAAAACATGAGCACCTCGATTTTAGAAAGCTGCCGATTTAACAACCGAATACGAGCAAGTTCTTGAAGAGCTGAGGCGAGTCGAAGTTGACGCGCAACAGGTCTTTTGTTTTCTTTTGTTTATTCATTTGTGTTTTCTAAAATGTGTTCCCTTTCCTTAATCTTCTCGATTTTGTCTGATTCTGAATTCTGTTCTCAAAGCTGCTTTAGCCCGACTTGGAATAGTTAATTTGCTTAGTCCAGCTCAGGTAAATTATCTAGATCTAACCCTGGATGGGTCTCAAGTCTAGGATATTAAGTCTAGGATGCAGAGGGGAGGGCGTGGCCCGGGCGCGGGTTAGTCGTGGGCCCATGGGTCCCCCCGAGCGCCCCAGCCGGCAGGAGTACATCGGCTACGCACACGCCGTAAAGTGGACGGGTTGTTCTGCGGAAGAAGATAAATTTATAAGACTAGAGCAAGAATGCTTACCTTGTAGTAATGTCTTTGAAGAATTTCTCAAATTTCAGCTTCGAATCGGGCTCGAGTTGCGTCGAGCGATGACTGGCTGTAGGAGTGAGCGAGCGGATGAGAGAAGCGGCCCGATTTCGTGCAAGATTCAGGTTAGATATTTGGGTTAATTATAATATAATTATATTATAAGTAGATATGAGAAAACTTTCTAAAGATATATACGTTTGTTGCTATTGTTGACGTAATCAAAAGAAAATATTTTAAAATGAGGTAAAGGGTGGTCTAGTCTTGTAGTGTTATCACTGACTGCTCAAAGAACAAAAAGACATAGTAAGCATCAAGTATTTTGCTAAATTTCAATATTTCTCTTTAAATTTTATATATTTCTTTATTATTTTATCTAGTAGATAGTGAAAATTGATTTATTTAACTCCGGTTAATCCGTTCTGATCATTTCCCAAAGATGAAGTCATTGAAGATTAACCTAATCGATAAAGATTACCCTTAAGATTATCCAAATCGATTAATCCATTGTATGAAGCAAAGAACGCATGAAGATACTGAAAATCTAAGCTTCTTTCTTTCATCTTCCATTTTTCTCTTCACAAATTAATGTCCTAGATAGCTGAGTGGTTAGAGCAATTGCCTGGAAAAGAAAAGGTCAAAAGGGTCAAGGGTTCAATCCACCAGAAATTCTTCTTTTCCATTTTTTGCCGCTTCTAACTTTATTAACGAATTTCTAGGCCACTTGGCTCAACAATGGTCATTTATTCTTGGAAGAAACCCTCAAAAACACTTGCGGAAACTCGTTACTCGATTGGTCACTAGTGACAACGATGAAGACGGCTGGCTATAGAACAAGTGAGTGGCTGTACTTGGTACTCTGTAAACACACCCTTTCTGGCGCGCTCAATTTGCATCTCGAGTACTGTAGTTACAATACTTCTTTAGCCTTCAAGTAAGCCTAAAAGTTGCCCATTTCTACCGTATCCCAAAAACAGGATACAGTGGATTTGGGCAATTTTTAGATTTGCATACAATCTGGAGTACTGTAGTTTCGTTGCACGATAGATTTCCTTTTAAATGGGGAATTCAGTGCGCCAGAAAGGGTGCGTTTGCAAGATTTTTGCAAGGTTTGGATAAAGCTTAACTTTTTTTTCTAAAATTTCAGCCCCACATCGAGCGCGGCACACAAACGAGGCACATTGCGTCGAGTTGGGGAAATTGTTGAGCGGAGAGGAGTTTCGGGGTCGGATTTTGAACTATAACAGTACTCTATCGTACTAGATATACTGAATACTGTAAAGCTCAATATCATTAAGCTACGGTTATCTAATATAATGAAAGCTTTAGCCAATTTGTGCCTTCCATCCACCTCAACAAGCCTCCCGATGCTCGTCGAGGGAAAACTCATGCGAAAGTTCGACCTTGGTCATGGGGATTTGTGCGTTTACAGGTGAGGATTTAAAAAAACAATTATTAAGAATACGGTACGATATTTACTACAGTAACCTGAAACTAGAATCTCTCTTGACTCCCGACTCATCACTTTATGGGATTTGGCGACACCGGTTGATGGGAGAAATGAGAGCAATCTTGAGCTCTTGGATCGAGAGGTCAATGTCGGTTTGTTCAGAAAATAGCAGCGATATTCTAGAATCAGTTAACAGTTAGCTTTTCATCACTCTATAAACAGAAGCCAGATCTGACCTGGCCCTGGAACACTCCTGAAATTGTATCCTTTCAAAAGCTACAGTAGCTGACCCTTGTCTTAGCCTAGTCTTATTGCTAGCCTTGATCTTGCCTGGAAAAGTTACCGTAACCTAGAGCCTAGCCTGGCTCTGGTTTAGTCTAGTTCTCAGGCTGTACTGTAGCCTAAATTTCAAGCTATCCAAAATACTGTAGCTTTTGTCATCTTTTGAAAATGCCGTAACGAAAATACCCTTTTAAGAGTACTGTAGAAGGATGGTAGAAGTACTGTAGTACTGTAGTACTGTAGGTAGTACTGTAGTACTGTAGGTAGTACTGTAGTACTGTAGGTAGTACTGTAGTACTGTAGGTAGTACTGTAGTACTGTAGGTAGTACTGTAGTACTGTAGGTAGTACTGTAGTACTGTAGAAGGTAGTACTGTAGAAGTACTGTAGGAATCAGAAACAAATAGGGATTGTTTACTGTAGTTGAAATGATGCAGAGGGTGTGCTTGCGGGCACAAAGTACACCAAAAGCTCAAGATTTCTTGGAAGAACTAGCAGAACTAGGTTCCTTATCTCTATAAATTTGGTTCCTTATCTCCCTAAATTTGTAGCCGGGGTAATGTAGCTTTTTCACTTTTTAGGAAACGCGAGAAGTTACTACAAATTTTAGTGCACAACCATGACCCTCCCGGCACCATTCGTGAATCTTTTCTGTGGATGTCCAAAGGATCTAAACATCAGCCATTTATTGAAAAGTCTCATTTCATCAAAATATCGAGAAAAGATTCTCGAGGAACAACGAGAGATTTTGTTGATTTTCCCGTTTTCGAACGTCGAGAAACATTCAGTGAAGGTGGGATTCGATTGGCTTTTCTTTTAAAACTGTCTGTCTGTCTGTCTGTCTGTCTGTGTCTGTCTGTCTGTCTGTCTGTCTGTCTGTCTGTCTGTCTTATAAACACGTCTTTCTTTGTCTTTGAACGGTAGATTTGGCAAACTTTCAAAAACACGACAATTTTTAACTCATTTTTTTCAGATCTCCGTAAATCGTCCGACTCGTCGCGATCCATTTACGCTAAAAATCGGATGCAAAGACTCAAGAGCCCGAACGATTTTGGTCACTGATTTACAGGTTGGCTCAAAAGTGCGAAACGCATATTGTCTAGCGCACTTATGTATTCCTTTTTGCCAATACGTTTTCTAAAATGCATCAAATGAAATCAAAGAATAGATAAAAAATAGAAACAAGATTGACCGAACTCATTTCCAAAGACAAGGCCTGGGGTTAAGTCTTCATTCAGATTCTGGCCAAGTAATAAAACCAGGTCCAGGCCAGCTCGGAGCAAAGTTAGGGTCAGAACCAAGCCCAAACTATTTGCTAATCTGACCTACTAAAAAACCCCCTGCCCAGTCAGGTCTGACTCTAATTGTACTATTAGACACCTACTTCCCGTAAATCTTGGAATGTCCTGGCCCTGACTTCTGGCCAAACCTGGCTTCAGGCCAGCTTGGCTGAAGAAGGGCATGTTATCCAAATTATCTATGGTTCTAAGACCAGGTTTGCGGAGGCTAAACCCAAGCCAGTTCAAAGCTAGGCCAGAAACCAGATCCAGATGGACTAATGCAATACCGGACACAAACTAGTTGGACCAGGCCAGAGGCAGACCTGAACCTGGGCCTTAGGTCAAGCCAACAAAGGTCAGGTCCAAGCTAATCTTGGCCCAGCCAGGAGTACGGTATTCAATTTATCTATAGCAAATTGTAAATGTAAATGGATTGCAGGCTGCCCTCCTCCTCGAATGGAATTCATTGACTCGCCATCCTCGGGATTCGATCGTCGAAATCGGAAACAGCGAAACGCTGAGCGAGGAATTTGAGCGCATTTGTCGAAGCTATAGTTGAAATGGGCAATTTATGCTAATTATATTGAAATTCTATGCAAATTTTGATCACTTTTAACTGTGATTGAAAAACTTTCTGTTATGGGTTAATAAATCGTGTATTTGATTTGTAAAATTGATGCTTTTAATTGCTTCCAAAAGCATTGTGATTTTTGAGGAGAAGATGGCTTCTAAATGGCTTTTAAATGGCTTTTAAATAGCTTCAAAATGGCTTTTAAATGGCTTCAAAATTTGCTCGTTTCAATTGCCCAATTTCAGAATTTGAACAAATGTCCTCCGAATCCCTCTCGGCGTTCATCGTTGGCGCCAGTGGAGCGGTGGGGAAACGACTCGTTCAGGTCATTTATCCAATAGATCTATCCAATAGATTTATCCAATAGCTCAAGCTATTCTATTCAACGGTAGCTTTTGGTGTTCTTTAATGTAGCGTCCAGGAGTACAATGTGGCGCCATTAAAGTCTACTTAAAAGTTGTCGTATACTAGGCTACAATAGGGTGTTAACAGATCGATATAGATAAAAGATTTCAATTTAGATCACCTTTTTAAGTGATCTTTTAATTGAAGCGAGTTTAATTTAATTGAAGCGTTGTTATCTACGGCAACTTTTAGTTTACTTAACTAATCTTAACTTATCTAGGTGCTCTCAAAAGATAACAACTTCTCGAGGATCGTCTTGTTGGGGCGACGAACGTTAGAGTTGGAGGAACCCTCGCAAAAAGTGGTCGGTTGGGAATCATGGGTTTTTGAGCGCTAATTATACGCTTAGCTACTGTAACTACTGTAAAATGATACAGTAATTCTAACTTTAAACTGTAAATGGCGGATAAAAGTGCAAAGATTTCCTATACGGGTTATACGAACGCAAAGAGTTCGAATTGAAAACTACTATTGTGGTCACTGGCTACGGTAACCCTAAACTACAATAATCGTAAGCTTCAGTAGACTCACTAGTAGTTCTAGTGAGTCTACTAAAGTTCTGAAGTCTACTGAAGGCTACAGTAACTCTGACGCTAGTCTTTTTCGTTTTCTACCCTGATAAGTAAGTATGATTTGAAGAAAAAGATCTAAATGCTTATCAAAGCGCTGCCTTTGTCATAAAGGCCTAGTTTTCTTTGCCTTATTGAACAAACGAAAAAATCAAACTTTTATAAAAGTATATTTATTTAAAATGAATACAAGAAATATCAGGAGCAACGGGTGATCGACTTTGAGAAACTCGATGAGCATCGTGCCGCTTTTGACGGCTTTGATGTCGGTTTTTGTGCTCTCGGCACAACGAGGGCTAAATCGGGAGCGGTGAGTTTATAAAACAAAATCAATAAATTGACTTTTATCAGAAATTCAGAAAGGTTTCTACCGTGTCGATCACGATTACATTGTTGAAAGCGCAAAGCTAGCAAAAGCAGGTGGCACAAAAACGTTTTGCTTGGTTTCGAGTGGAGGGGCGAATGAGAATTCTCCCTTTCTTTATATGAAAACAAAGGTGAGAATTTGGGGGGAAAATATTGGGGGAAAAGTTGATGAAGAATACAATTCGACGATAATATAGACGATAATATAGACATAGGTGTGTCAAAAACTGGGATAATCTGCAGGCTACAAGATACACTACCCTTCTTTACAAGATCATTAGAATCCTGTACAATTTTTGATGACTTAAATCGCTGCTGTGTGCGCCAGAAGAGATCTGATTAGATTAGAACCAAAAAAACAAAAAGTCAACTCTTTTTACCGTTTTCTTCTTAGGGCCAAGTCGAGCGTGAAATCACCGAGATGGGTTTCGATCGTTTAGTCATCGCTCAACCTGGAGTGCTTGAGGGGCCAAGGGAGGAGTTTCGTTTTGCTGAAGCTGCTGCAAAGGTTTTATCTTAGAAATCTATCTATCCATCTATCTATCCATCTATCTATCCATCTATCTATCTATCTATCTATCCATCTATCCATCTATCTATCCATCTATCCATCTATCTATCCATCTATCTATCCATCTATCTATCTATCTATCCATCTATCTATCCATCTATCTATCCATCTATCTATCTATTCATCTATCCATTCATCTATCCATCTATCTATCCATCTATCTATCTATCTATCAAATTAAACTTTCAGTTCTTCTTAAAGCCAATGAAGTTATTCACAAACAATCTTGCGATTGAAACGATCGACGTGGCAAAGGTGTTTATTTTTTGAGTGTTTTGGAATGTAAAATAGTTATTCCCGGGATTACTGTAACATTGGATTACTGTAGTTCAATTGTAAGACTACTTTACTTAAGAGACTTACAAGGCTACAGTATCATAGCTTAAGGACAGGACAGGTTTATTGTAGCCTGTGACTACTACAGGGAGTAGCTTAGGACTACGATAGCTTAGTGTCAGCTCGAGTTACTGTAATTTGTTGATTATAAAATTTTCAGGCTCTAACCCTTTGTTCTCTTCAAAAAGGTGCGTCAAATCGTGTGGAAATCATTCAAAACGCGGATCTCATCAAAATGGCGAGAAGTTACGATGAAAAGAAATGAAATCCCCCATTTGTCTATCGTACATTTTCTGTTGTACATTTTCTATTGTACATTTTGCTATTAAAGTTACCGTATAGAGTGAAATCTTTATGAAAGAAATTTTTGCAAAACTGAATAAATACTGTTTTTTAAGGAAAACTTCAAAAAAACTCAATCCGAATCCAGCTTAGGACAATGTTGTTGTTGTGGCTTTGTTGTTAGCTAGGGGTTTACTGTAATTTCTTTGATTATTATCCCCAAATTCTCCCCTCAAATTCGAGACTCTATCCAGGATTTTCGGAAATCTTCTGAAAACCGAATCGAAATTCTCAAGAAATCACCTTATTCTCATCGGATTTCTATTTTCTTAACAGCTTTCGTATGTAAGGGAAATTGGGTAGAGTGGTAGAGGGTAGAGTGGTAGAGGGTAGAGTGGTAGAGGGTAGAGTGGTAGAGGGTAGAGTGGTAGAGGGTAGAGTGGTAGAGGGTAGAGTGGTAGAGGGTAGAGTGGTAGAGGGTAGAGTGGTAGAGGGTAGAGTGTGGTAGAGGGTAGAGTGGTAGAGGGTAGAGTGGTAGAGGGTAGAGTGGTAGAGGGTAGAGTGGTAGAGGGTAGAGTGGTAGAGGGTAGAGTGGTAGAGGGTAGAGTGGTAGAGGGTAGAGTGGTAGAGGGTAGAGTGGTAGAGGGTAGAGTGGTAGAGGGTAGAGTGGTAGAGGGTAGAGTGTGGTAGAGTGCTCGCATACGAGGCCGCTTTCTCATCGGATTCGAATGGGTTTTACTTTTCGTTTCTTTTGGAAAACCCTTTATTTTAGATGAACCTAAGCAATCTCCATCCACAATTTCAGGTCAAGAAATTCACTTTTCAAAGAGTTTTTATCAAAAACGATGAAACTAAGATAGCCTATTTCTATTGTACATTAAAGTTACCGTATGCGGAATTTCTCATCTTTATTCTCACCAAAAATGCAACTCTCAAATCACTAATTCACACAAGAAAATGACTTATTTAACAAAAAAAAAAAAATGATTGTTAAGGCATAGATTTTCGAGGGGAAAAAAAGGGACGATATGATCGATGATTTCCCGATTTTTAGAAGAAAAACATCGAATCGAAGTCGTTTGCCAGTGAGAGCTGCTCGGCGAAAAGGGCTTTCTAAAGGAAATTTCAATTTAAAGATTGAAATTAGTTTTTAAACTTTAACGGAGATCCGCGGCACGATATGGTCGATTTTCGAGGCTGCCTTTTTACTTTTAAGAAGACGCACACTGTTCAAATCTTCTTTTCGTTTCTGAAAATCAAAGATTAACAAATGAGTGTACTAGGAAAGATGTGTTTGGAAGGACACAAAGTACAAAGTGTACTGTAGCTACAAGATAATCGTAATACACCGTAATACAAAGTATTGTGACCGTCGTACCAAGAAAATTATCTAGACTACAGTAAAAAGATCGAACTTTTAGAATTTATCAAGATCTAACAGAAAGACAAATTTGCAAACGATGAATACGGTAACATTGTCGAGTTAACAAGTTTTATACAGAGTACTAAGGCTACTATAGCTAGGATTACTGTACCGGAGACTACTATAGCTAAAATTCGAGTTATTGCAGCTTGAGGAAGCTGTTCTTTTGGGTTACTTTAGCTCGTCGCATTACGGTAATAGTCCTATGGCCGGGTACAGTAATCTCGTCAAAAGATCCAATTTTTAGAATCCCAAAAGAAATGAGCACAAAACAAACGATGGCGAGACTGCGGATGCTCAAATACCGAAGCGGATTCAGGCGTCTGAAAAGAAAATTGAAAAATCGTCTAAAACAAGGCATTTATTGTAGTAACAGATAACTTTTAAAGATCAAAAGTACTGTAACTAGTTGTTTTTTAAAAAAAAAAACGAAAAACTTACCCTCTCAACAGAAAAAAGGCCATTTTGCGGGTGAGAAAAATGAAAAATGAAAAAGTTTTGAAAAGTTGACAAAATTAATTCAAGTTTGAAATGCAAATCAAAGAATTATAAATATTAATTAAATCTAGAGCACTGTAGCTTGACCAATATATGAGCTTGCCAAAGAAGAATCAGAGAAACAAAAAGGTTAAAATTTTGTGGTTCCGGAGAGGAGTAACTTTTTCTTTGTTTAGTTAAAGGTCGGATAAGCCTCTCCATGGAAAACACGAAACAGCGGACGGGAAAAAATGGCTTAATTCTACTAATCTGTTTTTTGCCTAGCTCAGCGATGTCAACGGTGGGTTTTATTGTACTTACCGTACTTACCGTACTTACCGTAAATACTGTAATAGTACCCCACCCCGCTCGTACAGTCAGGTAGCCGCAAAAGTTTTTTCGTATTTCATTTTTTTTCAAAGCGCCCGTACTTTCAAAAAATGCGTCTTTGGTATCTAAAAATAGCTGAAATTCAGGCCTATTTTTTGATACCTAAGCGCGCATTGTAGCATAAATCAGTGTCGAGAAAAACGCGTCCAAAGCTAGACTACACACTAGACTCTTTTTAGGGATCGATGAGTGTCATTTTTGCAGGCTTTTAGTGGTAATCTTGCTTTTTAGAAAGAATCCGCCGAGAAGCCTAAGCTGAACCCTAAGCCAGAGCCAAAGTTAAAGACGTGCGAGGTACAAGTTTGTTTCTGATTTATAAACTTTTAAATTGGTGGCTTGTAGTAACTAGTAGGAGAAACATACTTGTTTTTCCCACTACTGTATCTTTTCTTTTCCAAAGTGAGCGCTCATCATCTTGACCTGAGTTTGTTTTTTCAGGCCCACAGCTGCACCATTCACCCCACCACAACACCGTCAAACGGCGCGCGGTAGAGACTCGGGGAAAAGCCATGAAAAGGTTGGATTGGTTCAATTCTCTTTGATTGATTCCCATTTTGTTTTAGGCACGAAAGAAGATGAAGTCAAAGGTGAAAAAAAAGGCGAATGCGGATGGGGTGCGGCAAACGAAAAGCTCACAAATGGTCACATCGGGACGGGCGAGTGATGAATGTTTGTTGGTTTCTAACGCTTTTTCTTTTCAGAGGATCCAAATAGCCACCTCATTGGTGGGCATCGCGCCAAAAGTCTGCCCTTAAAAACGTCTTAAAAGTCTGCCCTTAAAAACAAAGGACAGCCTACAATACTATAGTACACAGGTAGACTGTACTGCAGTACATGCTTTAAGGGCACGAACTAGGGCCACATAAAAGATCTTATGAAAAATTCAACGAAAGTTCACATCTACGCAAATTGTTCGTGACAATTTGTTCCCGCTTGTGCGCTGAAATTCGACCCCCGATCGCACTCATTCACTCATTTCAAAAAGAATGTGACTTTTTTGGTTCCCCATTTGAATAATTCATTTCCTAGTTAAGAAGACTTGACTCAAATGTGGAAGTTCGGAAATTTTTTTCAAAAATGATGAATTTTCCTTTTCAGAACCCGATCGAGCGCGAGCTGACGAATGCGAGGGTGGTGCGTTTTCTTGTTTGAGATTTTGTGGATACACGTGGATTTAGGACACACGCGACCGTGGTGTGCCACTCGAGGCGGAAAGCTATTTCCATGGATTCTTACCGATGGTTGTGCTTTTGTGCTGTTTTTTATGCTCTGTTCTTTTCTAGGGCATTGCGCGACGGGAACTCATTGGCAACAACTCACAAGAGGGCTTGTTTATCGTCTACATCACCGACATTTCTGGGGAAGAGGTGAAAAAAATTTATGGCTTGCTTTACCGTACGATAATATTTAGAGCCTGGTCGTCTCGGTGTGCCACTATGGGGTGATCTTCAACTACAAGATTCGAATGTTCCGCGGCACTCTCTACTACATTAATGATCATTTGTTGGCCAAGGTGAGGGGCTGATTTTGTTATAGCTGCTTGATCAAATGATTCTAGTTGTTGATTTTAGACTGTTCCCGCGTTGATCGAGGCTTTCATGGCGGAGAAGTGGCCATTGGAACCGTCGGGACCGCAGCTGCTTCGTGGATTGCCGCGCCCGTCGTGGATCTGGGGACAAGAGAGCGTGTTAGCCGGGAAAGTCATCGGAAAGGGAGCTTTTGGCGAGGTAAGATCACTATTTTGGATACCTAAACCTTATGAATTGTTAGCAAATTGCATATCCAATTTGTACACTGTCTATTTTAGGTTTCCGACGGCACTTACGGAAAACCGCCGAAGAAGTGCGCGATCAAGCTATTCCACTCGGGAAATCTCACCGATGCTAGCAGACATTCGACATAGTGAGTTTTTTTGGGACAAATGTTTAGCTATTGTTTTATTGGTATCTTGTAATTGTAATTTCTTTAGCTCAAGCGGCGCCTCTGTGACACGGCCATCATCAAACTCGAAGTCCGAAGCCTCCAGCAACAAATCGCCAACCATCACCGACAAGTAAGATGATTTCTCGGCTGGCTTTTTAATCCATCATTCTGAATAATCCATGAATGATTATTCAGAATGATGTTCATCAACGAGGCTGCCATTCTGGCGACGATCACTCACAAGGCCGTCATCCAACTCTATGGAGTCGTATGCATTATGGACCCGCTCATGATTGTGATGGAAATTGCGGCTGGTGAGGGTTCCTACTATGCTATCTAAAATCTGGTACATGATTCTTGAAATCAACTGATTTTTCTTCTTTGGGCGGATCGTTGTTGCAACTGCTGAGACGGAAACGCGTCAAAATCGAACAGAAGCAGAAGTTCACGTTGCAAATCCTCTCCGGAATGCAGTACCTCGAGCAACAGCAGGTTTGTGAGATGATTAGTTGATTAATTTTTTTTTCAGTTGATTCATCGTGATCTGGCCGCCCGAAACATTCTCATCGACGAGTCGGCCCGATGTAAGATCAGCGACTTTGGTGAGTGATTCATTTCGGCTTTTGTTGAATTTATCGATTTAGGCATTTCCGTATTTGGCAAAGAGGTTCAAGGGGACAAGCGGCTCAAGGTGGCGATTCGGTGAGGGTTTTGGGATGAAATCTGAAACTTTTGCATAGTCCTTCCGTCGAATTACTACACGTAGTTGCGGCAGTTCAAAATTTAAATTTGACTTTTCATTTTGTTTTTTTCAGCTGGCTTTCTCCGGAGGCGATCGAAAAGGGGATCTTTTCGAGCAAATCGGACGTCTGGTCGTTTGGCGTGGTGACATGGGAGATCTTCACAAACGGTGCCGTCCCCTACCAGCATGTTAAGGTTAAAAGCCTTTGCTTTGAGAGTTTCTTGGATGTATTCCGTTTTTAGTCGCTCAAAGATGTGAAAATCGCCGTGGTGAGGAATAAACTCCGATTGAAGGCGACACAAGGTGATTTACTTTTGGAAATCGTGAGTATTCTTTGATTTGCAGAAATGCCGGCAGCCACGGCCGAAATGATGGCATTGTGTTTTGAGGAGAAGGCCGAGCGACGGCCATCCTTTGACACATTGAAGAATAGGTGAGAGCTCTTTTGTTCAGATTTAGCTTTAAACAACGTTTGTGATAGCTCCGTATAAAGCGATTTTCTTAGGTACAAGCCTTCGTCGATGGGCCGGTTGACGAATTGTATGCCAATTTTGCGAATGAACAAATCCAAGGGAGGAGCCGAGATGAAAGAAAGTGACGCACTACCGAGAGCGCGCGATGACGCTATCGCGATCGGCGAAGTGAGTGGCTTCTTACAAATTTTACTGCTACATTAAAAACGTTTAGTCCAAATCGTTCTTCGAAAGCGATCAGAAAGGAAAAAAGAAAATCTAGATGAGAAGAGAAATGAAAAGAGCGGCCTTCTTTTCTTGCATGTGTGTCTTAAGTTTTTGAATGTATTCTGTGTTGTGCTTCAAAAAAGCTTATTCCTTTTTGGTGTAAAAATGCCTGGGCAATAGAGTTGCTTATCGATATGATCGATACAAACGGCTAGCTCATGTTTGACCGTTCAGTTTTCGGTTTCTAGAACAGCTACCAATCTGCAAATTGTTAACTGTTCTAGAAACCGAGATCTGAACGGTCAAACATCAGCTTGCCGTTTGTATCGATAAGCAAGTCTACCAGCAAAGTAATTGGTGATAATGATAATTGCCAGTTCTCCAAAACCACTTTTTCTGGGGTCGTTCTATTGAATAACTTTATTGTGAAGAATATTTAATAAAATAACAAAACAACAATCAACAACAACAACAATAAAACAACATTCGAACTGAGATTCTGAATTGAGATTTAACAGAAGAATATTTAACAAAACAACAATTTTAACAACAACAATTTTTTAACAACAATTTTACCAACAATAATTTTAATCTCGGAAATGCGCTGTTCGCTCAAAAAGACGAGCCCAGAATAAAGCCTGAAAGGGAAAAGTTATAGCAAGCTTTTACGTTAAAACTTTCGATATTTGATGGCTTAACACAAAGTGCAGCTCAAAAACGTGACTACGACTAGATCTTTCAGCTAATTTTGACAATTTCCAGTTTGCATCGCGCTCAAAAAGTGTCTATTACTTGATCGAAACTTTCAAAACCCCCACCGTCCAAATAGCGACAAGAATGCCGACGATGATCCCGACAAGCACGTCGCTCCAATGATGCCAATTGTCTGTGATTCGAGTATAGCAAATCACTAAAATATGAAATTTAAAGATAGTTTTGCGTTTTAAAGCTAAAACATTTAAAAATCAATTGCTTACCCAAAGCTGCACAAAGTAAAATCGTTTGCACGAGACTGACGAAAATTTTTGTCGGCTCAAAACGCCCAAGTTTCGCCTGAAGGTAGAGCTGAAAAGAGAAAATTGAGATTTTATGGTAGGTTTAATCTAAAAACTATAAACTCCTACACTTTACAAGTGTATCATAAATAACAAAAGTGCTCTAGTCACGTAAGATTTTCAGACTGTCATCAAAAAAATTCCATCAGTTTTAACATGCACTGTCTACGGAGATGTGCATAACATTGCACTTAATTACATTTTCTTGAGAAATTTCTCCAACAAATAAACACTCACAATGGCGTAGAAAGCCGTGTAGACGGAGATCGCCGAGTGACCCGAGAAAAACGAGAGACGCGCCTCGTGCACATCGGTCTTCGAGCCCGTACAGGTGTACTCACCAATGTTGACGAAACTGAAAAGATAGAGATTAAAATGGGTATGCTTTGTCATAGTAATAGCCAGGACTGTTTCTAGGACCATTTTTCTAGGTCAAGTCAATTGTTAGCTTTTGGCTTGGCTTTTGTTTTTTAGAACGGCCTTCGTATACTAATTTTAATGTTTCGTGACCTAGTGTACAAGCTTATTCTAGAGCTTGATCCCGTTCCAGAGCTTCAATTTTTGAAACTGTGCAAGGTTGAGATCACACTTGCCAACACGAGACAACACCAAATCGAGAATTCGTGCAGAGATTTGAATTTAGATTTATTTGCCGATAACTCCTCAAATCCAAAAATACCTATCCTAAGTTCTATCTGAAATTCACTCAAAATTCATTGAAATTTCTATGCGTAGTTTAATAACTTTATTGTGAAGAATATTTAATAAAATAACATAACGACAATTTTTTAACAACAATAATTTTAATAACAACAATTTTAACAACAACAATTTTACCAACAATAATTTTAATAACAACAATTTTAATAACAACAATTCGAACTGAGATGAGATATCGATCGTTTCACTTTCCATTTCCGGCAGCCTCCTCCTGAAATGAGAAAGTTTGTATTATTAATTTATAATGCCGGCTTAGATCGGTTTGAAAAAGTCAGTTCACCTTTACATTCCCCATCGTCTCACTTGTTGATTCTTCTGATTGTTGAGCGCTGGTGATTTGATTCTAAACCAGTATAAGTTTATTCGTATCAACGAAAACTTTATAAGTGTTACCATCAGCCCGACACTGGCGCTTCCTTGAGATGTCTGAATGCTAGTCAAGTGCCTTCTCTTTCGTTTGATTTGTGCTAAAACGAATAAGAAATTTAACAAATGGTTTTCTTTAGACTTACTTACTTACTTACAATTACAAACAAGACTTACTTACAATTAGAATATAGCTCTAAAAGTTCAGAACAATAAAAGCTTACCTAATTCTGACTGATGCGTTGATTGCAATGACTTATACACCGTCGAGGCACGCGTTTCAGGACCAGCTTCACGATAGCGGACTTGTAGATCGCCGAAGTGCGCATCGATGGGTGAGTGAGTGACGTGTGCAAGATCGACCGTGGTTGCAGTTCCATACCGTGCGCGCTTCGGTGCCGTCGATCGGCCATGTTCTTCCACGCTCTTGCTTATGTAGTCGGGTAGAGTAAATCCGATGTCTTTTGTGTTCTTTCGCCGTGCACCTCCTCGGCTTGGGCCACGACCACGCTCGCGTACTAAATTTACAATAGACCATTCCCTATTTTTCAAAGGACCTTTTCCAACTAAAATACCGTCGACGCTCGATAGTAAATCATTGAAGGGATTCTCCAAAAATGATTTACTACCGAGCGTCGACTGTATATCAATCGTTTCGAGTCACACTTTCAATCATTTGAAAAGATTTTACCTCTTCCTCGTGAACCCCCACGACCAGTCTCCGTTTGTGCTCCGTACGAAAAACGGCCCGTCTGCACTTGTCCCCTCCATGGATCCTCTTGGCGTCCGAACAAAGCAGCATCTTTGTCTTCGAATCCTTCACCGGCACTTTCGACTTCGTTGAATTGACCATCTTCTTCCTTCACGACGACGATCATTTCCCGTTCAATCGTGACTTCTTCAAATCCTCTTTCCAAGGCCCTTATGTCATCGGTCAACGTTATGGTCTAAAAAGGAAGATGAATTGCACCAATTTCGTATTTCATCAACGACTTTAACATTAAATTCACTTACAAAATGCGCTTCTCCGGACTCGAGCGGAAGCGTGCAGGAAGCGATCACGGGAGTGTTCGGCAGTGGCTTCGGCTCGTCTCTAGTCGGAACAAAGCTAAACCAAAGCGTTATCCTCACAGTGATTGTCACCTACTCCTTGTGCGCCTCAAAACTTGCTCGTATCATCTTCTCTGCCAGTTTTCGAGCTTCTGGTTCTAAAAGAATTTGTTTACAAACAAGCAACAACCGCTAACCAAATTCTGGGCCCTTGTTTTTATCTTCGCGTTTGTCCTGAAGAAAACTAAAAAAAATTTATTAGATACGATAATTTTTGTCTTACCTTAAAGCGTGCCCGCGCAATTTTGCATCCTCGATTCTCCATTTTGTTTCTCGCACAAGCGGTTCCTAAACTTTGTATTCGGGCCAGAACAAAGTTAAATAAACAGATTCAAAGAACTTACCCGCAGCTCTGGATCCAAATCAGCAAACTTCACCGGATCGCGCTTGAAAGCCGCGATTTCATACGGCATTAAAGGTTCCCCAACATCGGGACCCTAAACAAAAAGTTATAATTGCATCCGAAATAGCCTAGTAACACTGGACCGGCTGAGCCTACCTGTTGACAATCGCGAAGAGGATGAATATTGTTGACGAATTGCTGGAATTCTACCTTCACCTCGTCGCAATCCAGCACAAGTTGGAACTAAAGTTAGGTATAAGTACATGATCAAACTAAAAGCCAACTTTTTCAGCTTCTAGTAGTTTCTTTTCTTTCTTCAGGTCCGTGTTTTCTTGAAGAAGCATTGCGTAGCGCTAAATTTTCACTGTTTCAAATGCTAAAGCCATATTTCATACCCGATCGTCATCCATTTCTCTGTCGCCGCGACCGCTTGAAGCTTTCAGCTAAAGGAGATTTTCAAAGTATAGGACTTAATCCCAATTTCTAGTAAAAACTAAATCACACCATTGGCGGTTTCTTTTCGTCGCAATCATCGCCCTCCAAAGCATCCCATGGTAATGATCGATCCTCCATTAACTAAAGGAATTTTAAGTTAGATATCAAAAAAGTTGGAAACAAAAGGAAACGAGTATAAACTTGCAAAAAAGGACCAGTTTGAGGTCTTTGGTCGTTTTCTAGGATTGACCTGACCTGACAATGTAAAATCAAGCCTTGAACAGGTCTGCAGTTATCGATTTATCAGTTTCGTTTTAAAAGCCGCTCGTCTACAGCCTAAGTTGCGTAGCTTTTGCCTTTTAGGCCAAATTTGATGTGCCAGCGAGGTCTGATTTGCCGAAATTCGGAATCTACGCATACGATTCCCTTATATGAAAACATTTTTGAAAAAAGATGCGCAAAAAAGGTAAGAGAGATAAACGAGTCAAATAGCGATAAGTGAATAATGATTTTGTGAAAGATTTCTTTTCCCGACAAAATTTCAATGTTTCAGCTTTTAAGCTGGATATTTTTAACAGAAGAGCTTTTATACCATAAAAGATACTCAGCCAAAGAGACTATATAACCCGCTCAACAATTAATTTTTCATTTCATTTCATTAGACTCGTTTAACGGTCTTTAACGCTCCTTAACGATTCCTGGACTAAAACTTGACATAACTATGTTATAACTAATTATATTTAAAAAACTAATTACTTGTTACTACGCCGTTTGGAGGGAGCACTTTTTTTTACGGAATCTACGCATAAAACTTATGTGTAGTTTCCGAAAAACACAACGACAGCTTGGGAAAAGGCGTTTTGGAGATTTTGACTCAACTTAAAATGCCTTTTTCCCGGCTGCAAACCCCCATTTTCGGAGCTGTTTTATTGATCAGTAAAGATGCACTCATTATCAAATTAGATCTAGCAATCTAGATACAAGTTTAGTCTAGAGCCTTTTAGTTTAGATTTCATTTGCTCTATGCTGAACCCCTTTTTGATAACCTTTATTCTAATCATTAGCACTCATTCTATAAATCATAAATCATAAATCATAAATCATACAGCAATAAAAAATAAATAGAGTCGATCAATTGTCGAGCGCATTTTCCGCCTTCACTTTCAAAGCCTAAAGGGAATCTTGTTAAAACAAACAAGCAACGAGAACCTACCTGTATCAAACGAGTCATTTCGGTTTGCTCCCGTTCGAGCGCCTTCATTTTTGCGTAGATTTCAAGCATTGGGTCGCTGACGCTTTTATCGGCATAATTGGAAGTCTAAATGTGAATAGATAAAAGTTACTCAAAGACCTCGTACCGTGTTCTTCATATGCGAAAGGTCAAAGTTCGGAAGTGGTGGCAAATTGCTGATTGTGCTCTAAAAGGAAAATATCAATGAATGAAACAGGTGAAACACTCACCGTCGTTGCACTTGATGTTTCTTTCGATGCCGATGATGATGTTTGGTGGTGGTCCACATTCTCTTTGTCGTCGATGGTGGTTGCTGAAGAAGTTTGATGGGGAACATTCTCTTTGTTTTCTTCTGATTCTACTGGCGCTTCCTCATCATCCAAGTTGTTCTTGAAATCGAACATTTGAGGCACGTCTGGCAAGTATTGCTTGTCGAAGTCGGTGGCCTTGGTGTTGTAGTAGAGTTGTGGCGTGTCGATGATCGAGGAGGTTTTCGCGACGTTTGGTGGCTCATCATCCTCTGGCTCGGACTCTCTCCATCCGAAGCTCGTTTCGCCGTCAATCTCGATCCGTTCCATCACGAGGCCTTCATCGGCGTGCCCTGCTTCCATTTGATTCATCTCCTCATCGGTCACCAAGTTTCCGACCTCTTCTTTCTCAACCATCTCGATCTTCGGCTCACGTTCTGCCTAAAGTGAAAATTTAACACAAATCGTGAATTTTAAGTGGCTTACTACTTTTCTAACTAAAGCACTTACTAATTTTGCGTTCTCCTCGTCTTTTAGGGCGGCCATTTGATCGATGTCTATCTGGTAGAGGTCCACATCCTGGCCTTCAGTCGAAGCATCCGATTGAGTTGCTTGGGTTGAACTCTCCTAAGCCAAATTTTTATGCATAAAACAAGCACCAATGCTTACCACAATAGGGCTGATATTTCCATTAGTTTTTTCGGCTTCTGAACAAGACCTGATAAGAGTCGACTCATCCTCAAAGTTTGTTGATAAATCGCAATGCGCTGGATCATCCTGAATGTTTGCTTTATGGTGTAAGAGAAACTTCTGCTACCTCTTTCTCCGACTCGAAAACATCGTTTTCAACCAAAGTCGGGTCCAATGAATCTTCTTCTTGAATTAATCCTTCGGCAACGGTATATGTCGCTCCAAATTCAGAGGCAGTGCTGATAGCTGGTGATGGTGGTTCAGAGGTGGCAGGTTCAGAAGTCGCTGGCTCAGACGAGGCAGGTTCAGAGTTGACACCCGAAGCTCGTAGTGCCTAAACCACATCAAAATTGGATCTCATAAACGAATGACTTACATGATCATTGCGATACTCTTCTAAGGCTTTCAGAAAGCCCACTGTAAACAGTGTGAGCGATCTGGCATCTTCCATCACAACACATTGGGGCACCCCGAGCACCGAATGAGCCTAGAAGAGAATTACTTGGATCAATTGCAAATCACACACCGCATTGTAAACTTTCGACCAAAGGTCCTCCCCATCAAATTCGTTTAGCGATGGCTGGTCATCAGTGTAGACTCTCCAAAGCTCGGCGAAGACAGTACCATCACGAATCGATCGGAAACCGTCGACCTAAATATATAGAAGGTTTATCTATAAGCGTTTAAACCTTTTTACCTTTACTCCGACTTTCTCTGCAAAGTCTTGGCATCGTTTGATAAGCTCTTTGCGGAATTCCTTCATCTTGTTCGGCTCAACGGTCTCGAGTGGGGCCACCGGGATTGGTTGGAGGTTATTGCTTTGCATATAAAAGCCGACCAATCGCCACATTAGTTCGATGATGCTTATCCGATTGAGTCCGACAATTGATGCGGCTGTCAAACCTAAAATTGAGCCTTATAATTTGTATTAATAAAGTCTTAAAATTTTTGACACAGTACTTACTTCCAATGTCAACATTATGTGCCTGTAGAGTCGTCAAAATCGTGTTCAGGTTACCAATCTTGCGAATGCGATCTCCAGACGGGCTCCTCAACTTGGACATCAGAGAATTCGACTCCATTCCGAGCAAGTATTCGACAATTCGTCTAAAATAAGCAGGTAAGTATGGAAAGTAGAAATGTACCCAAGCACAATCCCATCTCCCACGTCATCAAACTTCGTGATCCGGTACACGTAGAATTCGTAGAACCTTAGAACTAACTATATACAAATTAAATAGATAAACAAACGGCTGAATAAAGGACAAATTGAATCCCTCCTTTTTCAAGAGTTTTGGCATAATCATGCTTGATTGGAGGAAGAGTCGAGAAAGTTCGGCGAAAACGTCTTTCAATTCCTAAAAAAACAATTTTTTTTCCAAAACTTCCAAAGTTAACCTTGTACTCCGACTTGCGTCCAAACATTCCAGGGGCTCGTACAATGATTGCGGTCTTCTTTGCCTCTTCAACGAAGACGAAGAACATCATGAGCTTGTGAAGAATCTGTAAAAGACACGTTGCAAAGAATAAGAACTGTAGCGAACATGTTCGTGCATCATTTTCACACCGGTTGCCGTCATCAAACGAAGGCTAAACATAGATCTAGAAGCTTGATCCAAAAACAATCCTTACTTTCCAGAGCCTCCTTGCGTTGCTTTCTTGTACTTCAATATCTTGTCATTCGTGAACAAGCTGTCGCGGCAGAAACGAGATATCAACTTAACAACAAAAATAATAACAAGTGTAAAAGCAACATACTGCAACAATGCTTTGTCCTTTCTTGATCGTAATCTTCTTGCCGAATATCAATTCGAATCCCATGTGCAGCCAAAATGGGTGGAAGGACAACAGAATGTAGAGAATTTTCATTTGGAGTTCGATGTCTAGATAGATTCGCTTGTCGGGATGCACATGAACCGCTCCGGAAGCCACCAAACTCTTCATTTGTTGCTCGATTTTCTTGGTAGTGAAGAGGTTCTTGCATCTAAAAATCTAGATTTTCTATCTTTCTATCTAGAATCTAGAAAAAGAGATTTAAAAATTGAGCCTAGTCAAATACTTCTCGCGATATTCGTCCAGCGCTCGACTTTGTGCCCAATCCGCGTATGGCCGTGTGTTGGCGGCGGTCTCGATGTTTCTTCGTTGGGTCAGCATCTCCTCGAGACATTTGTTGGCTTTTGCTTTAACATCATCAAGTTCAACCTAAAACCAGAGTTTAGTACAAATCATAAATTGATAAATACTTCAATGCCAAGTATGTCGCTCTTCATCACCGTGTTCCCCCATGACGCAAGTGCCATAAACTGACGATGCAACTAAACAAGCGATTGTAGCCGTATTTAACCCGGTTTTTACCTCGTCGTCGATCGATCGAGGCTCGGCGAATCCAATAGTCGACAAATCCGCAGAGTTGATTGATCGATTCGAGCCGGCTAGTTGCGCGCGTGCGAGGTACGGGGTAGATGTCGCTAAAGAGAAAATGTCAAACAAAATTTAAAGTACGTAGCAGCAATGTATTTGAAAACAACACTTACCCAATCCAGCGAAGGATTTCTCGTTGACGCCAAACATCGAGATTGCCGAAAGATTCAAGACATCTTCGAGGTGGTATGGGCCCTTGTTTAGTGCACTTGGCGTTTTCATTACCTGGGCTTGCGGATCTGGTTGAAGGCGAGCTTCTAAGAGAAACAAGAGATTAATAGTCGCGAAATGGCAGTTTTCATTGCGCTTTGTTCTTCATGATGTAATCCTTGAAAGATGCTTATTTAATTCATTAGACTGTCTGCTATTTTATCGTGCTGATGTTAAAGAATACCCCCGATAATCTTTCATTCCGCTAGTTAGTTCCAAAATTTATACCTTTCTTCATTTTCAGCTCTTTCTGTCGGGCCTCCATTCGTTCCAGCATTGCTGCTCGCTTCTTTTCAAGTTCCTCGGGATCCATCTTGAAGATCACTAAATGTCAAATAACACATGCAGTAACAAGAAACCGTGCAAAGCAAAAACAAAAACATGGAATCGATGGAAGAAAATGTACGGAGTAGATTTGGCGTCAGATATTTCCCAAATGAAGTACAATACTTATAAAGCTAAAAGCTTAAATCGACTTGGACCTCGATAAAGCCAATATGTAAAAACCTGGGCAGTCTTTGAAATTTTTCCAAAAGCGCAAGCTAGCGGGTGGCTTAGATGGGAGGAGTAGTGCCGTGTCGTCTTAGGTTGTGCAATTTTGCCTAGCCTTTACGATAGCGAGACGGGTAAGGGGCAAAAATTGTGGACGGTGCTGGGAGTTCCAACTCGCAAATCCTGTGACTTCCAGAACCATGAAATTAATTTGCTTCCTACAGAATTTTGCTTCCAGTTCGTTTGCTTCCAGTTGCAATCACTTCAGTTAAATAATTGAAATTTAGTCCTTTCCTGATGAATACAATGCTTTTAAAAGGGCTATATAAAAGAAATAATTCTGTTCTGTGCGTGGATTTTGTACTGCGTCTTTCACTTGATTTTTGATTTGTTTCTTCCGCTTTGATAATTTTTGGATTCTTCCAGAAAATGAGCTCGAATTGGACAAAAAAGATCGACAAGAAAGCAAAAGACGCGAACGGAGTGCCCGAGTTCGTCGCCAGAAGCGGTCTCATCAGCTTGGCCGTCCCGCAATCAGCTCAAGTTTCGGAGGTGAATTTTGTTGTAATCTTTGTACTTTTACAAAAGAAATCTAAGATTGTTTTTGCACCTATCAAGACAAAACCTTTTAAAAATCATTTTACGATCGAATTTAGCCGCAGCCGAGCAGTTCCGCCCTTTCAACAGCACTCTCGCTAGCCGAGGTCGTTCAAACGATTGACGTATTGTTCCCGGACGGTGGCACGCTCTCACGACACTTGCTTGAGCTTATCGAAAGCAAAAGATGCGACGATGAACTACAGGGCGAGGTGGGTGTAATGCGAACTGGGATTAGATTGGGTAATTGGTTTTTGGCTAGACGAGTTTACCCCCGCCCCTTGCCTAGCTAGCCGATACTTTTCTGGGGTTTTCGCCAAGCTGGTCCCAAAATAGCTTCTTTCGTCCATCCCTCTTTATGTGCCTGCTATTTGCCCAAGTTATGGCTTTGGACCTTAATCACGCCGGAGGCTACCGTGTGACCTATGCAGCACCCCGGAACGCCTAGACAAAACTGTAGTCTTACCGATTTTTTTAAATAAAATGACGTGGACAAATTTTTGTGGGCTCTCGACTTTTCAATAAAGATATTTTTGAAGTAAAGTCTCGTTTTGAACGTAATAAATCATAAGAATTCCAGAAAAAAATAAATTTCGGTTTTTAGTTGATTGATCTACTCGGCTTTGAACAATTCGAGATGGTCGTTAGAATATTGGAGTCACGGAAGAGTTTGTGCGAGGAGATTCGACGGAGAACGCGGATGGACACAGTGATTAGAAGTCAAGCGAACACGGAAAGAGTTGGTTTTGGTTTTTGGAACTATTAAAGTTTTTGTTCAGGTTCAAATTCGACAAGAGCCGGCGATGGGTCAACAAATTATCGTGCAATCTCGCGGACAAGCTGAATTGCGAAGGGTTCGTTGAGAAATTGTTTTTATGTCGTAAAAAGATTTTAACTTTCATACTTTTAGGAGATCCGAAAAGAGCAGAAACGAGCGCAAAAGGAGCTGAACAAAATACAGCACGCGTTTGGGGAAGAGGAACGGTTAGAGTTGGAACTTGCGCAAATCCAGAGGCTGAAACTAAGGTGAATCGAGTTTAGTTTTTAATTTGCAGATCAATCACATAACTTATGCATTTGTAATTTTCATTTTTTCAGGGAACTAGAATTGGCACAAGCGCGTCTACCATCAACTTTAATAGCACCGCCAAAAATCAAGGAAAACTATCCCTTTGTCTTCGATGTGCAAAAAGAGTCCGACTTTTCGACAATCGTTTTGAACGGGTTTCGAGTGGGTTTTGGGTAATCTGGCTACGATCACAAATCAAAAAAACTAACCATATTCAACTTGACAATTCGGCAATAATTTACAAATTTAGTTTGCACTTCCCGAGGGCTCCGAGAGAAACGCTTACAAGACGTACGAGGAGGTGAAAGTGCCGGCCTGTCAAAAAGACACGTTACCCGAAATACCCTATGTCTATGTCAAGGATATGGATGATGTAAAAGATTTTAAATTAAAAGTTATATCATCTTTTCTAGTTGGGCAAGCTCGCCTTTAAAGGCTTCGAAAAGTTGAACATGATCCAATCAATCGTTTTCGAGCAAGCCTACAAGACGAAAGAGAATTTGCTGATTTGCGCGCCGACGGGTGCAGGAAAAACGAGTAAGTGAAAGATCAGTAAATCTAGTACTAGATTTAGCTGTTTTATCTATGGGATTTTTATATAAGAAATTTGACGTTAAATTCACTACAGAATTTTTTCAGACATCGCTATGCTGACGATTTTGAACACAATACATGAACACCGAAAACCGACTGGAGAGATCATGAAAGACGATTTTAAGGTTAGTTGTTAGCTTTGCTCATTGTCAGTAGCTAATCTTACATTTGAAATTTGATAAATAATAAATTTGAACATTAAATAATCGTTAGTTGTGCCAATGATTTTTTCAACTTTAGATCATCTACTTGGCACCAATGAAAGCGTTGGCCACAGAAATGACGGAGAGTTTTGGAAAACGCTTGGCACCACTTGGATTGAAGGTAGAAAAGATAAGGTTTTTGGAAATTTTGGTTTGTTTAGGTTCGTGAGTTGACAGGAGACACGCAGCTTACGAAAAAGGAAATATCTGAGACACAGGTATGTGAAAGCAAAGCGTTTACCCTGCTCAAACAAGTGTTTAGATGCTGGTGTTAACCCCGGAGAAATGGGATGTGGTGACAAGGAAAGCCGGCGAGGATTCCCTTACATCACTCGTTCGCTTGTTGATCATTGATGAGGTACTTTTTAATAACAGAAGTAAAACTTGTTCTTAAATTTGCAGCTTTACTCAAATTTCCATTTAGATTCATTTGCTTCACGACGAGCGAGGACCGGTGATCGAGACGATCGTGGCGAGAACTTTGCGACAGGTAGAATATTAGAAAATTTTTGGCTTGACTTAATAATTTCAATGTGTTTAGGTGGAAATGACACAAAGTGGAATCCGCATCGTTGGCCTTTCCGCGACCCTACCCAACTATATTGACGTAGCGAACTTTTTGCGAGTCAATCCCTACAAAGGACTTTTCTTCTTCGACGGCCGTTTCCGACCAGTTCCATTAACGCAAAAGTGAGTTAATGAATGAAATGATTAAATTCCTGTCAAGAAGTATGAAATCTTTCTCGCTGAGCTAATCTAAAATCTTTCAAGACTTATTGGCCAATTGAATATTTGCATTTAGATTCATCGGAGTCCGGAAGAATGTCGGCAACGCCAAGGAAATCAATGATGCAATGGACGAGATTTGCTATAATGAAGTACGGTTTAAGCTATAGTTAGAAAATTTGATTTTTTTTAGGTGCTTGACTTTGTTCGTCGTGGTCACCAAGTCCTGGTCTTCGTTCATGCGCGAAATGCGACAGTCAAGGTGGCGAATCGCTTCCGAGAATTGGCGGCAAGTAGTCGGGTGAGTTTATGCACAAATTTCGGTGAATGTGACTCTTTTCCGATCACTTTTGCAGCAACTATCGGTTATGCATTAGACTTTTTGTTTGGATTTGACCGAGAAAAGAGCTCTAAGAATCAAAGTTGATCAATCAACCATCAGTTTTTAATTTAGGGTGATCTTGAGAAGTTCCTCCCTCCAAACATCGCTTCGAAAGGCTATATGGCAGCAAAGAAAACGGTAGTGCTAACCTTTCAATATCTACGATCAAAATTCTAGGTGCAAGCCTCGCGCAACCCGTTGATCTTCTCAAATTTCCAATTCGGAATGGGCATTCACCATGCTGGTAAGAATAACTTTTAACTTGATCATAAATTTGTGCAATTTAGGTTTGCAGCGAAGCGATCGTTTATTGATGGAGAAAATGTTCGCTCAAGGATATGTTCAGGTGAAGAAATAGGACTTGATTAGTAGGTTAGAAAATAACTCTGAATCAGAGATACAATTGTACATTTTCCATTTCAGGTCCTCTTCTGCACAGCCACACTTGCTTGGGGAGTCAACTTGCCGGCGCATGCTGTCGTGATTCGGGTTAGTTTTTAAACGTTTAAGAATGGAAAACTATTCTATTGATTGCTGTTTGCTGTTTTTCAAAGTTTAATTCAGGGAACGGATGTTTTCGACCAAGAAAAAGGAATGTTTACCGATTTGGGCGTGTTGGATGTGCAGCAAATCTTTGGACGAGCCGGTCGGCCGCAATTTGAGAATGAGGGTGGGTGATTAGGATTGAGTTAGCATTTTGACATGTAAAGTTCTAATGAACAGACCCTCTTTTTAGGTCACGGAATCATCATCACCAATCAGAAAGCCCTCGACAAGTATCTCGGAATGTTGATTCGACAAGCTCCCATTGAAAGCCAGTTCTTCAAGCGGATACATGACAATTTGAACGCCGAGATTTCTCTTGGTACGCGCAATATTTTTTGCGTCGGATTTTTGGATAATGAACGAGTACTCTTTTGGTTCTTATAACCACCATTTTTAATGTTTTCATAAATTAGCACGGGGCCCAAGTACTGGACTGTTTAGGCACTGTATCAACGGTCGATGAGGCAGTCGAGTGGCTCTCCTACACCTACTACCATGTGCGAGCACGCGCAAATCCGATCGCCTACGGACTTCCGCATAACATTTTGGATCGGGTGTGTTTGAAGTCTTTGATTTGATCAAGTTAAAGATTTTAGGATCCAAATCTGCGCAATCGAACTACTGAACAAATTCGGGATGTCGCCTCGGAGCTCGATCGTCAGCACATGATTCGATTTGATTCAATGTGGGACTTTCTATGCTTGGGATCAACAATGAGAAGGGCTTATTGAACTTTTAACTTTCAGGAATGGTTTCCTTTCGTCGGTGGATCTCGGACGAATCGCCTCGCAATTCTACATCAAATACGAAACAATTCAAATGTTGAATGCGTCGGCAGGAGATCAACCAGTCATCTTCAAGTAATTGAGAGCTTGTATAAAAGCAATTATCAAAACTTTTAGTCAGTTTATGCCCGACGACAAGGTGCTCGGAATCATTTCACAAGCTACTGAATTCACTCAACTGAAGGTACTTTATTTAAAGCAATTTAATTTAATTTTAAATGATTAGGTTCGCGAAGAGGAGATGGTCGATCTCGAAGAGTTGACGGCGACAGGATGCTTTGTGCCAATTCGTGGCGGTGGACTTGTGAGCGTGGCCGGGAAAGTTAACTGCTTGCTACAGGTATGAGCGCAAATCTAATAAAGCTTAACAAATTAATTTTTCAGTGCTTCATCTCTCGTTGCTTGATCACGTCGTTTTCCCTTTCGTCCGAGGCTCTCTACGTTCAGCAGAATGCGGCTCGTTTGAGTCGAGCGTTTTTCGAGATCTCGCTTCGACGAGGATGGGCGAATGTAAGCTTTATGCACAGATCTTTAATCAGATATTTTTTAGGCCACAAACTCTTTCCTGCACATGAGCAAGTGTATTGAGAAGCGAATGCCGCCGAATCAATCGGGATTAAGGTTCGCTAAGTACTTGATAATGGAGTTGCAAATTAGCATTGCACGAAAAGGGGCCAACAACATACCCAATGGTTTATTCAAGTACAAACATTTAGACAACTCATCGAGCACGGTTTGATCGGTTTGTTGGCTGTTGAGAAAGTGGAACGGAGAAAGATCAAAGAGCAACAACTCTTGGAGTTCAACAAGTCCGAGTTGGGGCACATGTTTTCGGTGGACGGACAAAAGGTTAACCAATAGTATCAGTACTTCAAATGTATTTTTACAGCTCTATGATGCAATTCACATGTTGCCACGGGTCGAGTGCACGGCTGTAATTCAACCAATCACACAGTCAATATTAGCTCCAGTATTTTGTTAATGCTGCCTTGTTTAGTACGATTGTCCAAGTTCGAGCCACCATCACGCCATCGTTTCTCTGGCATGATCGACTCTTTGGGAAAGTTGGTATAGATTTTATTTTGCCCCACTTACGTACGCATCCAACGTTCAACTTTCAGAGTGGAGCGCAAGCCTTTTGGGTAACGTTGGAGAACATCGACGAGAATCTCATCTTGCACCATGAACGCATCAGCATTCACAAGAAAAAGGTTGGATTCAGGGAAATTTCTATTTTCTGATTTCCAAATTTAGGTGATCGCTCAAGAATCCCAGGAATTGATCTTCACGGTGCCGATCCGGGACAAAGAGTTGGCAAATAAATATCAAGTACGAGTTGTTTTGTGTGGAGTTGTGGTTGATGTTACTGTTGGATTGTTCGTTCTTCATTTTGTTTCAACTTTTAAATCAATTTCTACTTTTCAAAACAGTAACATGTTTTTTTAGTTGCGAATCGCGTCGGACTTCTTTGTGACGCAGGACACGACAATCGCGTTGAGCACCCACAATTGCATCTTGCCCAAGAGTTACACTGGACATACGGGTGTGTTTATTTGAATGTTTCTAGCCAATATATTTGGGAAAAGGCTGTAGCTTGCCGTATCTAGGACGTCAGGTAGTGAGTCAAAGAATTGTCACCTTTTGAATTCAGTCAAGTTTAGATCTCCTCCCGCTCGATCCATTGCCCATCTCAGCGCTGCACAATCCGCCATTTGAGTCGATCTTCAGCTTTAAGTTCTTCAATCCAATTCAAACACAGGTATGTATACTAAATTTGTGCTAGTGGGTTTAAGGGCTAAAAAGCGATTGTTTAAAGTTTAATACTGAGATCTAGCTTCGTATTGCGTATTGCTTTTTAGAGTACTGGATTCGTGATTCGATAAAGCCAATTGACTATAATTGTGTTATTTTCGATTTTCTACCCCCTCTACATGACCGACGAGTCGTGCCTCGTTGGAGCGCCAACCGGATCGGGAAAAACGGTGTGTGCCGAGTTGGCCATCTTTCGACTACTACAGAAACATCCGGGCAAGAAGGTAATACTTTTTCAATCGAAATAAATAATAAGGAGCTCTTGGTCTGTAACAGACTTGAAGAACAAGTCAAGTAGTTGGATCAATTTAAACAACCTAACACATTTGCCAATTTCAGTGTGTCTACGTGGCTCCGTTGAAAGCTCTTGTGCGGGAACGTGTCTCCGATTGGAAAGAGAAATTTCAGCGAAAACTCGGCTACAAGTTGGTGTTTACCTCAAGAAAATTTCTCCAAAAAATTGTAAGTTTAACTAAAAAGTTTATTTAGAGTCCTTGAACTGTCCGGTGACTACACACCCGAGGTGAGCGAGCTGAACGCGGCACCGATTCTCATCACAACCCCGGAGAAATGGGACGGAGTGACAAGGTGAGGATTGTTTTTATATTCTGCGATGGTTTGAATAAATGTTTTTATTTGGCTCGTTTATTTTTTACCGTAATGTGTCTTGTTTAATAAATTTTGGACCATTAATTTTACAATTAGCATTGTGCATTATTATAAAACCACTTTAGATCTTGGGCAACGAGGGAGTACGTTCGACAAGTCGGTCTGGTGGTGATCGACGAGATTCATTTGCTCGGCGTGGAAAGGGGACACGTTTTGGAGGCGATTGTTACACGGTAATAATGTTTAAAGCAAGATGATATTTAAACTTTTCATTCAGGCTGAAGTTCCTGACGCGTCGCTCGTTGTTACGTGACATGTCAGCTCGTTTGTTGGGTCTCTCGACTGCACTGGCGAATGCGGGTGATGTGGCGCAATGGCTCGGCATTCCGGAGGTGATTTTTGTAAGCTTCTTGTATATATTTTCTTTTTTTAGTGGGGCTTGTTCAACTTCCGACCATCCGTCCGACCGGTGCCCATCAATGTGCACATTGCCGGCTTTCCCGGTCAACATTACTGCCCTCGAATGGCACTGATGAACAAACCGGCTTTTAAAGGTAAATGAATCCATTGGAGCCGCAAAAGCTTGCAAATAATCAATTTTTTTGGTAGTTTGGTTCAAAATAATGTTTTAGCAATTCTCACCTACTCCCCACTCAAGCCGGTAATCGTTTTCGTGGCCTCGAGAAGACAAACCAGGCTGACAGCGTTGGCTTTCATCTCAATGCTGGTGACAAGTATCGATCCAAAGCAATGGTTACACATGTCCATGGATGAGGTACCTAATTTCATTTGGGGCACCTGCTAAATACTTCTCCTTTTTTTAGCTTGAAGTCCTCATGCAGAGCATCAAAGATGAGAATCTCAAATTGACGCTGCCGTTTGGAATCGGAATGCATCATGCCGGTTTGCAGCCACACGAGAGGTCAATTGTTGAACAGGTAAAAGAGTTGGAACATTCTTGATTCCTAACCCTGACGAATATCCAATTTCTTGCTTCCAGCTATTCGTCGACAAGAAGATTCAAGTGTTGATTGCGACGGCGACACTCGCTTGGGGAATCAACATGCCCGCGCATCTCGTCATCGTCAAGGGAACCGAGTATTATGATGGAAAGAAGTGCAAATACATTGATTTCCCGGTGACTGGTTGGTTTTTGGGAGCGGATTAATTAAATATGGTGAACTCAGTACGACAATTTTTTCATTAAGATGTTCTCCAAATGATGGGTCGAGCTGGACGACCTCAATTTGACGATTCTGCCGTGGCGGTGATTTATGTGCAAGGTATTTTTTGGTTGATTGTTTATTGGCGAAGTGTTTATTGTTGATTGTTACTGACCAATGAATTTCAGACTTGAAAAAGCACTTCTACAAGAAATTCCTCTACGAACCGTTTCCCGTCGAAAGCAGGTAGCGAAATTAAAAGTTAAAACGCTAGTAAAGATAAAACTCCTACAGAAACCACGTGGAAACTTTTGGTGTATCTATTGCTAAACGTTAGCAATATCTCAGCTTTAGCCTGCGACCCGCTTTGGCCAACCATGTGAACGCTGAGGTGCACGCCGGGACGATCACCACAAAGCAGAGTGTAATGGAGTACATCGCAGGCACCTATTTCTACCGAAGACTCTTTGCGAATCCAAAGTACGGCTAAAAAGTTCTCTTTGTATGTCAAAATCATGTCCAAAAGTTGCATATAAAATGGCTTTATTTCGTCATAAGTTAGATCTTCTATCTTAACATTTCTCTTTCAGTTTCTACGGCATCGGCGAGCTCTCGGAGGAGTCAGTTTGTCACTATTTGACGACGATCGTCGACGAAATTATCGCTGATCTATTGGAAAGCAAATGTATCACGTTGGATGAGGTATGTGCTACGAATATGTTATACAGTATTATTGAGAGAACGAATATGTTTTATGTTTTTTTAAGAAAAATCGTAAGATAGTCAATGAAGACATGAAAATTGCTTCTTCTAGGAGGACGACTCGCTTCGATCAACGGCTTTCGGTCGTTTGGCTACAATCTATTATATCGAGCACAAATCGGTGCGTTTCTTCCTGAACACAATCACAAAGGAGTCGACGATCGAGGAGTTGCTAAAGATTTTGACGGTTCGTTTAATGGCTTAGCGGTTACAAACAAGTTTTTGACATTTAGGATGTGCCCGAGTACGCGGAGATCCCAGTTCGACACAACGAGGACTTTGTTAATGGGTTGGTTTCTTAATTTTTTTGCTAGGAAACGTTGGATTGATTCTTGAGTCAATTAGCCTCTAAATGTTCAAATTACCAAAGTTTCTCCATTTTAGACAAATCGCTCGCCAGTTGCGCATCAAATTGCCGACCAACATGATGGACTCACCGCACATTAAGGCGCATATCCTTTTCCAGGTAACATTTGCTGAGTTTGTGAGGTTACTCTTCATTTCAGGCTCACTTCTCGCATATCGACTTGCCCACCGACTACAGAACCGATCAGAAGACCGTTTTGGACTCGAGCATCCGTATTTTGCAGGTACATTCAGTCAAACAGTCTTCAATGAATGATTTAGGCTATGCGCGACATTTGCCTCGTTCGTGGTTGGCTCTCGCCGGCGTTGAGCGTTTCGATTCTTGAGCAAATGTGCTACTCGGGCAGATGGTGGGACGATCATCCGCTGCTCGTTTTGCCGCACTTATCTGAAACGGATGCCTTGGCGATTGGGTGAGTGGAAAGATATATGTTTTGGCGCCGAAGCTAAACCAATCTCGCCTAATTGGCTTTAAATGAGAGCTTCAATTATTGAAATATCACCATTTCTTTTAGACCAGATGGATGCACGATTCCGGAGCTGCAAGAACGATGGGCGATCACACAATCGAAAGGATTTGATGAGGTGAATCTTTAGCAAAATTAGTATTTAAAGGTCCGGTTATGCTCAGTATTTGACAATTCAGGTGTGCTCTCGTTTACGCAAGCGGTTGATCGAACAGACGACCGTTGATCCAAGCAAAGTCAATGAGGTAGCTTTAGTTATTTAAGCTATTTAACATTCTTAACTGCCTTTTTAGGTGATCAAAACGGTTTGCCGGTATCAGATCGTTCGTCTGAATAAATTTCACTTCAACTGGCCTAGTGGCGAGGAGCGAATCGCTTTTGATGTAAGTTTTGAACAAAATCTAATCTTTTTAAACGATCAACTATTGAAAGCTTTTCTTTCAGAACCCGAAGAAAGTCTACCGTCTACCGAGAAACACCGTTTGCAAGTTGGTCATCGAGCTGGAGTCGTTGGGACCGAATCGGGTATGGTTTTTGGGTTGCTAACTATACAAAATTTATTAGATAACGATGCCAGTTCTTAATTTTACTAGTTACAATTAGTACTAACTGAAAACGGTTCAGATTTCAAATTTCAGTTTTCACCCGACGCTTGCCTCCCGTGGTGGTCCAAGGAGAAAACGGCTGGATGGGTGTGTATTCTCGGCGAGAAGGATACACAAAAAGCTCTCGCTTGTCACTTCATCGCATCACCGACACCGCGAAAAGTCGCCCGCTTTGAGCTGCACACACCGGACTTTAGGTACTTTTGGGCGTAAGGTTTCGAGAGTTTTACCGACAATTACGGTAAAAGCTAGTTTATTGTTTAAGGAATATCAATCAGGGTTGTCCCCAAAAAAACCAAGTCATTACAAAATTATGAAACAACAACGAAAAACGTTGCTAAGGCTTGTTTTGTTTAGTTTAGTTCTGTTTTTTTGGTCTAGAAACAACCTTGGAATTGATTTTATGCTTCTTACTGGCACTTGGGTAACTGAACCGGGTACAGAGATTTAAAATTTCATAACTTCCAAGTTCCAGATCAGACTAGGACGGATTTAAAAGACTAGGCCGGTTTTGTGCAAAAAATATAGACTCAATTCTCACTTTCAGTTCTCGTCTCAATTTGTCGCTTTTCCTCTTCTCGGATTGCTATCTCGGCGTCGATCAAGAGTACAATTTCGGTGTCGAATTTTTCTAATTTTGAAATTTTTTTATTTGTGCTTGGATTTGTCATAGGGTTTTCGGAAATTTCCGTTTCACCAGTGAATTTGTGATGTTTTCGAGAGTGATAATTTGCTCGTTTAGACGGGTTTTTGTAAAATGTGCCTTCATTTTTGTTGTTGTTTTTTATTTAGCGTAATTAAATTTAAAATTTTTTAGGTAGGTAACAAATAAAATGTTTTCTGCTTTCGGAAAAATCACAAAACGGTGAAAAGCCAAGCTTTTAAACATAAATTGGTCAAATAGGACTTGAGTTTCGGATTTTAAATTTAAATTTTGATATCAAAAGTTTGCTTAAGGATAATTTTTAGATTTTTTGAGTGTAAGGCAAATTTCCGATGATGGGCTTAAGGCTTTTAAAAATGGATAAGTGACAAAAGAAATACCCGTATTTTGGCTAAAATTTGGGAAAATTTAAGAACAATGGCTATTTAAAATTACAAAAAGAAAGGGTTTTAGATTTCAAAAATATCAACAAAATTTATAAGTCGATTCGAATTTGCGTGTCTTGTGGCGGTGATTGGGCTGAGGAGGGGAAGGTCGATGGAGCAGTGGACTGGTTCGAAGCCAGTGGCCTCAACAAGAAAACCGCGTCGTTGAGAAGGTAGTAAGGCTGGAAATGGAAACGAAATGAAATGAAATGCTTCGTAGATAAGACATGGTTACGATAGACAGGCTTTTCCTAATTCCTAATCCTAAAACGTGTTCCTAAATTCCCTGAAAAAACGAATTAGGGGAGAGGAATACTAGTAGTTTTGTACGAGAAATTAAAAGGTGATTAAATCCACCGTACTCCGAAACGGCTACAGTACTTTAATGCCCGTTTTCTGGGCCATTTTAACGGTTTGCATGACCGATGCAAAACTTTTACAGATCCCGTAAAGTTACTGTGTCCACTCTGTAGAAATTTTCTTTTAAGCTACGAACCTTTTTAAAGTCACCCTCGCACAGGTATGGCAATCGGGTCCATCGGATCACCTGAAATGATAGAAGATAGAATTTCCTAGCTATAGCTTCCTAGCTAGCTCACCTCGAAACCGGCCGGCTCAAAAGTCTTCGCGATGAGCGATGAGACCTGCTCTTCGAAAGTTTTCCCCTCAACAGCGATCCACGAATCTGAAAGGAAGAGAAATGAGTGCACCAGAAGGGCGTTTACGAAGTGAACTCCTCTAGTGCTTTGTGCTCTCAAAAGCCATAAACACACCCTTTCTGGTGCACTTCACTTACCCGGTCTCGTCGTCGATCCATTCGGATGAAATTCGACATATTGTCGGATCGGTAGCACGATTGCCATCATTACTAAACAGCCGTTCCGCGAGGAAACCTCATGGAGTTGTGAGAGGAGAACGGACGGATTGTAGTGTCTGGAAAAAAAAAGATTCGTTTTCTAAAAGGCATCTATTTTTTGGCAAACTACCGTAATCCGCCTGCCAGCTATTTTTCATTGAATCAGCCCAACTTTGGTCAAATTCACAATCAAAAGGCAGGAATCACAAGGCTCAGTCAATGTGACCAAAGTTCGGCTGATTGAGTGAAAAATGGCGGCTAGATTACGGTAGTTTGTCTAAAAATTTTAGACACGGTGCCTTCTAGGAAACGGATTGAAAATCTCTGACCTATCCAACAAATTGAGGACGGTGATCAGATCGAATTGTTGATTTGATTGCTGTCGATTCCAATCGTCCACCTCGAGAACTGAGAAACCCCGTTCACGGAGACGCCATTGCATTATCTGAAATGGGAATCGAGATAGGAATTTGACATGATCTCTGGATTAATGCAAAATCAAACACACCGACGACATCTCGGTGGCGTGAATGTGCTCGAAGAGATCCCCGGCTCGAGCCGTCACTCCACCATCACCGGCGCCAAGATCGAGTAACTGGAAGGGGAAGGGGATTGCAGATTTTGCGAGAATAAAATACACAGTACGCACCGAATGATCAGTGTCAGATGAATCGATAAAATATACAAAAAAATATATAAAACCCACCCTTTTCCCTCGGCGATCCCATTCGACAGGCAAGTGGAGAAACTCACGGAGTTGTTGAGTCGAGAAGATGAACATTCCACCTGGGATTTAAAAAATTAAATGAATAGAGACAAGATTACGGTAGAACGAAGGAAATGGACAGGGTTTAGGAAATAGAAAAATTCTACAACTCACCCCGATTGAGTAACCCGTTCGATGAGGTTTTCGAGACGAACAACGAGAGAAATGTTGACGCAAGCGCGTACCATGTCTGACAAGGGAAAAAGCTTTCATTTGTACTTTCAAAAGTGTACTACCTGTAAACAAATGGAATTGCTGACGGCGAACGATGAGTCAAGGAAATCCTGAGTGGAACGATCGAAAAATGACAAATGGAAGAGATCGATGGATTGTGGAGTGAGCAAATCCTCGCGTGGCACGTACCTGCAATCAAGAATCCTACTTTAAACTCTCAATCAAGATTCGCAATCAAGAATTCTACTTTAAACTCTCAAATTCTCATTTCTAAGCTTCTAAACCCTTTCTGGAGCACTTAGATTCTCGTTTTTCTCGAAGAAAATGAAGTTCAAGAAAATTTCAAGAAAATTTTTTCAATTATTCATTACTTCAAGAAAATGAAGAACCGAACGCACAAGAAGGGATGCGTTTACACACTTTGACACAAAGTACATTTGAAGTTCTCTTTGAATTTCTCTTTCACTCACCAATCCGTCCTGTCCACCACACTCAGCACCTCGTCGGTTTTCTCTTTTTCCATTAACATTTGCGAGATTCGTCCACCTCGATACAAACGCGCCATCGATGAAAAAAAAAGTGTATCAGAAGAGTTCTGAAAGTTCATTTTACAATTTGATTTTAAACGCAAAATGAAAGTTCGAAAAAGTTTCGACAAAAATTGGACAGCATATGCAAATTTGGCGCTCAACTTAATTGAAATAAGTCTTTGAGGCTAACTATGGGATAACTATGAGATAACTATGAGATAACTATGGGATAACTATGGGATAACTATGAGATAACTATGAGATAACTATGGGATAACTATGGGATAACTATGAGATAACTATGAGATAACTATGAGATAACTATGAGATACATAGTTAAACGTAAATCTTGCTAATAGCTTCCGGAACTTTTCCGTAAAAGAATATGTAAATGCAAAAGCTTTAAATTGAAAGTAAATTGTTTCAAGACGAAATACAAAAATTTGTCTTAAAAATTCAAATGAAAATTCTTTTTTTTTGTCGAAAACGAAAACGATAAAATCAGAATGCAAAAAACAAAAACACGACACATAATCAGCTGGCTGAAGTAAGGCCCGTAAATTGGCGTTTCGCGTATTTTTTTAATGAAAAAACGGGGTCAAAGTCGCAAAATAATTGGATAAAAGCGCAAAAATTAAGTAAAAAGAAAAGTTTGGCTTTGAAAATCGAACTTTCAATGGATTTATCTCGAATTTTTCTCTTTTTATTTGTTTTCTTCGATGAAAATGTTGTTTTCCTTGTTAATTTCTGTTAATATTTATTCAATTTTCCTCATTTCAGATGTCATCAAAGAAGGCGTTTGACGTGTTGAGCAAACTCTTCAAGGGATACCAAGGAAACGAGTCATTTCAACGAGTCGCCGCTGCAGTGGGGTTTTTTGTTTTTTTGTTTTTGTAAATTTTGCTTTTAAAATGAATCTTAAAAAGTAAAAGAAGAGTTTAAAGTTTGAGAAAGAAATAGTGCCTATTAAGGCACTATCTCTTTCTCTTTTGTTTCCAATCTGCAGCGTGCTTTTTAAAGCTATAAATGTTTTTGCCCAGCATTGAAAAACGCTTCGATGATGGATCGAGTCTAAAAGAGCCTATGAGCTTTGGGGAGGGGGGCACTTTTTTTTCACCAAAACCATTTTTCCTAGAGTAATTGATGACGCTAATCACGAAAAAAGCTATTTGTAAAGAAAGTTAGTAATGGATAAATGTCCGTTTTTTATCATATCATCATTTCCACAATTTGGGCGTTCGTTTCGATGCAGCAATCCAATAAATTCCAACAAGTTCAAATGAATCAAATCTTGAATCGCTTTTTTAGCCGTTTCTTTTTGCTTTGTAGACAAAAGAGGATTTGTTATGTTTCCAAGCGTTTTTAAGCTAGTCTACCATGTCAAAACGTGTTAAAAAATCAAAATCTCAAAAAAGAACGAAACATTTATGTGTTAAAACCTTTAAAATCCGGTAATTTTTGAGGTTTAAAAACGGAAATTTTTCCATTACTAACTTGCTCTAAAAATGACTTTTTCGTGATCAGCGTCATCAATTACCCTAGGAAAAATCATTTTCAAGGAAAAAGTGCCCTCCCCCCCTCCAAGGGCCATAGTACCGAGGCCATAGTAGTTTTTACATAACACAAGTCTTTTCTTGAGAAATCAGTCTTTTAGTGAATGTTTATCGTTTGAAAAGATTTAAATTTTACGTGAAATGACTGTACTCCCTTTAAATTTCAGTGCCGAGTCGTGACCGCCGAGCCGACGGGGAAAGTTCGTGTCGAGTTTGATGTGGCCAAAGAGATGACGAATCCGTTCGGGACACTGCACGGCGGATACACGGCAACACTCATCGATATTGGTGAGGCATTTCTTTTGATACTTCTTGTAGTTCGTAAAGAATAGATGCTCGAATTTTGCTAAAACACGTTTCAAACCTTGGGATTGATGAAAATTGTAGTTATTTGGGATTTTGACCGTCAAAAGGGTTCCGGTCATGATCTTATAAAGTGATTGGTCAGACCACTCATCCAAATTCCCGATTTTTCAGTCACAACCACCGCTCTGATTGCAGCCGAACGGCCGCCCGGTGTCTCCGTCGATTTGCACATTTCGTGAGTTTTAAAAGCTAAATTTACTTCTAAATTATGTATCTAAATACTATTTAATTAAGGTATTTAGGCTTCTAAATACGCGAATTATCATTCGTCCATTCTTTCAGTTACCTCTCCGCGGCGAAGATCGGCGAAACAGTGGTGATGGATGCCGAGGTGATCAGGGCCGGTTCGTTTCTTCTTTATAAATAAGTAGCCTACTGAATTTTCAATCGCTTTCCAATTGAAGGTCAGTCAACCGCTTTCACGAAAGCCTCTCTCTTCATCAAAGGCACCGATAAATTGATCGCCACCGGATTGCACACAAAAGCCTTGCCGAGGGTGAAAAGTGAAAAGAAATAAACATGCAAAAATATGATGTTTGCTTGTTCGTAGATTTCCTGTGTACCTAGTCCAAAGGTTTATTTATTCTTGCGTTTCTGTGATTTGACGTGTTTTGTTGCTCAACAATCTTTCAATGTTTAGGCACGCTTCGTTTGGTAGATAAATGTTTGAAAGTCATTGACTCCCATAGTTCCCACTCAATTCTAATTTTTTAAGTCTCAAAGCCACAGCACAAATAAATCTTTATACACTTCGTAAAAACACGCAAAGAATTGACTAAATTACAAGCAAAACATCACCGGAGAAACTATAGCATAGAGGCATACAAGCACTTGGTTACAAATTATTATAATACGAATTTTTGACGTATTACGTGACGCATTTTTACGTTCACATTTCCATATAATTTTCATTTGGGCGCGTCCTCATTTCCTCGTTGATCCACTTGAAATTCAAGTCGTGCGTTGGCGTCTCCGAGGTTGCCGTGCTCATATCGAACTTCTGCAAAAAGAAAGTAGACGTAAAATGTTGCAAAAGTTCAAACCTTTTCAGTAGATGCCAAGATTGGGATCAACAAACTAGCATTGGGCAAGCGACGGTTGATGAGCGTGTTGCGGACTGTTTCAATTGAGCGCACTCTAGAGATGGGACAAGCGAATAGGGTGTAGACCCATTTCTGCAGTTCCCTGGCCGCGAGTTGAGATTGATTGGCATCTAAAAAAACCGAATCGAGTATGCCCTTTTGTTTTACTTACTTATTTATTTATTTTCTAGCACAGAACCAAAGCACGGAATTTAATCAAGCACAACTTGCCTCCGATTTCTTGCACGTGCCACTCGAAAACCCGAGTCCAAAGCAGCGCCAAATTCTTCACTGTCTGTAGGGCATTGTTCGATCCACAGTGTCGCAGCAACAAGTTGAGAAAGTCTTTGCTCTTATAGTGCAGCAAGCGATCCGATACCTTAAAACCAGGATTCCGATTCAAAAACATGATCAAACCTTTTCGACAAATTCCTTCTCATCGATATTCTCGTCAAAGATGAGGCACATGATCAGCTCGGCCAACTCTTGTGATGTCCGCGCATTGTCAATCAACGAGCGAACCAACTAAAATTTATTTTTGACAAGCATTTGAAAAATATCTTACTTGTGGTCGATTCACGTCTTGCAGCTTTTTCAGATCCATATCGTAAGAAGCCAACGCGAACATTCTCATGTATGAAGTCCACTCGATTTGTGCGCTAAAGAGAAATAGTCTAATTGAAAGGCTTTCAGGTCCTACCAAATGTGATCCTCGGTGTCAAAGTCGAAGTACTGTTTGAGTTCTTTGTTGTTAAAAGTCACGGCCATCACGCAGAGAGCAAGAAGTCGACGTTGGCAAGAGCCGAGTGAGAAGTCCAACTAAATGTAATCTTTAAATGAGGTCGAGTAAAGTATTAAACTTTGGCGATCATCTGACGAAGTTGCACCGCGTAGGCTTTAAGGTCTCCTCGGCGAATGACATGTGCGATTCGAGTGGTGATCACATCAAAGACGGGCAGACGAGCAATTTTCGAGTCGGATTTTGCAATGCCGGCCATGGGAAGTGATTCGTTCATTCCCATTGTCTAAATATTACTGTAAACCTTAAAAGCCTATAAAAACCAACATCATTCATATCGACGAAAGCCTCGGATTTCTCTTCTTGAAGCCATCGATCCACCAATCTTTTTTCAATCGTCAACAGATCCGTGCCGTTGATATGAGCCAGCTCTTGAACGGTCTTATACTTCTTATCTGAAAAGGAAACGAAACATTGAATGTTTACAATCAATAATCCACCAATATCGCTACTATCATTCCAATTGACTCCTTCCAAGTAAATGTGTTCGATTAGCTTCTCCGGGTCATAATCGAACATGAGGTCCGAGCGAGAAATCTGCGCAGCGCCAAGCAGTCGCCCCGTCTCGAGTTGGATAATTTTCATCTGAATCGACGTCACTTTGCTCCTCAACTCGGCCTCCTCTTGGTCCCGAACATTCTAAAATTATATCAATCATTAAAGCCCTGTCGCTGATTTGGCAATTTAAAGTTATGAACTCACATAAGTCGCCTTTTTCTCAATCCACTCTTGCCCAACCTTCTGCGCTAACTTCAGAAAACTTAGTTGAAGTTCGGTCGTTTTCATGCTCGCGACGCAGGTCGAGAGAACCTGTAAAACAAAGATATAAGATAACTGACAGCAACCAAACTGTGATCACATCGGCTCGATTCGTATTGCTCACTGTGCACGCCCAAATTTTCTCGGAGTCCCCTTCAGACAGTTGATCTTCCTAGAAACAAGATCATTAAAGCTACGAATCACAACTGACCATCACTGCTTGTCTGGCGCTTTTGCACACGGCAATCTTCAGAAGTTCCATCCGTGAAATCGACCGTAAAAAGTAACTGACACCCGATGCGAGTTCTTGCCAGTTCTAAATTAGGGTTCGTTGTACTTTATAAAGCTCTCACCGTCAATGAGTAGATATTGATCTCCAATTCAATGGTCGGCTTTAGGTACTTCTTGATATCATCGCTGTTCTCATACAAAAATAGGTGCATCGGCAGGTGTTGTTTAGCCTGAAAGCATATGATCATACCATCGAAACTTTTCAACAAACTTGTGATGGCAACTTTTGAAGCATTTCTTCGTCCAACTCTGTCAAAAGCTCGTCAATCACCGGTCCAATCTCATCGATGTTTGGTCCATTTAGATATCTGGAAGTATTTAATTTAAAAATCCAAGAGATCAAAATACCTTGAGTGAATAACGCTTGAGAGTTGCTGGATTGTGAGGTTCTTCTCTTTCAACGTCGTCTCAATGTATCGCTCGCGTTCTTTATACCAGATGTATTCGGATTTTGTAATTTCTTGCTAAACCAAAATTTTCACGATCTCGATTTCACGAACCTTTCTCGATAGCTCTTGTAAAAAGATGAGGACGGTCTTCAACGGTTGAATTAACTTAAGATGAATTTCATTGTTGCACGCGAGTTCCTCCAATTTTGCCAATGTCGCCGAAAGCACTCGATAGTTGTACGGGGAAAGCACGTAAAAGATATCGAGTAGCACCGCAAACGAATTCTCCAAATCGACTCGTGATAACTAAAACAAACACTAGCTTGGACTTTTGCTTGACAAGCTTACATCAATCGCGAAGCTGGCTTTTGCGAGAAGCTCGTCCACAACTTTCACATCTTTTTCATAGCTAGCTTGATAGACGAAGAGAGCGCCGTATTGCAGTAGAAGTGATACGGACAACCCAAAAGCTTCAAGGAAACTAAATTTTACGATTTGTCAAGAACAAGGAAGTGATCATACTCAGCGACAATGTGCGGATCCACACGAGAAGTGGCAAATGCAGAGAGAACGCCTTCACTCTTCGTTGATGCGTTGGCACAAAGTGTAGATGGAAGTCCCATCTTGCGAAGCTTCTTCTGCCAAAGCGCTTTCCGGAAGCTAGTCTGAAAAAAATGATTAGATGTATTAACCACGACTCTTCTTAATACTAACAGACACAAAACTTTACTTACAACTAGATTTCCCTTGTGGTCGGCGCCTTGACTCGAGATCGCTGACATGAATTGTGCAATTCTGTAGTAGTTGATGTACGCTTGCGGGCTTTGTCGGGCTCGTGTGAAATTCTTCAACTCTCTGATTACCAACTAAAATTTCCAAGTTTGCTTCATTCAAAAGCGAGTAGTGCCTACATTTTGTCTATTCGTTGCTGGCACCGTCAGTAATGCTTGTGTGGCTGTCCACAAATCGGCCGGATGCGAATCGATCACTTTTTGGGCAATCATCTGCACACTTGGCGTCAATTCAACTGTTTTCTTCTCAAAGCAGGCTAAAAATAAATTTCATTGAGCAAATTTCAAAAGCATACGCAAATATGAAGCGTAGACTCGAGCCGAATACTCGAGTAAGTTCTGATTGTGCAGCGAAAGATGACTGAAGAGATTCTCCCAATCTTCGACCATTTCATTGAGAAGATTTTCGTCGAGTCGCTCCTTTGACGCGATAACACTTCGAGCCACATTGCAAATCAGTTGTGCGGTTTGTATCTGAATGCCATATTAGTTTGGATGACTGCTTTCTAAACTTCCAACCTTCTCATACAATGAGGGGTCCTTTGCATAGCTGTAGCAACCAAGTCGATGCCAAAGCGACATAAATTCACTAAATTTTCAAATTCGTTACAAAGTCCCAACAAAATTGCCCACTCTCTATTTCGCAGCACATCCTTGAGTTTCTCCTTTGATTCAACAGCATGAGCCTTGTCGCTAATCGTATCTTCATTAGAGCCTTGTTGGAATACAATACAGATCAGATCGATGTATCCTTTTATCTAAAAAAGATTAAAGTTGTTCAAAAAGATCTTTATTACCCGAATCAACGTGCCATAAGCGTCAGCTGAATTGCATGCCAAGCAAAGTTCCGGAATCCTTGTCTGTAGAGTGAAGGCCCATTCGAATACGATGTCAAATTGTTCTTGCTAAAGATTCAGATTTTTTTAATTCACGAAGATCCATTTCACTCACATTCTCCGATTTTGCTCCATAGAAAATGGCCAGAAGAATTAAATTCAGTGCGTCCAAGCAAAGCTCTGTCAAACGTGATGAAAATGAACGCACAATCGAGATGGACTTGCTAAAGAAAACTTTGCTTTACACAAAAATAGAACACCTACAGGATCAGCAACACAGCCAAATCGGCATCACGTTGATCAGAATTTTGATTGTGTTCAAACATGAAACACAGCGCTTCTTCATCCGTGAAATTAAGTGTTGCCGTAAAAAGAAGAGCCTTAAAGATACTTTTAAAGAATAAACAGATACGTGGATACCTTTCCAATACTAACATCGTCCTCTAGTGGTTGTCTCTCCAAAAAGGCTCGCAAATGAGTGTGGCGTTCCATAGGTGATCTCATCAGCAGCAGGCTTTCGCAGATGTCGTATTGTTCCTGAAATAACAAAACTTTAGCAATTGTTCTTGTCTACATTAGTTTAATAGCAAGTTCGACAGTAGATCCATTTTGCTTAAACTTTATTACCTGCAAACACCTCAATGATTTGACATTCTTGTAGAGCGTTTCATACATCGGATCCCCTCTCCGGAAGCGAACAATTAGACTTTCAAGGACCATGCATTGATGCAAGCGAAGTTCCCGTTCACACTAAAGCTCGATTTTAAAAAGGAATCATGAAAAACTAACTTTGGATGCTGAATTTATCCTGTTTTCCAGATGAGAGGCCAACGCCGGGATTAACGCATCCAAGATTTGCTTTTGACCATTCGTCTCAGCATTTGTGAGGTACTCGATCACCGAAGGAAGCTAAAGGTTTTTATTTTTCAAACCACAACAAGAAACCAACTTGAGACGACATTTTGTTCAACATTGATTCACATAACAAAATGGGAACGCGAAGCACCGCGAAGGTGGCCTTTTCATTCAGCTGGTTGTATAAGTCGACCAACTAAAAAACAAGGATCCATGACAATTCTGTCAAACTCACCTTTTCAGCATCTTCCGACTGGGTTTTGAAGTTATGATTGGTGTCAGCAAAGATAAAACGAAGAATCTAAAAAGCAAATCATTAACCAAGAATAGTTTTTACCTTTTCAAATGTGATCGTAGTCGCAAAGTAGCTCTGCAGTCGCTCAAAGTCCGTTGCCAAGCAGTACTTCTTTAACAGTAGGGCCATCTCGGCCCGCATACACACCAATTTGAGCTCCTTTTGACTAAACCAAAGATTTTAGCTGACAAGAAGTGTCCAGCTTACATTTTCACATTCACTTGTTTGTCTGCTAGTACGATGCTTACAGCTTTCTGCAACTCCGGATTCCATGGAACAGGCGAAACGCGGGCGATTTCCAGAAGACCTCGATCTAAATTGAACTATTGTTGGTTCCGAAAGCTGCAACATACGTCTGATCTGCGCATTTTCAATGGCACCAATGACGATTAGGCAATATTGTCCGAAGATGCTCGCCGAATTCGATGCCGCAATCTTACACGACCCTCGCTAAACCAACATTTTAAAGAGCAAAAATAACATTAACTCACTTTTACATAGTCGAACAAAGTATTGTCAATTGGCAGGTTGTGTTTCTTCATGTAGGGCCGGGCATACGTGGCGACATTTTCCCTGATCTAAACAAAAAAACTATGTACATTCGTATGACTACAAGCTACCTTAGCCGGACTTCGCAGTGACTCGTCGAGAATTTTGTAGCAAACATCTTGGATCGACATCGTGCGGAATTCGTCGAACGAGAAATGGCAATTGAACTTCGTGCGTAACTCCTTGATGCTCTCTAATTGATTCACGAGCTTTGTCGCCTTGTCCATGATGCTCAGCTGCTCTCCGTCAACGAGCCCGAGATTGCGTGAGACGCAAACCGCGTTCGCCTAAATTTGACAATAGTGAAGTCGAGATGTTGAGTAGTTTCTACAGCACTAGAGGGCCGTTTCTTGAACAAATGTTCAAAGTAATCTCTTTAAAGATAGCCCATAACCGAACAGAGCCAAACCCCAAAACTTACCAGCATCAGTGGTGTAACAGATTCGTTGACTATGTCATTCGCGACCCTATGCACTGCTCCCGCTGTATAAATGGCATTGTCAGGGAAGTTGGCTGAATCGTGAAGCTCCAAGAAGGGAATCAACCAATCGATGAGTTGCCATAGGAAAACGATAGCCTTAGAACAACTTGTTGATGGAAAAGAACACACTCCTTACCTCGATCATTTGTTCAACTGGCAGCACCTTAATGATCTCCACTTCGACTAGCGCCAATGCGTCTCTCCAGCAAGAATTGCGAACTAAAAAAGTTCTTTTCCGACAAAAAAAATTTCTACCTTTGATTCCATCTCGGAGTTGGGAAAACATTTCTTGAAGAAAGCTTGTTGTTATGGTCGACTAAAATCATTCAATCTATAAGTTGGAAAATTGTATGGCCACCTCCTTGGACATCTCGGAAAATTGGCAATCTTGTAAAATAGCAACGCGATGTCGTACCCAAATCATCCGGGCTTCCGCCATCAATCCGAGCATCAAGAACTTTGAGAACACATTGAACAGCTCTCCTTCATTGATGAATTTTTGCCAAAGCTAAAAAGAAATATTCCGAATCAAAGTATCAAAAGTACTACCTCGCGTCCTATTTTGACATCACAGTTGTCGCCCAATACCAGTCGAAACGTTGTCAGTGAGTAAAGCATCTTTGTCAACGACTCAATCGTGTATTGATCTAAACAAATGACAGTTGTATAAAGTATTTTTGAAAACCTGTTAGTTTGAATGCCGAGCAGAATGTCAAGATTTGCAATACACAGTAGGGATTTTCAACTCGATAAGCGCCAACAAGACAAAGCTCGGCTACCTAAAGCAAAATTTCGCATTTCTCGAATTAAAATCAATTGAACATACCTTATCCTGATCCTTGATTTTCTTTCCGATCGCAAGAAATTGATCGATATCCTCATTCGTCGCGCCAACGTCCAATCCGTCTCCAAGAAAAACCATTTGAGCAATGTAGATTTGCTAAAAATTTCCAATTGAAAAGTATGAACTTTTAAGAAACTTCTTCATCGAGCTCGTGCTTCTTCGCAAATTGGATGGCGGCTTCAAATTGGCCATGTTGAATCATTCGATCGAGACATGATTGTGGATTTACTTCGACAAGCTCAGAGATTCGAACGCACGCATCGGGATCACTGAAATAAAAATTCAAAACCGACACAATACAATACAAAACCTGGGGTACTGTGAGGTGAATGGTTCAGCGAGTAGAAGCAATCGTTTGCTGTCGTCTCCACCATTCATCAGTCGAGTTCCAGCTCGAATCGGTAACGAGAAGATCACTTTTCCAGCCGTAACAGAAGCGATTTCAATCTAAATGCATCCGATTTACAAAGCATCCTTGAATGAACTTACATATCGACGCAAATCCCTTTCAACGATCAGCGCAACTTGCTCAAACGTTGGACTGAATGGATTGTCATCGATGATGTGAAACGACTCGATCTTTCCTTCCACGTTCAACTCCTATAATTTACAACTCCTAAAAACTCCAATGACCAAGCACATACATATTCTTCTACGACAATCAGCGTGAAATTATCTATAATTTGCATATTGTTTCCTTCATGAATCATTGCCGTAAAATTCCCTGCAGCATATTCGCTGAAGCAAATTGGCATAAAATCTAAAAAGAGATTTTAAGAGAAAAGTTTTATGTAATTGCCAAAATCGAAGAGCGGATCCATATTCTTTGACGATTTCGACAACATTTGGGTAAACTCTCCGGCTCGATTTGGCACGAACATCAAGTCGCCACAATCGGCAAAACGAAATCCGCAGATATCCTTTGGGGCGTCGAAGCGTTCCTTTGTGATTGACTTGCGAGCCTAAAATAAAAATTTATGTAGCAAATGATATCCGGATCCATTCACCAAGTTTAGTAACTAGTCCTGACAAATGCGCATACCTCGTTTGCAACACCGAGGAAGTTCTCCTTGTCCGCCTGCAATAAGTAATCCCACATTGGCACAATGAGGCGCAATCCAGCTCCAGCAGAAACTAAAAAATAGAGTTGCTAAAGGAAAGCTTATTTGCACCCACCAAGTACCATATGACAACTGCCACCGAATGATTTTGCAGCGAAGAAGCATTGGTTGCTTTCAACTGGCAACTTGTGCTCCTAAAAACCATGGTTACTTCAAAATTGATTAGATAATCCTTACCACTGTGAGCAGCGCATTATTACATATCGTTACGACGAAGATCTTCAAATCCTTGTTGTCCACTGCGATCACGATCGGCTCTTTTCCTCCAAAAGCATAGACGCTGTGAATGGGCGCATCTAAAAGAGCACTAAAAATAAATTTCTGGATCTTAATCTTACCAGCACACCCTTGAGCCACAAAGTTGAGCTCTTTTGTCGAGAAGAGGTTGAAGTCATTTCCGGTAGCGATCGCCATGAAATCGTTGTTACTCTCGCAGACCATCTTGCACTCTTCGCTTTTTAGTCCGACCACATCACTTGCTAAACAACAAAATTTAGATATGAACATGTAAACTTATAATGGAAAGATTTCTAAGCTTAAGATTTTATCTGCGCAGAGGGGCATGTACAAATTTACAAGCGGAACATTACTGGCTGAACAATGATACATGAAAACTTATAATGACCATGACATATAATGGATAGGCAAATAGGCAGATTTCCAAACTCAAGATCTACGCAAAGGGATATGCACAAATTTACAAGCGGCTATGCAAAGCCTTACCTTGAATTGTCGCGTAAAGTCGCCTCTCAAAGAATGAATCGGGTTTGTCCAGATCTTGCGCGGCGTCCTCATCCACGTCGGTGAGCACTTTGTCGAAACGCATCTCTAAAATGGCGCAATTAGTAACAGGTGGACAAAAGGAAAAAAATCAAGAAGTTCAATGGGTAAACGTCGGCTATTCTTAACGCAATTCCTTTAACAGAAAAACATGCAACATCTTGGGGATCTTTCAAAAATTCGCCGTGGGGAAAAGTGCAGAGAAAAAAAGCTCATTTCAAAACCAATGTTATGGTAGTGATTGTGGCAACACGAGGTACGGTGGGGATTACGGTAACAAAAATAGTTCGCTTTCCGGAGTAACCTAAAGCGATTACCTACTTAACTTGCAAAAGCTTCTTAAAATCAGTTATTCACCAAAACAGCTGGTTCTTTTTGCTCTTTTTCCAAAAATTCGTTTCCTTTCTCGTAGCGCCGTGGGGAAAAGTGCAGAGTTTTGCGCGGGAATGCTGAAGAAATGCAAAGGGATTCGCTTTAATGCATAAAGAAAGGAGCTCACATACGAAAAGCGCAAAATAAAAGTTCTACGGGGCATGTTGTAAAGCACACACACACAATGTTCGAGCGAATGTTCACACGTTCGAGTGCTCGAAAGTTCCCGTTCGAGAGTTGTGACCGTTCACTTTCTATGATGAGCTTTGCTTGTGTTGTTTCCATTCAACTCTCCCAACCTTAGTTTTTGCCTTAATCGTGGCCCGGCTAAGAAAAGTTCCGAATTCTCCACTCGGCTCACCCGCGGAAATAGATATCTTTTGTATTTTTAAGAAGAACACAAAATTTATCACGTAAAGCAATACTATCAACCAATCTGACAAAAAATAGACGATTTGAAATGAAAAAAGGAAACGACGACGCGGCGACGAGTGAATATCACCAAATAGCGGCGAAGTCGCGCCAAAACTAACATTTAACAATGAGATAAAAATAACACTTAAAATGTGTGACAGAAATTCAAATTTAACATGAAAACGTCTCGACACAGACTTTTTAAAGATCATCCTCTCTACTCGGTTACTGAGGTTTTTGTCTGAAAATTGTGCAGGTATAAAAGCTTTTCTCGCTAGGCTTTTGCGGTTTTGCATTTGCGCTGCCCCTTTTTCCTGCTACCGTAAATACTCGAATAGAAGCCCCCTATAGGAGCATCGCGTAGTCTAAGTTTAGTCTCAGACAAACACTCATATCTCGACACCAGTGCGTTTGTTGCCGCGCGCTTGTATATCAAATTAAAGTAGGGAGGATGGGTGATTTTTTGAGATATAACACATATTTTTAGCATTAACCAGCGCTTAGAAAAAAAATGATGAAAAATCTTTTTTTTTGCCACTTTTCAATCATTTTTTTTCTAAGCGCTGGTTAATGCTAAAAATATGTGTTATATCTCAAAAAATCACCCATCCTCCCTACTTTAATTTGATACCCAAGCGCGCAAAAACAAATCTCTGGGCGCCAAGATATGAGCAGTTCTTTGAGTGTAAACTTATACTACGCGACGCGATCTATTCGAGTATTTACGGTAACTTGCTGCTCCTCTTCGTTAGTCTGAAGTTTTTGGAGTAGTTGCTCAAGGTATGAGCTACAATTCGCCATTCTAACGCGTTCCATGAAGCTTTACCGATAGCGCTATTAGCACTGATTTGCTTTCTGCCAATATTTTGCTTCGAATCAGCTCAATTTTCGTGTTGGAGTTGGGATTTTGACAAAAACCCTTTTGCTTGGGACTCAAGAAACCAGTAATGTCGATTGTACTAGAGCAAACCAGCTGTTGCTAAAATCCCAACCCACTTCTTGTGTTTATCGAAAAAGTTGCATGTTCAGCTATTTGAATCGCCGCCTTTTCCCCTTGCTACCCAAAATTGATCAATTTTCGATCGCTCGCTTTACCATGCCTATTTGAATTCAAGTTTTCTCTATTTCCCTTGAGATTGACCCGATTCTCGCGCCCTTTTTACCAGAAAATCACCTACGACAGGTAATTCCCTACCGTAGTCGCGCGTGACAATTCAGGGATCCGCCCGCTAAAGCACTGCGATTCCAAAAATTTTGAGTGCTTCCGGGTAAACCCTGTTCGCTTTTTTGCGCGCCTTAGCGGGGATCAATTGGACAGCGGCCGTTCGAGTTTCGGTCGACTATAGCTGATTCATGCGCATCGATTTTCATTTCGACTTCCCCAGTTTTCAATATTTCTGATAGGGTAGTTTATGGGCACGATTTGTTTGCTTTCGTAACCCCTTCTTTCTCTTTAGCTATTGATTTTGTGTTAGAACTCAAAGTAAACTGCCCCCTCCCCTCCAATTTTACTCTAATGTTTTCTATTTCTTCGAAAATCGGCGTTTAAAAAATTTATGTTTTTCCAGTCATGGTGCAAAACGTGTACGTGTCGGCCGTCACGCCAGACAACATAAGTCGCACGGAGCTACTCGCCTGGGTCAACGACACGCTGCAGGTAAAGTTTTGGCTTTGGATGTAAAGTTAGTAAAGTAGCTAGTACAAATGCAATATTTGTTTCGGTGATAAAAGAATTTTGCATGTAAAATAAAATAGCATTAAAGAAGAATACTTTATCATTAAACGATTCAAGCTCTGACAATTTTCTTTGTTTAGAGCAGCTTCGCGAAGATTGAAGAAATGTCGACGGGGACTGCCTACTGCCTCTTCACCGATGTGCTCTTCTCGGCGTCGATTCCATTGAAAAGGTAAGATTTCATTTTTGTTTGTTTTAAATGCATAAAGTTTAGGGTGAAGTGGAACAGCAAGAACGAGGTCGACCACATCAACAACTGGAAAATTCTGCAAACCAGCTGGAAAACACTTGGGATTGACAAGGTTTGTTTCGTATTCCGCTTGAATCAAAAACGATTTCTCATTTTAGCCTGTGCCCGTTGAGAAGTTGCTGAAAGCGAAATTCCAAGACAACTTCGAGTTTCTCCAATGGTTCAAGAAGTTCTTTGATGCCAACTACGATGGACACGAGTACGACCCAGTGGCTGCTCGGGGTGGAGAGGTACTTTTTACGAGTCAGTCTTAAACGTAACTTTTTTGTTTAGGCACTACCTCTTGGTGGAAAGGGTGCCCCAAAGCCCGTCGCTCGGGCTGCTCCAGCCCCACGACTCGCCCCCGCTGCCCGACCAACTCCTGCTACTCAACGACCTGCTACATCGCAACCTGCTCCTAAGCAGGGTATTACTTGTTAAGCACAACTTAAATAATTTTTTGGCGCTAGTGTAAACACATGGGTTTCCCTAAATAACTAAGCATTGGTTCCCATAGATAATTTTTCGATTTAGCATCCATTGCACCGACACGAGCCACCAATGGAAACAGCAAGCCGAGCGAGACGGATTTGAAGTTGATCGAAGAGCTGAAGACAAAGAATGCCGACCTCGAAGCGCAGGTCTCCGAATGTTTCGACAGCATCTCTGCCATCGAACAAGAACGCAACTTTTATTTCGAGAAGCTCAGAAAAGTAAACTTTTATTTTAATAAGTTCTACATTCATTAGAGATATCTTAAACTGTCCGTCCGTTGCTATAGTTATTGAAAGCAAAGATAATAGATACTTTAAGCTAAAATCACAAATCAAGCAATCTTGTCTTTTTAGGTTGAGGACTTGTGTAACGCTGAGGAGGGTGATTTGGTCAAGAAGATTCTGAACATTCTCTATGAAACCGATAACGGAGAAGCACAAGAAGGATGCGAACCAAAAGCAGAAAACGGAGAGCAGCACACCGAGCAACACGCCGAGCTGGTAGCTGCGCACGACGATGACGAGGCAACGTTCTAATTCGACGCTGTGCTTTTTTTAACTCGATTTATGTGCTAGGTATGGTCTCTATCAGTGCACTTATTCAACAATCCTTTTTTGAGCTTCGTTACGTGTATTTCTGTGTTTGCTGATGATTGTGTGACGTAAGATAAATTTTACAACAAGGTAGTGGTCGGTTACCGTATTTATTCGAGTGCAATAATATACAATCACATCTATGTATACAGAAAGATAATTATGCTATGAGATACCCGTTTTCGTGGACCTGTACGAGTTTAAACGATGTTCTTCTCTGTTTTGAATTCGATCACATACTGGGCCTTATTTCGCGTGAAGAGACCCGCCCACACAATTGCCTGCAAAGTGTAAGGTTAAGTGAGACTGGGACAACCCTGGTTACGGCAGTCATCACTCACCGTCCAACTCGCCGACATCACTCCAAAAGCGGCGCCGGTGAGCACATCGGTCGGATGATGCCAATAGTCAGTGATTCGACTTGCGCAAATGACTGAAATGAAACATGAGATATTCTTGTTGTTTGATGAAAATTTTTGTTTGAAACTCACATAGAGCAGTGGCGAGGAGAAACGATTGGAGAACGCACAAACCGCCTCGCCACATGGAACCCCTGGAGCCGATACGGGCTTGGAGGTAGAGCTGAAATCCTTGGATTGAAGTACTCCCAGTAGCTTGAAGTCGGTACTGTATAATTCAAATCCGACTTCAACTTACCACCGCATAGAAGCAACAATACGTGATGGTGACCGAGTGGCCGGAAAAGAAAGAGATCCGCGCTTCTCGGACTTGATCCGGCGCACCGGTACATTGGTACTCGGTGGGGAGGACGAATCTGGAATTTGAAAATGGAGGAATTGCTTAGCAGTCCGCGTAATTCCTCATAAGCTTTTCTCATCCGATAATTTTGGTGTCATTCGATGGGAAATGGTCTACCACGCGGCGAATGGCCTTAAAATCAGAGAGATCTACCGCATTCCGGTTGTTCTTTTGTAAGCAAAAGCTACCCTACTATTTTGAGTAAAGAGGGCTGCAGAGTACAAAGTTTAAGAGTACTGTACTACTATTTATTGTCCTTTACTATCATTACAGTATCCAAGCTATCCTCTTTATGTGATATCAGCACGATGCTACTGTTATGTAGTCACAAAAGTGTACTTTGTGCTCGGCTGAAACGCACGGTTTCTGACGTTCTCGGTCAAACCTTAATTACCCGATTTTCCGCCTACTCACCTCATCGGATCACGGCAAAGATCATTGTAGTTGGGTATCTGGCAAACAGCCAAGAAATGTGGCCTCAACCTGCCCACTGAATACTTCGCGATTTGCGTCAAAATCACCGTTATCTGCAATCCGAGAAGCCAGTAACCTAAAAATTTTCAAAATTTGTATTTCTTTAAAAAATTACCATTATGCACCGCTAAGGAGATCAGGAAATAGCGCTGGGTTCTGTAAATTTGAGTTTAATAAATGGAGACTTTAACCAAACCTTTCATTTCGATCTTTTCTCGCGAAAACGACCGCCTCGCCGAGAAGCACCTGCAAATGGGAATTTGAATTGAAATTTGAAATTGTTCTAAGCTACAGTAAGACAAGTTGTCTAAGGTTGTAAGCTAGACTAGGTTAGAACCAGATCCAAACCCAAGTCCTGGCCTGTCTTCTGGCCTTGCTCTGTCTGGCCGCAGAAATCTATGTGTCCGACAGAAGCCACTCCTGGACTTCGCTTCTTGCTTGTTCTTACCATCAAAAAGGTGATCGACAGAGCGACAATCCCGCAAACGGGCACAGAAACCGTATTGGGCAGATAGGGATAGTGAATCGACTCATCATTACAGGAGAAACCCCGTTGGACGGGCAGATGATCGTTGGGGAGGAGGATTGGGCCAACGAGGAGGATCAAGGCTGAAATGTCGATTGTCCTCGAGAGCTTGCTCACACCCCCTTCTCGCGCACCCAATTCTTCATCTTTCTTGGGAGAAAACAAAGAATTGAGTGCACAAGTGAGCACAAAGGACGACGATAATCTTGTTGAACTCACAAATCGCTCCCAGTAACGCCGAATTGAGAATCCCGAGTTTCCAGTCAGTTTCAAAACTCTGCATTTTGTGGAGTTTGCGTCGTAAAGCCTTAAAAATTGGTGATTAGAAAAGAAAATGAAATAATGAATGAAATCGAAAGAGAAACTTGATAAAAAGTATAGATAAAACTGCTGCGGGTTGAGGTCTAACGTAAATCCGTTATTTATAATCCTTATTGTCGTGCCAATCGATAATTATATTGTCTTCGTAAGCAGGAATATTTTTTGGCTAATGTCGCTTTGCCTGCTGGACAGCTGGGGCTGAACGTAATCGGGGATCCTTTTATTTCATTTATCCATTTCATCTATCCCATTCTTATAGCTAGCTCATCCCAAATATGGGAATCTCTAGGGAGAACCGCGCAGAGATCTAGGAACACTTCCCCATGATCCAGATTAAAGATCTGCGGCTGGGGGCTGGAGCATGGAGAAAGGGCTATTAGGTTAATTCTTCCATAGCTTATTTGAGGACTTCATTGTAGACTATGTTGCGCATCATGTTATTTGGACAGACGGACCGCTTTCCTATCTCAAATGATACCTCAAAACTATCGAAATTGACTTTCCAACAGTTAAAATCCGTTTTGAAAAGAAAAGCAAAACTAATTTTCTCGGAGGGGAACCGAACCCACGACCCATCTTTCCCACTCTCTTTGAGAGACACGCGCTTTAACCACTCGGCCATCTGGGGAAGTTAGGCAACATCGAGCTCGGCTAATTTTGCAGTTTTTGGAGTTTTTAAAAAAATTGGTTCGATGGATTTTTTGATTTTTTTTGGCGGGGGGGAATCAGCATAAAATTCCTATCACACAAAAAAACTGCATCTCGAAATTCGATCTCGGGGTCGAGAAAAGTGCCTGTGACAGACAGACAGACAGACGGAAAGACAGACGGACAGACAGACAAACAGACAGACAGACAGACAAGCAGGCAGACAGACAAACAGACAGACAGACGGACAGACAGACAGACAGACGTCTCTTTTGCCTTATATATAGTAGATACCATTACTCAGAAATTTATCAAAGAAATGACTAAAACTTTTTTTTTGCGAAACCGATCAGAACACTTTCAAAAATGACAAAAATGCTTGATAGTTTTATCGGAAAAAAAATCGTTTGAAAAACTTTATGGGATCAAAAACGATAAACTTGGTGAGTCATCGGGGAATGGAGAAAAGGAAAAAAAACAAAAAAAAAGGAAAAAGATCTCTGAAAGGCCAAAAATTCTCAGAAATTCGGGGAATTTGAGAGAAAATTGATTGAAAAAATGTGGAACTCGTATGAATTTATCAATAAATTTCAAAACGTAAACAGAAACCGTTGAGTAAATCTAAAAATAATGAAAGCTTTAAAAAAGTAAAGTACTAAAGTAATTTAACATTTCAATGGGCACAAGTCGATTCTGCTTTGGTTTTCTGAGGATTGAGCTGACGAAGTGAACTGTACGATTGAAATGATCGAAAACGACTTTAAGTTGATCACAAATTTGTTTACAAAACTATATTATATTGGGGGAAAGGAGTATTGATGAAAAGGAAAAGCCAACTGACTGAGGTGCTCGATCTCTAGACTATATTTTAGCATTTTAGCGCTCAAGCTCAAGCCATTTTACCAATCGAGCGTATCTCAAAGTTACCCTAAATTTGTTATGATTGAGTATAATGTCATAGTAATTTGGTTACATTTTATTTAAAAATGACTATTGAAATGAACTGTTAGCCGTTATTAGAATGCCAGTTTATTTGCAAGGGATTTAAAGATACCGTAAATACTGTAATAGTACCCCACCCCCCTCGTACAGTCGAGTAGTCGCAAAAGTTTTCCTAGTATTTCATTTTTTTCGAAGCACCCGTACTTTCAAAAACGGCGTTTTTGGTATCAAAAAATAGCCCTGAATTTCAGCTATTTTTTGATACCTAAACGCGCGTTGTAGCATAAACCAGTGTCGAGAAAAACTCGTCCAAAGCTAGACTACGTAACGCTCCACGCCGTCATTATGGGAGGGTGGGGTACTATTACAGTATTTACGGTATTTAATTACAGAAATACGAAATATTCCTGGAAAATCTAATCAAATTTATACATTTAATTGGAAAAAAGTTGATATAAGAATCAAAATTTCCACGTCGTGACACGGAAGGAAAAAAAAGAAACTTGCTGGTGGAGGAGTAAACGCTTAGCGATTTGAAAAGAGAACTAAAAAAGTGAAAGTTCAGAGAATGGAAAAAAGGGAAAAGGGGAAAGAGAGATTTGTTTGATCAACGATAGAAAGAGATCAATAAGGAAAAGAGAAGAAAGAGAAGAACAACTTTCTCATCGACTAGTTTCGGGGAAAAGTCATCGGCAACTCTTTGATTGTTGCGCCTTGTTCTTGTAATCACTCTAATTTCAACAGTTTCAATTCCAGAGGGCTTGAGGTCTTTATTCTGATTCTGGCTCCTCAGTGGTGCACCAGATGAGGTGCATTTGCGAGGTGAACTCTAATTGAGTGGAAGTTTGATGAATCGAGTTGAATGCTTTAGAAAAGGTGTGTTTGTAGAATAGAGAAAGCATAAATTGCACTATAAGAGCAGTGTCAGTGTGGCTAACGTTCATCTCATAAGCGCATGTCATCTGGCGCACCACTGAGAGTCATGGGTTACGAACTTTCGAGTCCACTGTAAAACATGTTGTTACCGTAATCCGGACGGTAATCTTTGTATTGGATTACTGTACAATTTGGTTGTGATTACAATAGTTGAATCAAATTTCAGATTATTTAAGTTTAAGAAAGCTCGCGAATGAAATCTGAGGAACAAATTTCACAATTAAAGGGAAATTAAAGAATCTAGTGCATCAGAAAGAGTGTGTTTCCGTTTCTTTTTTGACGAACACGAGCAGAATGTTAGAACAGAGAGCTTTCTTCCGAAGAAAAAGTGCAGGTGATCTGTTTTAAAGCAGATAAAACAGATCAGAAATCATTTTTCCGCGTCTTTACTTATCAAACAGCTTACCGGATTATCTCATTTAGTCAAAAATTCTAATTTCAAGCTATAAATGAACAATTGTAAATAAAAAAATGGGACAAGTTGAGTATTTTTGTCTTTTCTCTAGTGTGCGGGATGTGGCCATGGAAACAAAGAGAGCAAATATTTGGGAAAAGGAAACGGAAGGGGAAGGGAAATGGAAAGGGATTCTTTTAAAAAAAACGATTTATAATCGATCCTTTTTTAGGAATAAATGTTTCTCATCATCGCGTCATACAAAAGTCAAATCGATAGATTAGTTGTATGAAAGCAAATCAAATTAGTTGTATGAAAGCTTTGCTCAAATGTCAGCAACGACAATCAGTTGTATTTCATTCAAAAATTGTAAGCTTTAAAGCAAAAAAAGCTTTCCAAAGTACATTTGGCCGTACTAATGACGATTATTTTTAGTGTAAACTTTAAGTTTTTCAAGATTTTTGTTATTTATTAATGTACATGTATAAGAAATGCAGATTTCAACATTTTCATCAATTTCCAACGATAGAGACCTGATATTATAAACTAGAATCGATGAATGTTATCAACTATTTGAAAGTTGTAAATCTCCTCTACAAAATAGGCTAAAACGTGTTTCAATTGATCATTGAAGCATTGAAGAAATTTCGAGGGCGAAATGCGAGTGACCAAAAAAAGGAATCGAGTCACTTTAGGGACAAGTTTAGTGTGGTCTAAGAAAGGAAATGCATTTACAGAAATTTAGATAGAGCGTAAGTACAAAACCCTCAAAATTGTCAAAAAAAAACCGGCTTTTTCACAAAAAAGAAAAATTTATTGTAAAAACAAAGTTTTACCATGAAATGATCTCAACTCTTAATTATTTTGAATGATATTTGAATCATTTTGAATGAAGGGCGCTCATTTCCCACTATATATAGTCAAAAGCGAACTCTTGTGAAAGTGGGGTTTGACCACACTAAACCTGTCCCTAAAGTGACTCGATTCCTTTTTTGATCACTCGCATTCCCCCCTCGAATTTTCTTCAATTCTTCGTCGATCAATTGAAACACGTTTTAGCCTATTTTGTAGAGGAGATTTACAACTTTCAAATAGTTGATAACATTCATCGATTCTAGTTTGTAATATCAGGTCTCTATTGTTGGAAATTTATGAAAATGTTGAAATCTGCATTTCTGATGCATGTACATTCTTGGGGTAGGCTAATTTCCGCAATTTTTTTTGCGCAACAGGGTCATTTGCGCAACTCGCCATAACTTTCTTCTAAGTGAGGCAATCTTTATGATTTTGGTTTCATTTTGTTGCACTTATTGAGATCTACAAAATGAAACCAAAACCATAAAGATTGGCCCACTTAGAAGAAAGTTTTGTAAAAGAAAGGAAGGCGAGAGTTTTGTAGAGGAGATTTGTAGAGTTGAGAAAGTTTTGTAGAGGAGATTTACAACTTTCAAATAGTTTATAACATTCATCGATATCAGGATATCGATAATCAGATTTCTATCGTTGGAAATTTATGAAAATGTTGAAATGTTGAAATCCGCATTTTTTTATGCATGTACCTAATATTTTGCAGAAATTTCTCGGTAATTTTGATACGAGTTTTCAAGAAGAGATTCAGGGCTATCGAATGAACTGTAATAGTTTAGTTTATCTTTGTATCTTCATCAAATTATCTGTAAAAAAAAAAGTGACGACTACGCGACTGTACACCCAAAATACCGTCATCGCGAGAGCAAGTGAGCAAGAGCCGATAAATCTATGAGTGTTTTTCTGAAGACCAAATTCCTGAAGACACATTCATTTGTTGATCTGAAAGAAAAGCCTTCTGTTTTTCCCTTTCCCTTCAATTTCAATCCAGTTTTTTGTTTGTTTTGTTTGTTTTGTCAAGGGACAACGGCCTACAATCAATGCTTCTTCCTCAAATGATTTCTGCAACAAAAAAACCCTTGCTTTTTCCAAACAACTAACAAACAAGTAAGATTCACTTGAATTTTTCCTCAAATTTTAAGTCTATTCCATTGAACCCCAAACTCCCTTCACGTGCTTTCTTTGTTTGCACAGATTTTGCGGTGACTCATTGTTTCGATGAAACCAGAGCGAAGTCATTTTTCTTAAAAGCTAACTTACTGACTGATATTGATTGCGTTTTCCTAGCTAATCTACAGTACTGTAAATCTTATTGTTAGTGGATTTTTTCTCCATTCAAAATCAAAATGATGAAATGATCAAAATGATGTACCGAGCGATCCAGGGCAGGATACCGGTGAGCCAGTTCAGTTCAAGCCAATCCCTGGTTTCTGACGGATCCAAGAAATTTTTGTGGATCAGACTTGCAAAGAAACCAGGCTAAGATCTGGCTTCTAGCCTAACCTGACCTTAAAAATTGTCTCTTTTAACCAGAGCCTTGCCAGCCGTCTACTTATTCTATTGAGATACGACAAAGTGATAGTATATTGGGACATAATAGCTTTTGAAGTACTTAAGTGGTACTGTTTTAAAGCTAGAAATTGTACATAGTTGTAGCACGTTCTTCCATTAGTTTTTATGAAAAGTGCGCTTCAGTTTAATCGTATCCATTTTCTAATTTTTCCTTAACCCAATCATTTTCCCATTTTTCCCATAAATGATCCCAAAAACTATTATAAATCTTTGCTTCATTGAATATTTTATTTATTTAATCTTTTATTATCATCAGTTTCAAATTTTGCACTCAAAAAAAGCCTGGAAAATCCCCGCAAAGATCACCAGCAAAGCTAATGATCCGAAATAATGTATAAAGTTTTAGAATTCTTATTTTTCTGAATCTCATTGTCTTTCAACGCTTTTTAGTATCAATTAGCCAAAAGAAGCCAATAAATCGTCGCTTTTAGAAGTCATTTTCAAAAGCAATTTTTCATAAAAGTTGTATTTCTCTTCTGCAAATTTTCCGTTTCCTAAAACGTGCCTCTTTCTACCGCAATCTTGTCTCTATTTTTATCCAATCTATTCACTTTTTATATCTTTCGACATCCTTTTATGAACCCTCGGAGAAAGGACCCTTGCCTGAATATCTTCTTTTTGCGCCATTTACAAAACAAGAAACCTCTGAAGAGGAGCCCGAAATGACTGGTGATGTGTTCTCTGTGCGCCCGCGTAATCGCTCTCCATCGAGCATAGGGCTCTGGTATAAAGCCTTTCCCTGAATAAAGCTTTTGGAATCCGTGAACCCGGCACTTTTGCGAGTCAGGACTGACATTTGGATCTCGGTCCAGCTCAGCCACATGCTGATCGCCAGTTTGGTTCAGAGTCCGAAGTAGTGGGCTACAGTCGATATCCCTTATCGATTATTGTAACTTTTAGAGTGTGTTCCTTGCGAGTAAGTAATTACTCGAGTAAAATTTGCATGAATAATTTTTACTTGATTAATCGACGTTTTTTCGTCGAGTAAATTGAATATCTTTAGATTGGAAGGGATTTTCCCACCAAATCAGTCAAACGGCTGAGTATCTTTAAAAAGCGTCGTATATAACGCGGCGCTGGGGGTGGGACAAAAGCGATCCTTTATTTGCGCACCCGACCCAAAAGCGCACCCCCAAAAGCGCACCTTTTCAAAAGCGCACCCGACCCAAAAGCGCACCCGACCCAAAAGCGCACCCGTCCAAAAGCGCACCCGACCCAAAAGCGCACCTTTTCACTGTGGTTTTTTTGCTTTTCGCGAATCAATACAAAAGCAAAATTCCATTTTTTTTTTCCATTTTTCTCAAGTGTTTCTGACGTTTTTAATCGCGTTTGCTCATTTTTACAATGTGGCTACTTTGAACCAAATTTTGCGCAACTCGCCAAAATTTTGCTCATCTTTATGATTTTAGTGTCATTTGTTGCACTTGTTGAGTTCTACAAAATGACGCCAAAACCAAAAGACTAGCCCACTTAGAAGAAAGTTATGGCGAGTTGCGCAAAAATTTGGCACAAAGTAGCCACCCCTTTGTGTTTTCAGTTGCAAAACAGACAAATTGAGAGCTTCAGCACAATGTCGGGAAATCCACATAAGCGGTAAGATTTTAAACAGTTTAAATTTACTTTTCTTGCATTTGTTCACTTTTTACAATCACTAGCACTTTTTCTAGGGTGCTCACCGATACGCCTCGAAGCAACAAAAACAAAAAGATCTTCTACGATGCTATGGGCTTCGAATTTCGCAAGCACAAAGAGACGGTGAAAAAGGGACCCATTTACAGGTACTATTTAGATAGTTTTAAGTTTAAAAATTTGATTTAGATGCCTTGTAAAAAAGTGTGGAATACTTGCAAAGCTAACGGTGAATTCAAATTTGGTACAATGCGAAGGTATGCATAATCATATGCCAACCAACTACGCCAAAGAGGTAAACATTTTTTTTTGACGAATATCCTTTCTTTAGATGCGTAAATTAAAGAAAGTCGTGAAACACACGCAAAAAGGGAACACCGATTCGCCACATCGAAACAAGCGTGACAAAGAGGCAGAAGATCATTTAAAGCCGTTTGTGAATGAAAAGCGTTGGCGAAAGTAGCAAAACGGGTGGCAAGAGAGCCTCCACAACAATGTGGCCTCATCCGATTGACTGCTCAACTTATGGTTGGTTGTGATTTCTTAGTAAAAGACAGTTATTTCATTAGGTGCACTGTTTGAAAGGGTTGATACATGTGCGCAGCACCAGCAGGGTGATCACGCAGCGGTGAAAATCTACGCGCACAATGTTGGACTCGATCTATTACGAAAGGTAAGATATTTTATGAAACTCTGTTTAATTGAATGTATAGAATCGTTCTTGACGGCCGATGGCACATTTTACTCGTGTCCGGCAGACTTTGCTCAACTGTTCATCATTGAACCAAGTAAGTGGCAAAAGGAGTTTACTAATGTGTGTATCAATTTAGAAAGAACACCTATTCTTACCGTGTGTTTTTGCTCTGTTGAGTGGAAAGTCCGCCCAGTGCTACGAAGCAGTCTTTCGTTACATTTGTCGGAAAATATTCCGCACCAACAAAACTAATGACAGGTAGGTGCAGCATTTTCTTTGTTTAATGTTGCTTTGTAGACTTTGACGAGCGATTTTTCAAGGTTATCAGCAGGTTTATGGCGCCGGAGTCGCTCATCAGTATTGTGTGTTTCACTTTCACCAAAATATTTACGAAATATAAGGCAAGTTTAAAATATGTGTTATCCTTGTAATTAACGTTGAAATTTAGAAACGTGGCCTTTCTTCTCTCGTGCAAACTCCTTCGGCAAAGGACATCTTCAGTCAATGATGGCCTCGCATTTGTGGAACCGCAAGAAGTGCCCGACTATTTTGACGCTGTTGTCTTGTCAGCCACAATTCACCACCACCGCTTGGCACAAATTTTCGGGCTGTAAAAGTAAGTTGTACCACTTATACTACTAAAATTTTGTTTTTCGTTTTATTTTAGTTTTAGAGTTTTTCGCCTTTATTGAAAAGAACATGTCGGAAAATGTCAGCACGGACCAAATGGAGCCTTCGCCAGCCTGCGACGTTTGATGTGGAGAAATGGAGCGTTTATTCCGTGTGCTTCAATCAGAACAACTCGGGAATTCAACACATGAATCGTTCAACCGTTGCAAAGGATTTTGTTGATTCAAGCTTTTTTTCGTTTTTAGATTGGCCCAAAGAACCCACATCCAAGCTTCACTGTTTGTCGCCTTTAAAGAAATGTCAAATGCTACAACAGGCTAAAACTTGCCAATGGACGAAACTCTCGCTTGGTCAGTTGTATCCTCAAACTAATCGTGTTGTTCATCGTCAGAATCTTAGGTTTCATGCTGTACTAATGGTAGAAATATGTCTCATGTTCAACATTTATCTCAACTCTTGCCCATATTGTTTCTCGGTAATGTTGCCATGTTTTTAAGTTGTGTTATTGTTACTTTTGTCTGTTTTATGTCGTTGTTTTACTGCTAAATGTTTTACTGTTAAATGGTTAGGTTGTTATTGAAGGTATAAAGAAGCAAAAGTACAATTAGAGTTCATTTTTGGCACCGGAAACAAAATACATTAGTCTAATAATCATGGGAAAATAAATTTGGAATTTTTGGTTTTGTATTGATTTGCAAAAAGCCAAAAAAACAACAGTGAAAAGGTGCGCTTTTGGGACGGGTGCGCTTTTGGGTCGGGTGCGCTTTTGGGTCGAGTGCGCTTTTGGGGGTGCGCTTTTGGGTCGGGTGCGCAAATAAAAGATCGCTTTTGTCCCACCCCCGCGGCGCTCGTGATTTTTACGCCATTTTTTTGCAATAATTTTTGCTAAAAGTACGGTAATTTTTTTTCCAAGTGTGCGTTTTAAAAAACGCATTACTCGCGAGGGACACCCTCTAGTAACTTTTATCATTTCATAAACAATTGCTCACCTCAATATTACCATTCAATCTCGAGCTTTCAATTCATTCAATTCAATCCAATTTCGAGCATGAAATCGACTCATTTCCCCTGCAAAAAGCGCACAAATCACATCGAAAACTCTCTCTGTTTGTTGACTCAATCGCTTATCAGTCTTTCCCCCTTTTCCTCTCGTTTTTTCGCCAAATTCAATGGAACCATTCGCGATCCGAGTGAGACTTTTGACGCTTGAAAATCGAAGAATATTCCAAAAATATTCTAAAATTATTTTTTTCCCTAAAAAATGTCTCTACAAGTTCCGCAAATTCAGCAACCCCAGCGACAACAAGGAGAGCCATTGGTTCGGGTAAATTTCACTCTTTGAATAGCTTTGAATTTTTGATTTGATATGCAAATTTGCAGATCAAATAGTGCAATAGCTTTGGATAAAGTTTGTTGCAAAATAGAAAATGATTACGGTAGAGAAGGCTGGGCAAAGTGAACTTTTAGATTGATTTTTGTACTGTAAACTTTGTCTTGTTTCATTACAATACGCTTGGCTAAAAGAAATGAGATGAGAGAATATTTTAGCTTTTTTTATTTTTTTGTCAACCCTCATAGAATCAAACAAAAAGTGGATAGTTTGGGTAAAATAGAGACAAGATTACGGTAGATGGGGGAAAGGGACACGTTTCCGGAACGGATAACGAGAGAAGAACAAACGTTACAGTCACTTTCTATACGCTAAGTTTTAGGTCTTGTATAAGCTTGAGAAATAAGCTTTTATTGTATTTTTTTCGACTCTTCCACTCGCTTCCAAAATCAGAGCCTTATCTTTTTTTTTTCAAAACCGGTTCCGTTCCAAAATAAACCCCCCAATTCACGGGTTTTGATTGTTCTAGACAAAAAAAGTTTGACAAAAAAATTTTAGTCGTCGATCAAATCCAGGCCAATTACAAGTTTTATGCCAAAACTCGGCTCAATTTTGGCTCACTTTGAGTTTTGAACTTGTTTTTCGAAGTTCTAAATAGAAAGTTTAAAAAGCTGTGATGGATTACGGTAGTTTTTACTGGAGCGCATCTTTTGGACAGCAGATAAAGATACCGGACTCTAGCAAAGAGTACAGTAGCTCGGGGCGCACTTTTGAAAATAGTCTATCATTCTCACAACTAGCCAGCTACTCTTGAAGGCTTTTCTAAAGATTTAAACCATTGACTGACTCAGCTAGCTTAGATAAAGTAATATGTACTATGTACTACGAGTTACTGTAGCTGCTAATATTAAGAGTTACACTAGCAGAGAGTACTGTAGCTTGGTGCACGCTTTCGAAACGTTTTAGCACAGTGACTGTCGTCTGCCTGGGGTTTTAAAATGTAAACGATTGGCTGATCTTGGCCTAAAGATCTCAAGATCTCAAATTCTCAAGTAACCCCGTTAACCAGGAAATACCTTTTAAAAAGCAGATATTTCGTGGATTTGATCTCACAATGTACTTCCCATTTGTCCTTTTGCCTTCTTGAACGCAAAAAAGTGGGCGGATTCTCTTTCCCCATCCATTTTTGCCCTTTATCAATGTTTATTTTCACCATTGCCCACCGAAAAAGTCCCCAATATTCTCTTAAGGACTAGCTGAAGATCGAATTTCTGTTCAACACTTTGTATTCGAATTCACGAATTTTAAGCCAAAAAAATGACTCTTGCAAGTTTTTTTTGCGTCAATTTATCGAGTTAGTGTAAAATCGAAAGCATTAATGCGTTGAAAAAACCAAATTTCGGTTTCTATTTTGCAATAAATTGATCAAAAATGACTAGAGTAGGCGAAAAAAATTTGACCCCAGCTTTACAACTTGTCTACCATAGTCATTTCTTTGTCTAAGTTAGTGCAAAATAGAAACCAGAAACCGTGTTGTGTTGAATATTCCGAAATTTCGTTTTCTACTTTGCACTAAAAACATTTTGGATAAGTAAGCCTAGCATTTAGATGTTAGCTGAATCTAGTTAGCTAGGTGAATCTAGTTAGTTAGATGAATCTAGTTAGTTAGATGAATCTAGTTAGTTAGATGAATCTAGTTAGTTAGATGAATCTAGTTAGTTAGGTGAATCTAGTTAGTTAGATGAATCTAGTTAAATGAAACTAGTTAAATGAATTTCACTTTTTAAAAACCGCTTGAAACATTTTAAACTTTAAAAAATCGAGCTTTTTTGACAAGTTAGTGGAAAGTAGAAAACGTTTATGTTAAAGAAATATTCGATTTTAACAAAATATTCGTTTCTATTTTATCGCTTATCGTTTTTATCTTATTTTACGTGTTTCTTTAGAGGATGAGCCTTGGGGATGTGTCGCTGGACGATGGGGAACGCGTGGAATTGAGCCTCAATCGTTACATAATCAACGTCATCGTTTTGTACGGGCTTGGTTCGTGATTTTGGGTTAAAAAGGAAAGAAATTATGCTTAATTTTTGCGTTTCTTATCTTAAATGAACGGCTCTTTTACAAGTCTACTTTTTGCTAATTTTAGCGTTTTAACGTTTAAAACAGATAGAACCGAGAAATTTCACGAATTTTGGCGTTACGTTAAGAATAGTTATCGTAAAAATTGAATAAAAAGCTCTTCTATAAAGCTTTTTTGGATAATTTTAGCGTTTTAGACGAAAGCTAACGTTAAAGCTAACGAAAGCTAGCATTTGTGTAAGAAAACGCTGTAAATGTGCTGAAAATAGAAGCAGTCAGATGGTTTCAAAGTTTCAAAGAGTCTTGATAGTATTTTCTAGTTTAAACATTGAAAATAGCTTTTGGAATACACCAAGCTAAAGTTAAGCTTTATGATATTTGTAATCTAATGTAAAAATATCATCAACCTTTATCGATCAATTCAGGAATGGCGGTTGAACTACTGCCCTACCTTGTCGGCCCATTCGAGCGCGGGTTTTTCTGCGACGACGAGACGATTCAATATTCGTACAAGGGAAGTACGGTCAACGTCACCGCTCTCTACTTTTTCGCCATGTGCGTCCCGCTGTTTAGTGTGAGTTTTTGATCGGAAATTGGTGAAACTGTTCTGTTAGCTAGCCAAAACATAAAAGTGTTGTTTTGAGCGCGCCGAACTCTGAATGTAAACGAGAAAGTACATATCGAGATTTTGTTGATTGATTTAACATTTTGAACATGTTCAAAATGTTAAAATTGTTGATTTTGTTGATTTTAAGCATATTAAAAACTGTTTACAAGTGCTAAAATTGTATCAAACCGTAATAATTCATAGCTGGATATTTTTAAACTCTTTGAATGTGCTAAAATTGCTTCATTAATTATTAGAAACATTCGAAAAGTTATTCAGCTTTATAAAATGCTACTTTAATACTAGTGATGTATCAAATTTGTTAAATTTTTCATTTTCAGATCCTTTGGGCCGAGTTCGTCGTTCAAGCGAGAATCGAGAAGAGAAAAAGACGGTTGGTTAAGCTTAAATTTTAAGTGATTTATGGAATCTAAACCGTAATCTATAGTTGTGAAAATATTGATTGCTTGTAGAATTTATTCATTTCTTAGGTATCACCTCCGTAACCGTAACGTGCACAGTCTCGTCGTGCACTTCTTTCAGGAATTTGGCTACGTTCAACTCGGCCTCATCTCGGTGCTCTCTTTGATGCAAGTGAGTGAACTTTCTTGGTTTTTTTTTTTGAAAACTTACGTCAATGTGCATTTAAATAAATACGTAAATACGTCAATGTGCATTTAAAGTGATCACTAGCAAGTAAACAATTAGTTTATATAGATTTTATACTTTTTTTTGATACAGGATGCAAATTGCGGCTTGGTTTTAACGTACTATCCCAACTTTTCAAATTCAGGTCACAAAATTCGTCGTCGGTCGTCTACGGCCTCACTTCTTGACGGTGTGCAAGATCGAGAATCTCTCCGAGCTTTGCAAAACCGATCACACGTAAGTTTTGTGCTCTTTTAAGTAAATCAGATTAACGCAGTCAAAGGCAAGGGCTTTTAAATAACCTGGCTTGGTTACTTAAAAGCGAACCAAAACCAGGGTCTTGGCTTTGGCTTGCTTTGACCTGAAAAATGTTCCAGGAACTAATCCAAATCACTCATGAAAGATGAATTTACTGCAATTTTGAGCAAAGTCAAAAAGTTTATGTCAGTAGACGCTAAATTTTGCCACTTCTCAAATCTAAATCAAATCCACAAATATTTTGAGCAAAAGATTATCCTGGTAGATTTTTCTCCTGAACGCTCAATGATCTCATAGATCGGATGGATTGCATAAGATCCATGCACTTTTTCAATAGCCTATTTCTCTTCAAAAATCGTATCACCTTTGTCCCCTTTTCCCGAGCAAAAAATCGCCCGTTGTTTTGATGAAATTTCATGGAAAATTTTTGCGTTTTTGAAGAAATTTTCGGAGAGAAAGCGGTGTCGTTTTTTTTTCTGTAACCTATCGAAATGCATCGGAAAGCTCATGCGATTTCAATGAAATCGCAGGAAAATTCCCGGGTTTTCACAATTTTTTCTCACAAAACACCTCAAGGATCGATGATCCCGAAAATAATGCATGATCCCGGCGATCAAGTGATTGTGGATCATGGAAAAGGGGGATGATTTCTCGGGGAAATGATCGATCTATCTGGGGAAATTGGGTTCAAGTATTCGAAATATTTTTGTCGGGAATCAAACTTAAGATAGTGGGTAATTAAACCAAATAACTAGCATTGCAAAAGTTAAATTGTAATACATGTGTTCCTTTCTAATCCGTTTTCTAAAAACGTGCCCCTTTCTCCTATTTCTATTTTTTATCCAATCTATCCACTTTTTGTATCTTTCGATATCCGTTGTGAACCCTCACCTAATTAGACGGAAAATGGAAATGGATGGGTTGAGTGGAATACATTCTACCCTTAACCGTTCAGATTCCACTTGATTGCTCTGTTTAACTTTGAAAAATCGCTTTTCAAAAACGCAACAGACTTCCCACGTGGTAAATGAGCTGATGAATCAGGTGATCTTGATGGAATTTCATTTTTTGCGCATCATTTTCACTTCCGATATGAACATTCGCATGGTAAATTGATCGTATGAACAGTTCCTGTCTTTTTCTTCCCTCATTCTTCTCCCACCACATGCGTGGAACGGGGTGGAGATTCTTTTTCAGGAGAAATGTCTATGAAAGTTTTCACAAGATCACAAGTCACGTGTAGTACAAAGAGATTGTACATCAACATCAAGTGTTCAAAAATTAACTAGAGCAAATCTTGATTTAGTACATTTGAACCAACGTGTTGGCAAGTGTGATCTCAACCTTGCACAGTTTCAAAAATTGGAAGCTCTAGAACGGGATCAAGCTCTAGAATAAGCTTGTACACTAGGTCACGAAACATTAAAATTAGTATACGAAGGCCGTTCTAAAAAACAAAAGCCAAGCCAAAAGCTAACAATTGACTTGACCTAGAAAAATGGTCCTAGAAACAGTCCTGGCTATTACTATGACAAAGCATACCCATTTTAATCTCTATCTTTTCAGTTTCGTCAACATTGGTGAGTACACCTGTACGGGCGCGAAGACCGATGTGCACGAGGCGCGTCTCTCATTTTTCTCGGGTCACTCGGCGATCTCCGTCTACACGGCTTTCTACGCCATTGTGAGTGTTTATTTGTTGGAGAAATTTCTCAAGAAAATGTAATTAAGTGCAATGTTATGCACATCTCCGTAGACAGTGCATGTTAAAACTGATGGAATTTTTTTGATGACAGTCTGAAAATCTTACGTGACTAGAGCACTTTTGTTATTTATGATACACTTGTAAAGTGTAGGAGTTTATAGTTTTTAGATTAAACCTACCATAAAATCTCAATTTTCTCTTTTTAGCTCTACCTTCAGGCGAAACTTGGGCGTTTTGAGCCGACAAAAATTTTCGTCAGTCTCGTGCAAACGATTTTACTTTGTGCAGCTTTGGGTAAGCAATTGATTTTTAAATGTTTTAGCTTTAAAACGCAAAACTATCTTTAAATTTCATATTTTAGTGATTTGCTATACTCGAATCACAGACAATTGGCATCATTGGAGCGACGTGCTTGTCGGGATCATCGTCGGCATTCTTGTCGCTATTTGGACGGTGGGGGTTTTGAAAGTTTCGATCAAGTAATAGACACTTTTTGAGCGCGATGCAAACTGGAAATTGTCAAAATTAGCTGAAAGATCTAGTCGTAGTCACGATTTTTGAGCTGCACTTTGTGTTAAGCCATCAAATATCGAAAGTTTTAACGTAAAAGCTTGCTATAACTTTTCCCTTTCAGGCTTTATTCTGGGCTCGTCTTTTTGAGCGAACAGCGCATTTCCGAGTGAGCCTATTGCCGTTTTTCGAGAAACAAGACAGAAATCTTGGACACACACCGGCCACCGCTTCAACGAATGACATCAACTCGCAGGGTGGAGGTGGAGGTTAGTTTATTATGAAAATAAAGAGTGAACTAGGATTTGCTAGGATTGTGAAAATTAATAATTTGCAAACATACAACTCCAGTACGATTTCTAAACGTTTTCCTTTAGATCAAGCCTCAATCGATCAGCAACATCTCTAAGAAATCATCGCCTTTCGAACAAAAAGGATAAATTTTGCTAACTCGATTCGATTTTTATAACTTCTCATTTTTATTTGTCGCATTGTGATTTTCTTTCTTTTGCACACATTTCCACGGGTATTTTCTATTCTTGAGATTTTAGTTTTAGCTTGTTCTACTCGTTGTAATATGATATTTGATGTCTCCATATATGTATAGAAAGTGTTTCTTGATAATAAACGTTTGTGAGTTGTTTAGGTATTGAAAAGCGAGAAAGTTGTGCAAACACAGACCATCAAATGTAGACTTGCTTAATGGTCCTTAACGGTTACCCGTCCCTTAACGGTACCCACACAATTCGATTCAGGTCAAGGACAAGGTGTTTCGTTTTTTACAAAAATTTATCAAGCTTTTGCATTACATCTGGAGATGCCAGCAAATGGACTGGATTATCGATATTATCGATACAAACGGCATGCTGCACATGTTTGACCGTTCCGATCTCAGTTTCTAGAATAGCTAACAACCTGAAAATTATTTCATTGGCAAGTCAAGAATGTCAGCTTTTGGTTGCGTAGTACCGAGTAATTAGTTTTTTTCAAAAATATAATTAGCTATAGTTATATCATATTTATGCCAAGTTTTATTTCAGAACCGGAATCGTTAAGGAGCGCTAAGGAGCGTTAAAGACCGTTAAACGAGTCTAATGAAATGAAATGAAAAATTAATTGTTGAGCGGGTTATATAGTCTCTTTGGCTGAGTATCTTTTATGGTATAAAAGCTCTTCTGTTTAAAATATCCAGCTTAAAAGCTGAAACATTGAAATTTTGTCGGGAAAAGAAATCTTTCACAAAATCATTATTCACTTATCGCTATTTGACTCGTTTATCTCTCTTACCTTTTTTGCGCATCTTTTTTCAAAAATGTTTTCATATAAGGGAATCGTATGCGTAGATTCCGAATTTCGGCAAATCAGACCTCGCTGGCACATCAAATTTGGCCTAAAAGGCAAAAGCTACGCAACTTAGGCTGTAGACGAGCGGCTTTTAAAGCGAAACTGATAAATCGATAACTGCAGACCTGTTCAAGGCTTGATTTTACATTGTCACAGGTCAATCCTAGAAAACGACCAAAGACCTCAAACTAGTCCTTTTTTGCAAGTTTATACTCGTTTCCTTTTGTTTCCAACTTTTTTGATATCTAACTTAAAATTCCTTTAGTTAATGGAGGATCGATCATCACCATGGGATGCTTTGGAGGGCGATGATTGCGACGAAAGGAAACCGCCAATGGTGTGATTTAGTTTTTACTAGAAATTGGGATTAAGTCCTATACTTTGAAAATCTCCTTTAGCTGAAAGCTTCAAGCGGTCGCGGCGACAGAGAAATGGATGACGATCGGGTATGAAATATGGCTTTAGCATTTGAAACAGTGAAAATTTAGCCCTACGCAATGCTTCTTCAAGAAAACACGGACCTGAAGAAAGAAAAGAAACTACTAGAAGCTGAAAAAGTTGGCTTTTAGTTTGATGATGTACTTATACCTAACTTTAGTTCCAACTTGTGCTGGATTGCGACGAGGTGAAGGTAGAATTCCAGCAATTCGTCAACAATATTCATCCTCTTCGCGATTGTCAACAGGTAGGCTCAGCCAGTCCAGTGTTACTAGGCTATTTCGGATGCAATTATAACTTTTTGTTTAGGGTCCCGATGTTGGGGAACCTTTAATGCCGTATGAAATCGCGGCTTTCAAGCGCGATCCGGTGAAGTTTGCTGATTTGAATCCAGAGCTGCGGGTAAGTTCTTTGAATCTGTTTATTTAACTTTGTTCTGGCCCGAATACAAAGTTTAGGAACCGCTTGTGCGAGAAACAAAATGGAGAATCGAGGATGCAAAATTGCGCGGGCACGCTTTAAGGTAAGACAAAAATTATCGTATCTAATAAATTTTTTTTAGTTTTCTTCAGGACAAACGCGAAGATAAAAACAAGGGCCCAGAATTTGGTTAGCGGTTGTTGCTTGTTTGTAAACAAATTCTTTTAGAACCAGAAGCTCGAAAACTGGCAGAGAAGATGATACGAGCAAGTTTTGAGGCGCACAAGGAGTAGGTGACAATCATTGTGAGGATAACGCTTTGGTTTAGCTTTGTTCCGACTAGAGACGAGCCGAAGCCACTGCCGAACACTCCCGTGATCGCTTCCTGCACGCTTCCGCTCGAGTCCGGAGAAACGCATTTTGTAAGTGAATTTAATGTTAAAGTCGTTGATGAAATACGAAATTGGTGCAATCCATCTTCCTTTTTAGACCATAACGTTGACCGATGACATAAGGGCCTTGGAAAGAGGATTTGAAGAAGTCAGGATTGAACGGGAAATGATCGTGGTCGTGAAGGAAGAAGATGGTCAATACAACGAAGTCGAAAGTGCCGATGAAGGATTCGAAGACAAAGATGCTGCTTTGTTCGGACGCCAAGAGGATCCATGGAGGGGACAAGTGCAGACGGGCCGTTTTTCGTACGGAGCACAAACGGAGACTGGTCGTGGGGGTTCACGAGGAAGAGGTAAAATCTTTTCAAATGATTGAAAGTGTGACTCGAAACGATTGATATACAGTCGACGCTCGGTAGTAAATCATTTTTGGAGAATCCCTTCAATGATTTACTATCGAGCGTCGACGGTATTTTAGTTGGAAAAGGTCCTTTGAAAAATAGGGAATGGTCTATTGTAAATTTAGTACGCGAGCGTGGTCGTGGCCCAAGCCGAGGAGGTGCACGGCGAAAGAACACAAAAGACATCGGATTTACTCTACCCGACTACATAAGCAAGAGCGTGGAAGAACATGGCCGATCGACGGCACCGAAGCGCGCACGGTATGGAACTGCAACCACGGTCGATCTTGCACGCGTCACTCACTCACCCATCGATGCGCACTTCGGCGATCTACAAGTCCGCTATCGTGAAGCTGGTCCTAAAACGCGTGCCTCGACGGTGTATAAGTCATTGCAATCAACGCATCAGTCAGAATTAGGTAAGCTTTTATTGTTTTGAACTTTTAGAGCTATATACTAATTGTAAGTATACTAGTCTAAAGAAAACCATTTGTTAAATTTCTTATTCGTTTTAGCACAAATCAAACGAAAGAGAAGGCACTTGACTAGCATTCAGACATCTCAAGGAAGCGCCAGTGTCGGGCTGATGGTAACACTTATAAAGTTTTCGTTGATACGAATAAACTTATACTGGTTTAGAATCAAATCACCAGCGCTCAACAATCAGAAGAATCAACAAGTGAGACGATGGGGAATGTAAAGGTGAACTGACTTTTTCAGATTTAAGCCGGCATTATAAATTAATAATACAAACTTTCTCATTTCAGGAGGAGGCTGCCGGAAATGGAAAGTGAAACGATCGATATCTCATCTCAGTTCGAATTGTTGTTGTTAAAATTGTTGTTATTAAAATTATTGTTGGTAAAATTGTTGTTGTTAAAATTGTTGTTATTAAAATTATTGTTGTTAAAATTATTGTTGTTAAAATTATTGTTGTTATGTTATTTTATTAAATATTCTTCACAATAAAGTTATTAAACTACGCATAGAAATTTCAATGAATTTTGAGTGAATTTCAGATAGAACTTAGGATAGGTATTTTTGGATTTGAGGAGTTATCGGCAAATAAATCTAAATTCAAATCTCTGCACGAATTCTCGATTTTTTTCCATTTTGCTGAATCTGCATTGCCGGGTGAAGCCTATCGAATCCAAAAATAGCTTTAGACTCAGGCACTAACGATGCATTCTTTGGAGGGGTGAATGGGGATGACAAGTTGGAGATTCCTCATGCGTCACATCGTATATTCAATTGGACTTTCGGGAAATTCGAAAATCCCCGGGGTTCGTCATAGAGAAGAAAAGCAGAAATTTTGCGGCACTGGCACTTTATAAAAAAAGGGTAAGGCTGGCGGTTCTCTTTTAGTTTGCAAAGTGAATTCTGCAGAATGTGCTTTCTGGTGATCTTTAGTCGATCCAAGATCAAAAGCTCTAGAAGTTTGTAGATATTGGATGATATGCATAGAGGGGTACTGTATCATATCACGCGTGAGTGTGAATTAGAGGGGTTTTCTTGTCGATTTCTTGTCTCTTGTCCAGTTTTCTAAAGCGTAACCTCTTTCGCGTTATGATTTACCAGCAAGAAATACAGGTACTGGTGCAAAATTTTGCTTGAGATTTCAACCATACCTAGAGCTGGGTAAGTGAACTGGCCTGTTATAAGAAAGATGTGAAGTTAGCCAAAAATGTTTGTGCGTTTAATTGTTTTTAGTTCTAATCAAATCCGCAAAAACGATTTTTGATATGATAAAAGCGGGAAGCCAAACAATTTAAGGAATTTTCGCTTTTCGCAAAGTCTCCCCGAAAATTTCCCTCCTCTAGAAAGGATGATCAGCTTTTGTTTGCGCGTTTTATTTTCAAAATATGAGCTTTTACACGTAATGGAAACTTTTGAACAACAACAAGAAGATGTGTGCTCATTAGAAGGGTTGTTGCAAACGCAAATTTATTGGCTTTCTCGAGATGTTTCCAATTTTTTTCCGAAAAATTTTCCATTGTGACCCAATCGAAAGTTATAATAATTTTGAAAAAGGACACGTTTTAGAAAACGCATTATACGAGAAGTACACTCTCTAGGAACGCATTATAGAAAAAACTACCCTACCCTGACTGACTTGTTAGAACTTGAGCCGGTGATCTACGCATTTTGAGCTGGCTAAGGATTTGAGTGCTTTAAATTAAGGCTAATTCACTGACGCCCAAAAGATTATGGTAGCTTTTTTTCTGACCACTTTTTAGAAAACTTCAAGAAAAGCTTCAAGGAACATCATCTAATTGTCGGTGTTCCTCGAGTTGTTTCCAACTCGAGAAACTCGAGAACTTCAAATGTTTTCCCGCTCACCTTTTCAACAACCACAACTCATCTCCCAAAAAAAGGGGATCTCGCGTAAACAACTCAATCAACAATGGGGAATTTGTGTTTTTTTCCCCCTAATTCCACAAAAATACATCAGTTGATCAGTAGTTTTTTTTTCAGCAAATCGTAACTTTTCCATAATTTTGATCGCATTTCACTAGCTGATTTATAGTCTTGTGTGCTGAAATCGAAAAATCTCGTCAAAATTGCGATCAATAATGAGAAAACGACAAATAAACGGGTAATTCGCATTAAAATTGGGCGGTGGCGCGTGGTCGGTGAGAGAGTTTTTTGGGAAAAGGGGAAAAGTCGACGAGATCCATGAAATGAAAAGCCAACGAGATGAAAGAACACTTTTTTTTTCCTTCAGTTCTTCAACAAGTTTTTAACTTGTAAACGCATCACCTCTGGCGCACTGAATTTTCCTCATTTTTCTCGTGATCCCAATCGTTACTTTGAGAAAAATGAAGGACTCGGTGCGTTAGAAAGGGTGCGTTTACCTGCATGCACTACGAGTTCACTGCAGACTTCAGCTTCAAGTTCTGCGTGATTTTCAATTGTTCAAACTCGGGTCATTGAATCGAATGATAGCAAGAGTTTAGTGTACTAGAAAAGGTGGATTTTCATTAGCTCAAAGTACACTCAAAACAATGTCCCCTCCCCCCGAAATGTTTATTTGTATGAGACTTGATCCTTTTCCGCGGTTTGCTCAATTTTCTCCATTTCTTTTCTTTCCTTTTTTTTTTTTTGCTCACCGCGTCGTTGTTGCCCGAATTCTCCTCTTACTTGGGAAAATTTGAAAGAGAGATTTTGTGATTCGAATCATTCTCAAATCAAAAGTGATTTCTTAAAAGGAAAAAAAAGATACACAGCTTTTGATTGGACAAATGTTTGACTTGAGCAATTCTCTCGTTGTCACAAGTGATTTGAGAATTGAGCTCTGAAATGACTCCATTGAGTCTGTGGGGAAAAATTTTCACAAATCTTCCCCTGAACTCTTGATCTATGAACGAAGGTTTGTGAAGGGAAATCTAGCCATCAGAGCATTCGGTTTACGGGGGTTTTTTTTTGTGTTTTGCCCTTCACAATACATAAAATCACTCGTTTTACATTTCGCAAAATTTCCATATGAATTTACGGGGGTAAGAGCAACAACTTTCTTTACCGTAATGCGTATATTGTAATGATTGCTTCATTCTCCATACTGGCTAGTTTTTCTCCATACTTTTCTCCATTACTTCATTCTCCATACTGGCTAAAATCGGGTACGATGTTTCTCGTATTACCTATTTAGGGTTGTCCCAAAGGAAAAGACCAGGCTAAACCAACAGTGATTTAATGACTAGATATAACTAGCCAGTATGGAACTGACTAGATATAACTAGCCAGTATGGAGAATCAAGCAAGTATTACAATATACGCATTACGGTAAAGAAAGTTGTTGCTCTTATCCCCGCAAATTCATATGGAAATTTTGCGGAATGTAAAACGAGCTACTTGAAGTGTTGTGGTATTACTGACTGATTACTGACTGATGCAAACCTTTGATCTACTTTTTATGAACAAACCATAACTCTTTGATATCTAATATTTTTTGGTACTAAAAGTAGAGTCAAAAAAATCGTTGAAAGTTTTTTTCAGAGTTTTTCAGAGTTTCAGAGTGGATTTTAAAAGCCAGTTCCTGAAGAGTTGAAGAAGTACGTGTTTGTTTGAATTTGATTTGAATTTGATTTGAATTTGATTTGAATTTGAAATTTGAATTTGAAATTTGAATTTGAAATTTGAATTTGAAATTTGAATTTGAAATTTGAATTTGAAATTTGAATTTGAAATTTGAATTTGAAATTTGAATTTGAAATTTGAATTTGAAAAATTCCATTTCGATTTGAAAAACAAACTCGAATGCCAACAACTTTCTCTTCTCTGCAACAACAACAACAACAACAACAACAACAACGTGCAATCGAATCGTGCATTTGTGCATTTGTGCATTGGAATCGTTGTTAAAAAAATAGACAAGCTTACGGTAGAAAGGGGAAAGGGAGACACGTTTATGCTTTGACTTTGACATTTACAGTTGTCTGGGTTGACCCTGGGAATTATGGAAGTCACTCTTTGAACTCTTGACACTATTATCTGCGTAGACTTAACCATTTTTCGCCAAAATCGTAGTCTGGTCGATTTAGGGATGAGTCTCTTTCTGATTCGATCTTCTTGTACCGATTCTCCTCCACAATGTCTGCACGAGTTCTCACGTGATTCGAATCAATGAGGAAAATTTGCTCAGAAAATTTGCTCGAATGCCCGCGTGACAGGAATTCGCCAAGAAATCTCAAAATTAGAAAATGGGGAAAAGGTTTTGAGGTCGAGGTTGACCTCTGTTTTGATGCTCGATGAGCTGCTGTACTTTGTGCTCGAATCTTTTAAACACACTCCTACTGATGCACAGAATTCTTCATTTTTCTGGTGATCACAATTGTTGCTTTGAGAAAAATGGGTATTTAAGTGCGCCAGAAGGGGTGCGTTTACAAGATTCGAGCATAAAGTACACGATAAGTAAGATAGAGGAACGGTAGAGGTACTTTTGTTTTCGATTTGCATACAGGAGCTATACTTTGAGGCTAGAAATGGGCACTGAATAGCTTAAAGTGATCGGTGAATTGATCTTGAATTGAAAATCTCGATACAAGAAATGTTAGGTTGAATTTTTGCCTGAAAAATCACCGAATCACTTGTCTCAGCTCCGAGAAAATTTTCCGAGCAAATTAAGCGCGAAAATTTTTTTGAGAAAAGTCGAGATTTTTGTGGACAGTCAATGTGGCGCCGAACAGAATTACTTTTTCATTCTTTTGACATCAAATTAGATGAATTGGATCGATTAGATCGATTAGATCGATTAGATCGATTAGATCGATTAGATCGATTAGATCAAGGATCGATTAGATCGATTAGATCGATTAGATCAAGGATCGATTAGATCGATTAGATCGATTAGATCAAGGATCGATTAGATCAAGGATCGATTAGATCAAGGATCGATTAGATCAAGGATCGATTAGATCAAAGAAAGAAAAGAAAAGTTTCGATGGCTTTAATGCCAAGATTTTAGATTTTCCTATTTTCCTTTAATAAGTGCTATTTTTTGAAATTTTAGATGATAAAATAAATACGTTTTTTTTTTGAAGAAAACTTCGCACACTCAATTCTAACTGAAATCCAACTGACTTCTGGAAAATCCATGTGACTGACTAGCTATGGATATGGCTTTTTTTCCAAAGACAAAAGTCCGAGTGAAACTAGATTCAAAGCCAGGCCAACCGTTCTTCTCAATGCTCTTCAATGTTGGCTTGAATTCGTGTCTAAGCTAGATGAAGAACTGTCAAAAAAACAAATTCTTACTGACTGGTTAGACTTTAGACTTAAAACTTGAAAAAAA